AATTTTTTTTTGTATTTAATTTGTTCTTTGTCGTTGTTTTTTTTTTATGGTTTTTTATCGCTTTTCTTTGCTATCTTATTTCCGAATTTTATTTTATTTTTCTTCTCCGCCTTCATTGTTTAAATTCTGATGACACTACCACTTACTCATGTCTCAATAACAAATCCGTCAGAGTTGACAAACTTAACCTGGCCGCTGCTCTTAAAAAGGACCTCAAATCAGTGGTTAACTGGGGCAGGAAATGACTCTCATTTAACCACCATAGAGAAACTTCCCTACCCGCCATCAGCATGGCTGATGTTAGACTCATAGAGAGCAACACCCTGTCCCATCTCACGATGCCCCACGATTTCAACTTACTTGAAGTGGAACGACTACATCGAATCAATAGCTGCATCTACTGCAAGGAAAGCTGGGTCACTGTGACGTGCCAAAAGGTTTTTTTCTCGTCAGTCCATCTTGTACATTTACAAATCTACCATTCGTCCGTGCACATAATACTGTTGCCATATCTTGCTATTCATCTCGAGGTTCTTGACAAAATCCAAACAATGATCTGCATCTTAATCGATCCTGACTTGGCATCTCGACTTCAGTCACTTCCTCACCGAAGTGATGTGGCTTCCCTCTGTCTTTTCTACAAATATTTCCATGGCAACTGCTCTGACGAGCTTTTTTTCCACGATGCCCGGACTTAGTGAATTTAAGCGTGCTACTATCTTGGCATCTAGGTCTCGCCCTTTTACTGTTGATTTAATTATATGTAACCGCCACTTCTACTCCAACAGTTTCTTTTCTCGCACTGTAGAGCTCTCTTTCGTTTCCTTATTTCCCTTATAACTACAATCTTCAAAAAATTTAAATGCTATTCTATTTTCTAGAATCCTATTCAGCTTTTATCTTTTCTTCAGTTCCCCCCTCTATACACAGTCTTTTCTTTTACCTTCACTTTCTGGAATCCCCTGCGTACTAGTAGCATTCCCGTCTTGCATGGAGTGAAATGATTAAAATAGTATATACGAGGTTTGATCAAAAAGTATAGGGACTGGTGCTATAAAAGTAAAACTACAATACACATCAATTCGGCATTTAGTCTCCTTCGAAGTAGTCCCCTTCTGAAGCCACACACTTTACCCAGCGTCCTTTCCATTGATGGATGCATACTTGAAATTCCTTTTTGGAGATAGCGAGCAGCTGCCTTGTTGCATTCTCTTGGATTGCCTTGACGTCTAGAAATGTTATTCCGTTCAAGTGGGATTTGATTTTTGAAGAGGAAAAACTTGCAAGAAGTGAAAGAATGAAATATGGGGAATGTTGTACTTTGGCAAAAACCGCTGCCCAAGCAATGGTTACTAATGAAACCATTGCGGTGTGGTGAGTCGAGCACACTCTACACACTTTCCTTCAAAGCACTGCCATAAACAACAGTGGTGTACGAGAACGTTATAACTTAGTGTGCACGGTCAATCTGTACGAAGCGGTTTTACTCTGCGTACTTCAATTCCGTTACTATAGCAACAGCCGTGATACTTTTTGATCAGGCCTCGTATACGCTTACTCATAGACACATACCACGATTGGTCAGTAAGTTAATCCCTTTTTAATCTGTTAACGAGGTGAATTCGCCATTAATTACATTAACTTTATTGTTTTATTCTTTGAATGACTATTTTACAATATCAATTAAGCTGCATTATTTATTAATTAGAATATATATATATATATATATATATATATATATATATATATATATTGTGTATTTGGGCAGCAATTACTATTTTATACAAGTTTCATTAAAGTCGATTGACAAGGCACTGCGATTAAGCTTTTTATTTCATTTTTTTCTTGTGTTCTGTGCTGTTTCTTATTTTATTTTCCACACACACATACACAAATAAAATTAATTCACACCATGTATCAAAAAATACAATTGCGCGGGAATTCATTCCTTACCATGCCCTGTGGGGTCAAAAAACAAGGACAGGCGCACCCAAAAGTTCGGACGTAGTGAAAAAGCACCACGTGGTCAAAATATGATTTATTGACCAATCAGGACTCGACATAAGAAACCCATTTCTTAATCTCCCCGGAGCCTCATCATTCTTATATAAGGAAGGTAGAAACTCTCATCAGAACGGAGAGAGAACAGCGACAAGCTGACATCAAAGCGACACGGACAGTTTCGAGCACACACACACCGAGAGGATTCAGCGGTTCACACAACAGGCAATATCACGTATCAGTGAACATTCTTTCACCCTCTCTTTCTCTCATCTCGCTCGCTACACATAGTCCTACATTTCCCTCTCACATTCCCAGTTCCTTTCTTTCTCTTTTTCTTCCGCAGCTTTATGGACAATTTCATTTTTGTACAAGGAAAAAAATAATTCTTTACAAAAATAAACAAAAGTTTATTTTACTTTATTTGTAGTGTATTTTCTTTTTATTATTTGTTTGAGGGACTTCTTTGCACCCTCTACAGTTCATAAAAGTGTTTTCTTTTCTGGACACAAAGTGTGTGAAAACTGTCCAAAAGTTCTGCATATCCGAGCGCTTTCTGCTATTCTTTTAGCCATTATCAGAGACTATTATTATTTTTGGATTTTTAACTGAATGTGTGGATTTTTTATGTAAGTGTCTAAAGTTATAGGATGTTTTATTTTCCAAACACGGTCAGCACATATAAACACATACGCCAAACGTATTATATATATATATATATTTGAATCAAACAAGAGTTGTCTCTCTTTAACTGTTATTTTAGTATTTCAAAGTTCACTGGAAGAATGTTAATGAGAGTCTCTTATAATGACTGTTCTTAAAATATTTGCCGTGTTAGAAAAGATTATGTGAGTGTATACAAGATATGTTCAGCATGTGCGTGGTGTGTGTGAGTGAGAAAGTTGGTGCATGGTTTCAACTGTCGTGGATTCGTTTGGCAGCTGAATTCTCACTAATTATCAAAGAAAAATTCTTGCTTAAATAAGTGACTATAGGCTCCAGACCATTGCGTGGAAAGAATTATTTGTTTTTTTTTTGGGGGGGGTTGTTTTTTTCATATGTATATAGATTCGAATATGCTGGCTAAAATGTATGTTGCTTTTAATAATATTTATCTTAAAAGACATTTTCTGTCTAAATACACATAATATATATAGATATCCATTATTTTCCTTAGAAAAATTCGCTTTGTTAACGTTTGGATACGAAACTGTGCGGATATGAAAAACTTCGTGAGATCTATGACGGAAGAAGTTTCGCTTAAAGTCACAATTTCGACCTTGCCCGATTGACTGAAGATCTGTAGCTCAGTTGGTTAGAGCAGACTGAATCTACCAGTAGCTCCTTTTGCCCTGGGGGACGCAGATTCGCATGCTGCCAATTTTTACTTTAATAACATTTCTCAAAGATTCAGGCCGGCAGACGAAAAGAAATAAATATCTTGTTTAATTTGTTTACTCAAATTGCCCTTCCTTGCCTTTAAAGGAGTGCCCTTTGCCGTGCTGATGTTGCTACATGTCTTACTTCTCACACTGCGAATTTTTTCTAAGCTCTATCCTAAACATTAAATCTGTTACGAAAAAAGAACTAAACAAAACGATCAGCTTTAAAAAAGGACTCGTAACTGGAAAAACCGAATAAAAAAAGAATGTTAACAACAAATACATTTTCACACCCAATCCAGTTCTGCGGAATCAGAATCAACATTGAGTTTAAGCAAGCGAATGAGCCAATTGGAGTAAAGTGCCATGCAGATTTAAATTTTTCCCACTTGTGATGAATGCTGCTATCGATTTTTTTGCATGCTTGCATGCTAGTTAACATTCGTGTCAGTCAGCTGTTGGCTCTCACGCTTGCCAGTAGAATCTTCCTGCCTATTCGTGGCAGCCAGCTATTGTCTCTCACTCTGGCCAGTACAAAATGGCCGCAAACTACATGAAAACTGCCGTAGATGCATAAAAAAATCGATTATTTCCACTATCGATGGAAGTCGGGAAATGCAAAGTTGGTCTTGGCCTTCCCGCTAACTTGGAACATGTGCATGTAAATTTTGGTGCAAATCCGTCGAAAATTGCGGCCGTGCATTCGTTACACACGCGCGCGCGCGCACACACACACACACACTGCCTTTTATAGATAGAGATGTCTGTGTGGTAATCAGATCTTTTCGGTATAATTTTAAATTACTATAAACATTATTTTATTGGATACACGTTTTTGATTAGATATCCCTGGGGTTTTGTTGTTGATTTCTTCTTTTATTCTTATTTATTTATTTTACAAAACAATGAAATTAACATCTGTCTATATCTCTGAGATGAGGTATTATGACTACTACTATTATTTACATTATTCGGACTGTTATCCTTATCTTCATTGCCATATCCACAACGTTTCGGTCGTTGTTCTCAAGGACACATGGCCCAGTGGATAAAGACGTTGGTTAGACCCAGTGACTAGACCCAAAGAGTTGTGAGTTCAATACCAGGCCGTAACTTTGAGAGTTGAGTTAAAGAGAAATAACTGAGACATCCGGAAGAGGCATGGGGTGTGGAAATAGGACAATCTACCACTGGTTGGCGAAATAAAGGGTTCGGTTCGAAATTTCAACCACCTGAAGAAGGCCGAAGCGTAAAACGGCCGAAAGGTTGTGAAAATGGCAATGAAGATGAGGATAACAGTCCAAATAATATCAATAATACAATGAAATTAACGTCTACCGGCCTACATCATCCAAAGTACATTTAAGTAAGACGTTCAATGGCCTTGGCCAGCATATTGGAATATCTACCAGTACGACGATTGTTGTTGTTGTTGGTGGTGGTGGTGGTGTTTTTGTTTTTTTGAGTTTTTTTTTTTTTAGATGTATCCTGCGTAAAGGAGAAGTTTAAACAAGTTCCACATATTCTATGTTCTCCTTAAACGGTTCAGCTGAGTTCCTTTAAGTTGGGGTCAATCAGTTCAATTTTTTTAAAATGCTAATTTCCTTTGTTATTCAGTTCCTAGCCCTCCTCTCAACCTGCAGGTCTTGGGACGTACTGTTAATTTATTGAAAATCAGCTGGGACCGGCCACAATACTACAACGGAACAATTAAAGTCTATCACGTCCTGACAGGTCAGTCTGACATTTTGCAGTTCCTAGTGTAAACAATCATTTATTGTTAGATAGATACAAAATTACATAAATAGATAAATAGATATAAATTGTCAGATAGATAGATAGATAGATAGATAGATAGATAGATTGCTGGCCAAAATCTTAAGGCCAATGAAAATAAACAAAAGAAAAGTATACCTTTTGCGTTGTCTAAGAACAAAAATAAGAAAAGGAAAAATTAAAGAAAGCATTTAATAGTCAAAATCTTTCACTGGTATCTCCTGTGTTACATTAGGTAAAAACATGGCAAAGGCTAAAAAGTTGACAGACTTTGAACGTGTCAGAATTGTCGAAGTGCAAGAACAACGTCTCCCTCAACGTGTCATTGATGGTGAGATTAGGACGTAGTAAAAGTGCTGTTGCAAATTTCTTTTTTTATATATTAGGTTTTTTCATAAGCATTTGCTTGAGAACTGAACACGCTGTTGTACCCTTCTTCTAACCAGGAATGCCAACATTTCATCGTATTGAATATGATGAAAAATGAGTTTTGCATGTCAACAGAATACAAAAAAAAACAGTGATAATTGCAATAAGGAACAGAACTAAAGAAGTACGTTGACGAAGGCTTTAATAAACAGTGTGGCCCACGACGGATCTAAGAGCAAATAAGAATACAAGTAAATGAGCATATATATATATATATATATATATATATATATATATATATATATTACAGCAAAAGGTGGATAATTCCGGAAGTTAATGCTTATCACAATTATCACAAAACGAGTGCCGGGCTTCATCCACAGAAGATATTGGTTTGTGTCTGGTGGAATGTCATCTTGAAGTTGTCATCCATTACGAACTACTGGAACATGGAAGGACCATCATTGCGGATGTTTATTGTCATCAACTTGATCGGATGAACGAAGCATTACGTCGAACGTTCTCTGATTATGTTAATGGAAAAGGTCATTATTCATAACGATGCAAAGCTACAGTCTGCAAAGCAAACACAAGAAAAAAATAAAAAAGTAAAATATGATTGTGTTCCATACTCGCCAGATTTTCATTTATTTCGATCGATAGAACATCCCCTAAGTATCAGAACATTCAGAGACAACGAAGTTGAAAGCAATGTTTTAAAGATTTTTTTTCTTTTTTTTTTCTTTTTTTATGGGGAAAACACCAGATTTCTTTAAACTGGGAATCAAACATTTGCCTCCCCGTTGAGCTGCAGATAGATAGATAGATAGATAGATAATGAACAGACTGAAAAAGAAAGAAAGAAAAAAAGAAAGAAAAAAAGAAAGAAAGAAACTAACTTTATTTTTTTCTCCGACAGAAATTACAGACGAAACCGGAAGTTCACAGACGTTTGAAAGCACAGCGCCTGAGACATCCGCCATTATTAGTGGGCTTACTGCTGGTACAACTTACAAAGTTCAGGTGAGACGTCCAAAATGTCATTCATTCTCCCAGTCTCGTTTCTTACTTAATGACAGGGCAGATATTTATTTCTGAGACAAGTAAAAAAAAAAAAAAAAAAAAATCACGTCGAATGTAATGCTACTTCCAGAGACGTAAAAGAGAACAACTCCCCCGCCCCCAACCAAAGTCAATTGCCTCATCATCATCAGAGATCTGAGTTGTCGCTTCCCTGGCTATTGATCCGGAACGCACGATCTCACAATGACGTGGGTTTCAGAGCGGACTGAAAGGATATGCCCGACTGTCATCGGTGTGAGCTTGGTTAAGAAGAAACGGCTGTGCACACTTTCTACCACTGTCCTCAGGTGCGCCCATTCTGGCAGCATATCGACGAGTTGTCGGCTTCTAAAGATCCCGAACATCTCGTGTCCATTGATCTCACATACGTGTCCGATAAGGTGTCGGTCCCGTGGTCTGGGGTGAATGGAAGGAATCTTATGATACGAACTTTATTCTCATCAGTTACTGGTTGGATTCTTCCGGCATCATCTCAAGATGAAGATCAGAAAGCTTATGTTATTGGCAGATAATGGTGAGTAAATGCAGCTGGTTTGCGTGAACAGGGCCAGCCATTTTCCTTTTTAGTACCATTTTTGACTCAACCGGGCGGTTTCCTGTTGAAGTCTTCCCCAGGTTAAGCTAGACTCTTTCTTTGTTTAGTTAATGGGAGTAATTATTGTTCTCGGCCGGCTCATGGCATTCTCTTTTATTATGATCCATGTCAAGATTCCAAACCTCCCCAGTTTGCTTTTTTTATTCCCTCTTTTTATCTTGACTGGGTCAGCTTTTTGATTTTTCCACTCGTCAATTTATTTTATCCTTTGATCGCCTTTAATGAGTGGGCGTCCTGATTTTGTATATCGGCAGAATTTTTTAATTTTTCTGTCGGGTGAACGGATCTTACTAATATATTTTTAGTTTGAATGTTTTTACATTATTCGAACTATTGTCCTCATCTTTGTCGCCATATTTATTACTACGTTTCGGCCGTTCTTCAGGTGGTTGGAATGTCGAACTTAACCCTTTATTTCGCTCGCTGGGGTAGACTGTTGTTTCACGTGCCGAGTTTAATGGATGTCCGTTTTCAGTTATCTCCTGTTAATTTCCCTCTGAAAGTTCTCTACTGCCTTAACCGGGTATTGAACTCACACTCTTTGGGTCCTGTCACTGGATCTAACCAACGCCTTTATCCACTGTGCCATATGTCCTCGAGGATAAGTGGTTCACTTGTAAAAAAAATAAGGAAATTATTTGGAAATAATGTTTGTACTTAAGCATTCTTTAGAACTTCCTTAGGGCGTGGCACTTGTCAGAATAAAAACGGATTTATTTTTGTCATTTTAGAAGGTGGGTCCTGTTCATAATACTAATATAGTGTAAAATTGATCCCTGACTTTTACGAAGTTATTGGACTTAGATCTTTTATAAAAGTAAACTTTGAAAGTGTTGTAGCACCATTGATATCTGCATATATTTTTCATTTTCTGGATTTTTAAAAACTTTGTAAAACATTATTTTTAAAAAAAAAATTAAACTTTCTTCATATGCACAAAGGTTTGAATTGAATAATTGTTAATCTTCAGCATCGGTTATGTGCCATGCATGATACACGCTTAGGCGATCATGTATCTTTTGACTGACGAGACAGATTTTTCCCGGAGTAGGTTGCCATTTCTTTCTGTAGTAGACCAGTTGCCGGCCTGTCCTGCTATTTACCCATAGCTGGAGATGGGGAGAAGAAGAGGATTCATACCTTTTCCAAGGGTATTAGCACGTAAGTAAATGTAATAGATTCGACTGGAATTCGAACTCGCCTCTCCGATTCCTCAACCCGAGCCGCTGTCCATTAATCTTACGAATGCACACTTTTATTAATTTATGCATATTTTTGTTCTTTGATTTAAAAAAAAAAGTATATATACGTTTGTTCTTTATTTAAAATAAATCTTTTCGTAAACCCCACCAAAAAAGTGTTTTCATACACAAAGAAAACTAAGTCCAATATATCTGTAAAATCAGGGACCTACTTGAAACAGTATCGATATTATAAAGAGTATCTCCGTTTTATAATAATAATATTTTTCGCTTCAGGCAAATGTCGCGGCCTAAGGTTAGTCTAAAGAATGGTCATCTAAAACATTTGTTCCTCCCACAAAAAAATCCGGTTCTTTTTTTTCGAGTGGTCCTGTGGATTTTAACAAGCTTGTGAGTTTTGTATGTATTTTTAGGTGAAAGTGTGTGTTCAATACATAAACAAGGAAGACAAAAGAAGCATACAAGTAAAAAAGAAAAACTCGAGTTTCTGCAACGGAAGTTTATATTTCTTTTATGCTGTTAACTGAACTGAAATAAAGTTAAATTGTGGCGAACTTCACCACATTAATTTAACTTTAGATTAGGAAACAGAGCTGACGCGGAAAAGGATAAGCAAAAAGACATTGTTACACATAAAATATGTATTTAACAAGATGTACAATATCAAACAACGATATGAAAGAAAGCATGTATTTAAGTAAGAAAAGGTTGAAAAAAACAAGAGTTGTCTCTCTTTATATGTTATTTTAGTATTTCAAAGTTCACTGGAAGAATGTTCATCAGAGTCTCTTATAATGACTGTTCTTAAAAGATTTGCTGTGTTAGAAAAGATTATGTGAGTATATACAAGGTATGTTCAGCATGTGAGTGGTGTGTGTGAGTGAGAAGGTTGGTGCATGGTTTCAACTGTCGTGGATTCGTTTGGCAGCTGAATTCTCACTAATTATCTAAAAAAAATTCTTGCTTAAATAAGTGACTATAGGCTCCAGATCCGCCGCGCAGGAAGAATTATTCTTCACGTGCAGACGATCTGATTGGTTGGCGTTAGCCAATCAGTGATCGAGCTTTGGGGAACTTAAAAAATCTTCTGTGATCTGTTTCTCCTAAAAGTGCACAAAATTGACTACATAAAAATAGAGCGATTACAAAATTGTCGCATTGCTGCGATTTTTAAATTGCTTATAATAATGTAGTGGTGATTAATTAATCAATGAATGCTTGGCGTTGTATGTGATTTGTATTTTTGCATGTATGTGTGTGTGTATGTATGTATGTGTGTGTGTATGTATGTGTGTATGTATGTATGTATGTGCGTGCGTGACAGACTCGCACAAAATAACTATAACGAAATAAATGTCTCTTCAATGTGTCCGTTTTCCATTTTGGTTCAGAAATAATTCATGAGAATTAAGGATAAGAACGGGTAAAGGTGGTCGATCTCAAGACAGCCTCACACTGATTTGGAATGGCCGAATCTCTACTTCATGAATAGGGCTGCTGAGGACACATCCAAAGGATCTCATAGAAAGAGAAAGATTATGTCCTTTCCGGAAGCAAGGTCATAAAATCTCACACGTGACTAGAAACTCTTTCCGGTTTCTTTATAACTTGCAACATGGGAAAATTATTTTTTTTTAATTCTTTATTATTTTATTTGTGTGTTTTATTTCATTTTCCCACAGAACATGTAACGTTGTTTTAACAATTCATTTGTCAACACATATCACTTTTGAAAATTATATATAATGTTTAGTATTAAAATATGTTAATTACTGTTTTATTCCTGTAGTGCAAAACTACAATTTTATCAGTAGTTAAAATACATTACACAGTAGCAAAGATCTGTTTTAACTTCGAAGGGGAATAACTCTGCTACACCAATCACAAGGGGGAATAACTCAAAATAGATTAGCTACAAGTTATGAACGTAAAAACCGTGATTTCTTTTATCAATGAAATCTATAACTACGATGTTTTTCCTTGATTTCTTTAAATTGAATTGTCTTCAGATGTTCGTTTAATTTATTTGTTGTGGATAAATGCATAATGTACGCGCACATTTTAGGCCTTCACACAATTTCACCTTCTGACACATCTTACTTAGCATAAATTATACAAGTTCCTATCAGAAAGTTCTCGTGTTGAAGTCCTTTAGCATATAATAGAGTATAGCGGGCCGTAGCTTTCAGTTAGTTATGTGCCATGCGTAATACACGATTAGGCGATCATGTATCTTTTGATACATAACTGACGAGGCAGATTTTTTCCCGCGGAAGGTTGCTATTTCTTTCTGTGGTAGACCAGTTGCCATCTAAGGCTATAGAACACTGTCTGTCCAGCTATTTGCCCATAGCTGGGAGGAGAAGAAGAGAATTCATATCTTTCCCAATGGTATTAGCATATAAGAATGTAATAGATTCGACTGGAATTTGAACTCGCCTCTCTGTGGGTTTACGTGTTGTTAAATGAAACACGTGTATGACTCCTGATAGAAAATAAAGCCCACTACAAAAATATAGCGGATTCAAGTTGAATCCAACCAAAGAAATGTAAAGAAAACAAAGACCGATATATATGTACAAACAAGTATATGTATTAAACAACAACAGAATTTACAATTAACAAAGACATTAACGTTTGTGTGGAAATTTCGTTTTCAATGAATGTTCGTACGTACGTGTGTGTGTAATGTTCATAGCGTCTCCCTAAGGAAACGCATAGCACTTCCCACGAAGGGGAAGACGCAATCTTCTACGAGAGCTTACATTGTAGATGTGTTCGCTGAAATATCAAAGTGAAAAAGAGAATGAGGCAAGTAATTGCCCAGTATTTATAGTGTATGGAGAGCGTCCCCTAGTGAACAATTTGGACAATTAAGGGGAGTTAACTCCGACAAGAGAGAAGGGAGAGTCCTTTTAAATGTGTATGTATGTATGTAAGTATTTCTTGATAGTGGTAATCCCTTCGACTCTCTGTGGGATTTTTAGGTGTCCTAAAATTTAGGGCATGGTAGAGCGGACGAAATTAATTCACCAGCTGGTTCCTTTGCCTGATCGTCACTGTCTATTTTTACACTTTTTTCGAGACAATGGAATTCATTCCAGAAGTGTTTCTTGATTTCTGATTGGTTCACAGATATGACTCATCAGTCATCTAAGTATCCCTTTTCTTCACCTATATTTAGGAATGATAACCTGTAGTGGATCACCTGGAGGAGGGCGCGATATGAAAACCACGGCCCGAGCGCCCCCATATCGTAAGCGATGAGGTCACTAGAGGCCCGCTAACGTTTTTCGAATTAAAGACGTGAAATCTGACAAGGTGAAACAAAATGGACAACGGAACGAGGATATGTATGATTAATGCTAAGTTTATTTATAAAGAAGAAGCCGTGGGGTATGTTGGTCTGGTAATCGTGGTAATGGTGGTCGGGGTCTGTGGACTGGAAAGATATTGCGAACGTTCCAGTCGTGTCGACGGTTGGACGTTGAGGTCGACGACGGGATGCTGAGGTGCGTTCGTTCCGGTCGTGTCGACGGTTGGACGTTGCAGTGTAGGCATTGCTGGTCGAGGTCGGTGTCGAAACCTCCCGTAGTAATTACAACCGATAGTAGACGGGAAAGCTTGGTCGTTGCAGGTCGCCGCAGGTGATCGTTGGTCGCTGTAGGTGATCGCTGCTGGTCGTTGCAGGTGATCGCTGCTGGTCGCTGTAAACCTTTTGATCTCTTTAATTTTTTTTTTTTTTTTAATCTTTTTTTTTTAATTTCTTTATTTTCAAAATGGTTTGCCAACTTTTAGTTTTCTATTTTTTTATTTAATCGTGAACTTTTTATTTTTCTATCGCTATAATTTCCATGGCTTCTGGCTCAATGAATGCCGAATGTTTCCTTATAATGAAACAGCTAATCATAAATTAGCTATATCATTAGAGATTAGATCTGATACTACACTTTGATCCCAGTCCGATGGCCAGGGAGTGAAGAAAAACGTAACACGAGTAGCACTGACTGCTTGGTCAAAGAATATCGAATGGTTCCTTATAAAGAATCAGTTAATATTACCATTACCATTTGAGATTGAAGGTTTTTGGGTTTTTTTTTTAAATTATCCCAGAAACCGAGAATGGATTCAGTTGAATTATTAATACAAAACATTTAAACCACTAAAAAAAACTATTACTGAAACTAATTTGTTTTTGTCGCACAGGTTTTGGCTGTTAACTCGAAGGGCAAAGGTCATCCGGCTTCTATTGAAGCGCGAACATCAGAAGCAGGTAAGTATTTTTATTATCGATATAATGGCTTGGGAATGGCTACTCTAAGCTAAGTTTGGTACAAGGCCACTTTTATGGAGCACTCAGTCAGGATCGAACTCACGATTAATGTTCAACCAGACTAGCTCGCTAACCATTACTCAAACAACGGAATGCCACTACTCTAGCGTTCTCAGCAGTAGTGTAGTGGTTGGAATGAGGGGCATAAGCGTAGTTTAGAGGTTCTTAATTACGATGAGGCACGATGGAATAAATGGTAGCGGCTCGGATTTAGGAATCGGAAAGCCGACGTCGAATCTATTACATTCACATACGTGCTTGGGAAAAGGTATGAATCCTCCTCTTCTCCCCCGCACCAGTTATTGGTAAATACCAGGACAGACTGGGTTCTATAGATTTGGGTGGCAAAATCGGCCTAGGGAGTGTTGGGCTCTGTCAGTCTATCTTGCCCACGAAACGCTGCTGCGTGTGGTGCCCTGATGGACTGTTGTATAAGTATTTGTATGTGGAGAACAGGAATTATTCCTCCTTAAATTCTCAACTTTCTGGCCATAACAAATTCGTTGTGGTCATTTTTAAGCTTCGTGACAGTAAAAAAAAAACGGCCTGTCAAAAGGAAGGTTATTCCATTGACAGTCTGTTTCTGTATACACTTTTGACTACCTCGTTAGGTAATTCGATTTTTACGGCTTTTTTTTATAAGCTTCGACTTTTACGGCTTTTTTTTATAAGCTTCGACTTTAAATAACCTACATAAGGTTGATAAATATATAAGAATAGTTCTTTTATTTTTTTTGCATTTACCATTTTCAGATAGAAGTCTTACTATTTAACCAATAGATAGGGGAAGAAGGTTATTTGCGCGAAAGTGAATGTAATGAACCCAACTGGAATTTGAACTCGGCTCTCCAACTTCTCTTTCCGAAATGTTATCCATTACACCCCACGCACATTTGCAATGTTTGTTATGTTATTATTTTTTAAAGCGATGATTAGACTAGTAATTAACCCAAACATATGAAAGTGGGTTTATACATTTTCTTTATTCTTGAGACGTGACAACAAAGATGTTAAACAGTATTTATTTATTAGATTGAATAAAAAACTTGTTCTCATAGTTATTTATTTATTTATATTATGGTAAATAATACTGCATTGTAGTCGGTTTACATATTTTGATAATTATAATGTTTTTTTATAAATTTTGGAATAAAAACATTTCTTTCCAAATTTATTTCTTTATAAAAGGTAAATAGTAAATATCGCATTGTACTTGGTTCACATATTTTTATAATCTTGTAAATAAACATTGCCGAGGGAGTCAAAAGTGTATACAGTAATAACGGTATCAAAGGAATAAAACTCCTTTAGACACACTGTTTTGTTTTTTGTCTGTCTTTGGTTGTTGTTTTTTTGTTTTTGTTGGTTTTTGTTGTTTTTTGTTTGTTTTTTTGGGTGGTTTTGAAGATTAAACATTTTCGTCGTTGTTATATAAATATATGTAGCTGGGGAACGAGGGTTAGTGGCCCTGAATTTTTAATCCTCCCAATAAAACAGACGCCATCTTGGTTATCAAAGCTAGTGATAGATATGAACATTTCCAATTGAATAAGGCCTAATAATAGAAGGTTCCTCTTTACATGATATCGACTGAGTAGAAAAATGTCAGCCTGTATGAAGAGATCCTTTGAACGAAGCAGTATTGAAGCATCTCCTGTAAATCATAGGAGAGAAAAAAACAAACAATTACTCGAGATAACTGTGATATCACAAAACAAGATTCTGGAATTGTAGATTTCTAGATCAGTTTGTCTGGAGCAATGTTCGTTTATTTTTTTTTTTTTTAATTTGAAATCAGGTCCACCAGAATTAACTACAATTAGAAATTGGACTACATTTAAAAGCCTGTAGGAAAACAATTATCTTTTTTTTTTTAACAATAATTTTCATCCTGTACTAGGCCCAAAAGTCGTGTTGCCGGACGTCCCTTATATATTGGACATGCCAGTATTGGATAATCTTATCCCCTGTCCAGAACTGACCTTTCAGGGACACACCAAATGTCCCATATTTAGTTCATTTTCAAATTTCGTAATAAAAATATATTTTTACTACCTTCTTACAGTTCTTGGTTGTAACTTTATAAGTAATTATACTTTTTTTTCTCAGATTCTCTTGATGAAAATAACCCAAAAATGTAATGAAGAAACTAGTGTTGCTAGAAGTTTACACAAAACTGACATGTTTATTTCTCTGTTGTTTGTATGAAATAATTATTTTCAAATGATTTTACTTTTATATTTCCTCATAACCTATTAAAATCATTGCTTTGTTTTTAAACTTATGTCCCTTTTTTATATAATATATTGATCTGGGTGTGTAGGTATATATATATATATATATATATATATATATATATATATATATATAATATAAAAATATGTTGTAGTGGTTCCAACGAGAGAAAAGTATGTATATTAAAGAAAGAGAGGTTACGCAAACGTTTTGGTTGTAATGTGGATTTATTTAGAAAAAAATAACAAAGAATAATATATTTTCTAAATAAATCCACATTAAACCAAAAAACGTTTTGCAGCACCTTTCTTTTTTATATATATATATATATATATATATATATATATATATATATATATATATACATATATATATATATATTTCATACAATAGGAAGATTACACATAGGTAATGATCATTATCACCTTGTAAATTGAGATAATTTACAAGGATTTTCAAACCAGTTAAGGATGATAAATTATTGAAATAAAAATGGCCAGAAAGAAAGAAAGAAAGAAAGAAAGAAAAAATGGAAAAAGGAAAGAGAAGATAAGGAAAGACAAGATATATATATATATATATATATATATATATATATATATATATATATAGAGAGAGAGAGAGAGAGAGAGAGAGAGAGAGATATTTTAAGAGTGACCTGTAATTCTAATTTTCTAATATAGCAACCGTACTCAAGAGCCACTTAAAGTAGAAGGGTAATGTTAAGAGCCACAGTTTATGGGAATATGTTGAGAAGATAACGGTTAACCCTAATCTTGGACAGTTTAAGATTGTATTGATTAGGAAAGCCTCCTTTTGGCAGCGGTTCGTGGAAAGAAGCTGATCGAGTGAAACTTGCATCTCACCAATGGAATATGAAGTTCGTTACAATGTGCGCATCAGGTCGGATCTTAGCCGTGAAGGTTAGAAATGGTGGAACTAACGAATGTAATTCGTCTGAAGACTTCGTCTCGAAATAGAACAGCATGAAGGCTTGCAAAGTTTCATCTGTGAAAAAAAGGGATTTGCAGGATGGAAAATAATTCGTCAGATCTGGCTTTTGTAACGATAGAGGATAGCATAAAGGGTTCGGTACCTACTGGAGCCGTACAGAGAACCGACCTTTTCTCTATCTATAAAAGGCAGGATGTGTGTGTGTGTGTGTGTGTAACGAATGCACGGCCGCAATTTTCAACGAATTTGCACTAAAATTTACATGCACATGCTCCAAGTTAGCGGGAAGGCCAAGACCGACTTTGCATTTCCCAACTCTCATCGATAGTCAAAATAATCGATTTTTTTCATGCTTCTACGGCAGTTTTCATGTAGTTTGCGGCCATTTTGTACTGGCCAGAGTGAGAGCCTATAATACGAATAGGCAGGAAGATTCTATTGGCCAGCGTGAGAGCCAACAGCTGACTGACACGAATGACTGTTAACTAGCATGCTAGCATGCAAAAAAAATCGATAGCTGCATTCGTCACAAGTGGTAAAAATTTAAATCTGCATGGTACTTTACTCCAATTGGCTCATTCGCTTGCTTAAACTCAACGTTGATTCTGATTCAGCAGATATGGGTTAGGTGTGAAAATGTTTAGTATAGAGCTTAGAAAAATTTCGCAGTATGAGATAGGCAAGAAGTAAAGCATGTAGCAACATCAGCACGTCAAAGGGCACTCCTTTAAAGGCAAGGAAGGGCAAAAATATTTTAAGTCAAGTGATAGCGATGGCTGTATGAGTCGTACGATTTTTGAAACAAACACGGGCAACGCCAGGCCATGATGCTAGTCGTATATAGGAGTTCCACTTGAGATCTGGGTTAAGAATAAGTCCCAAGAGACATTCAAAGCACGGGACCTCCCTGAGAGGACACCTGTCCATTACGAAAGGCGAAAATTGACAAGATGAATTTACTGATATCTTAAGGTGCCCGCTTGGATCATGTGGAAGCTCATTGATGAAGATAGAAAATTATGGTTTAGCTCGTAATCTTAACAGTATAAGATACAGAGATAACACTGTGTTGATGACTGAAAGTAAACTACAGGACCTCATAGACGGAGTTGTAGAAGAAAACGAGAAAAAAGGACTAACCATTAACATGCAAGAAGATCATCAGCAAGAGAAAAAAATCTGAGATGCTAGTTATGAATTGGAGATATAAACATCAAACCGGTGCAGAAGTTCAAATATCTGGTAAGCGTTTTGTTATGGTCCGGTTCCTTGTACCATGGTGATAGTCCTAGGTAGAACCAATAAAGAAGAACTCGAACACGGATATGGAATAACACAGATATATTACAAACAGGAATATATACAGAGAAGTAGAAAGTGTCAGTACGAACAATCAGGTTTAGTAGTAATTGTCTGAATGCGACTCTGTTTCGGACTGCCTCTGACTTGACTGACTGACTCGCTCGCTCTGCCTGACTGACAGACTTCTGACGGACCTCACTTCAGACTTCAGACTGAACTCTCTGCTTCCTCTTGAAGCGCAGTATTTATTACGTATGGAATAGTCCATTATGTTATTATGGGTAAGGTCCCATAACACGTTTTAACAGAGGATGAAAAATGCGAAACTGACGTCTGAACATGAATTAAACTAGCGAAAGAAGCATTCCAAAAACAAAGCAAGTTGCTGAGAAAAAGGAAAATTTTGTTAGAAAGAATTCTGGATTGCTATTATAACGTGGTCTTATTCAAAGAAATGTGTCCTCCTAGTAGAATTAACGATTTCATGGGAGAAGAACAGAGAAGAGGCGTACAAGCGAAAGAAAAAATCTGACTGTGTGGAAAAGGGATGGATATGTCATGTTATACCTATTGAGGTCGGGTGCCGTAGATTTCTTGGACAGTCAATCGTTTCCTTCCTTTTGAAGGTGGCTGGAACCTAAAGCGTACTTAACATCGTCTCCGGACCACAGTTGAGCAGGCATCGAATTGGATCTGGTCAAGATTCAAAATAAAGAAAGTTAAATAAAACCATGCTCTCAACACAATTCTCCGTTCATTTTACGCCATTAATGACGGTCGCTACGAGCGCGTTGTGTATTTTAACACAACTTTGAAAATTTCAGTTGCAATTTTTTTTTTTAAATCGCAAGAGACTGACACGTACACAAAAACAATACCCTGTCCGGTGGCAAAAGCTGCTGGTGGCGCCAGGGGTGGCAGTACCGCCTTAGCTACTGAAACTGTTACCTTCCCTGGTTGGCAGCTGACGAGGGCAGAGTATCGCACGTGCTTTTACACGTTGTATGTAGAGAAATGTTATTATTATTATTATGTGGCAGTGAATGTTGGGCAATTTTCCCGTGGATGAGGAGAAAACCAGAGGCAGCAGAAATGTGGTCCTACAGAAGGATACTGATAATTCCATAGATGGAGCGAGCATGTAATCATGTTTAGCCTATTCGAATATCATTTTTTGAGTTGATTTTTTTTTCCTCTGACAGGCCTTTGTTGGATTTAAGTTCCGGTGTATTAAAAACCGTTAGAGTAATTGCTTTTGTCAGGCTTTCTGTTTATTTTTTATTTGTTTTTCAATGTAACTATTCAGACTGTCAATGTACGGCCATCAGCATACAGCATGAATCAGAAATTAAATGAAAGTGTAGGGGCGCAGTGTTGGTTTATTTCTCTCTCTGGAGATAAAGCTGGCACAAGGCCACCTCCAGATGTACTTTCCAAATAAAACCTCTTTCCCTATTATTTAATTTATGAAGATCAAAAACTCTTGGCGTTAGACAAGAAAGGAGAAATAATGATTCATAGACATCTTGTTTCAAAACATAACAATTGAATTTATTAATATTTGGTATGCATGCATGAATACTGAGTGAAAAGGTAGACAGAGTCGTGTCTCTTAGATTAGGGAAATTTGTATTTGAGCTCATAAAGTGAAAGTAATTATTAAACTGTAGTTTAGAAGAATAAAGTTTTTTTAGCATGTTTAGAATTGTGTATTGTACAAGTTGGTAAAAGTTCAGAAGAGATTTCAGAGTTCGTACTTGCGTAAATGTTGGTAATAGTCTTTAACGTCTGACCGCAATGGTTAAGACGGGAGTTCTTGAAGATTACATCTTGGTATTTGGTAGCAAGGAGTTAGACGCGAGAGAGATGAATGAAATGAAACTACTCGAGGGAGTTTACACGTGTTGGGTTTATATATCTGCCTGTATCACGTGACTGGCTCAAAATTGACTTGGTGCCTAAATTGATTCTGCTCGTGAGAGCGATCTGATTGATTGAAACTGACCAATCAGCAAGTTGGATGTACTGCGATTGACCAATGGTTTCTCGTTGATATTTTGTATGAAAGTAGGATGTTACTTACCAGATAGGAAGAGTGCATTTCCTAAAAAGAGGTAAGGCTGGTTTGTTGTGAAAGATTCCACAAAAGAAACTTCTCGCGTTCATTTTTCATTAGTTAGTCAGCCTTTTCGAATCTTGCCTCAGGTTTACTCTTTATTTCCGATTTTACTGGTGACCGTTGATTGACGACCTCCACAGCCATGGTGAAAAGCAAATAAAATTAAGATAAAAGAAATAGTAGTCAAAAATCAATACTGGTTGGCATTAGGTCATCTATAAAAAAAAAAAAAGATTTATCAAGGTAATATTAGTACAGATCAAAATATTTATCTCATAGACGACTCAGCTAGAAAAAAAAAGTGAAATAAAAACTTAAAAATAACAACCTTGACGTTCGAATTCCGTTTTACAGGCAGCCACGTCCCGCCGAAACCAAACGTTACTGTGATTGGTCGAAATGAACTACACGTGACCTGGTCAACTCCAGCTGAACCACTCGGACGAATTCACCATTACGAACTGTCAATGGACAGTAGTGTTGTCTATTCTGGCAATGACATGCATTTTCACATTCACAGATTGACACCTGACACTGAATATAATTTTGTGGTAAGTTTAATTTGTCAAATTATTGAGCATTCAAACATCCAAGCAGTGTTTTCTCGCCCTTTTTTGTATTTTACAAAATGGCTGAACGTCAAGTGAGAAATTATGGCGCTGGAGGTATTTGTTAAACCTGATTCTTCCTTCGGTGACAACATATTTGATCAAAATTAGATTGTTTATTGGAATGGTTGACAAAACATCGCCTAATTGCCAATTGATTCAAACTTTATAAAATGGTCAATAATAAGGATTCCCTTATAATTGGTTCACATACTTTAATAATTTAATAAATTTTTATAAATTTATGAATATATTTATAAACAATCTAATAAATAAATAATGTTTCATATTTTTGTAGTAAATTCTCAAGAACAAAAGAAATATATAATTTCAATTTCATAATATGTTTAAGTTTTATTCCAATTCTAATCATTGCTTTTTAAAACAATAAACAATGCCAAAGAGTGAAGGTAGTTAAAAAAAAGCGGTGTTATCGGAGTTAGCTCCTCCTCAGTTCCTTAATCCTTCACCAGGGGTCTCTCTCCACTGGCTATAAATACTGGGTGACCTTTCTCGATCTCTCTTTTCCCTCAGGCCTTGGGCCTTATACCACCTCGCGTTGATGAGGTGGGGTAATTCTTTTCTCTTCATTTCAGCTAATATCAATATGTGAGCTCTCACCAATACAGCGTTTCCCAGATTCTGGGAACACTCACCACAATACACACACATAATATTCACCACACAAACCCAATGTAACTGTCCATGTGCTTGTAACTTGTTGCTAATACATATATTTGTTTATATATAATTATCGGTCTTGTTTGTTTTCTTTGGACTTAATTAAAGTCCAACATTCTCATATATCTGGACCGGCTAGCAGGAAATTTTAACTCGCGTGTGTTCTTCACATCCTCATCACCCAAAAGGTCTTCTACGGTGTCATTGGAAAAATCATCCTTTTGACACTCCGTCTTTTTGCAGGCACATTTGTCCATGTTTGCCTAAATTTACTTGGATATTAAAAGTATATTGCATCTGACGCTATATAATCATAATTAAAATCATCATCATAGGGCTTTTTGTATTTTTATCCTTACTCCTCCCATTAAGAATCACAATACATTTTTCTTTTTCAAAATTTCAAAAATTTTCAAAAATCTATACAGGATGAGGCAGGTATTTGAAAAAACATTTTTTTTCAGCGATAAACAGAAGATTACCTGATGTAATATTAGAATAAAACCTAAACATATGAAAATGAATTTATACATTTACTTTGTTCTTGAGAATTAACAACAAAAATAATAAACATTATTTATTAGATTGTTTATTGGAATGGTTGGCAAAACATCGGCAAATTGCAAACTTTAAAAAAATTGTAAATAATAGGGATTTCTTTAGAGTTGGTTCACATATTTTAATAATTTAGTAAATATCTATAAATTTATGAATAAAAATTGTTTTCACATCTATATCTTTATAAATTGGTAAATGATAAACATTGCATTGAATTAGTTTTAATTGTATTAGTTTTTAGAATGTTGTAATATAAAACAAACTAATAAATAAATAGTATTTAATATTTTTGTAGTAAATCCTCAAGAACAAAAGAAATGTATAATTTCACTTTCATAATATGTTTAAGTTTTATTCCAATTCTAATCATTGCTTTTTAAAACAATAAACATGGCCGAAGAATGAAGGTAGTTGAAAAAGCAATGTCATGGAAAAATTCGTTTTTTTTTTCTTCCCAAAAGTCCATATTTGGCATTTCTAATCCTTTAATCTAAAAACAAATATCTTTCTCGACCCTCATCTATGATGCTCACCCACTTCTCCTGTTCATGGTCAGAGATGTCCAGTGTATCATCCCTACGGAGATAGGCTCAAATGTTTAAGACCAGGCAACTGACAAGCAAGTCTATGGTACTGAATGGGATATTTACTGTATAACACATGTTGTATAGATTACTGCTTGATTTCTAAATTAGAGCGTTTTCACTATTTTTCATCAAAGGTGACAAGTCATTATTCCGACTATTGCCCTCATCTTTGTCGCCATATTTATTACAACGTTTCGGCCGTTGTACGCTTCGGCCTTCATCAGGTTCGAATGTCGAACTGAACCCTTTATTTCGCTCACTGGAGTAGACTGTTCTAGTTCCACGTGCCATGTTTAATGGATGTCAGTTATCAGTTATCTCCTGTTAATTTCCCTCTGAAAGTTCTCCACTGCCTTAACCGGGTATTGAACTCACACACTTTGGGTCTTGTCACTGGATCTAACTAATGCCTTTATCCACTGTGCCATGTGTCCTTTAAAAAATTTTCAGAATTTCGCTGAAAATGCTGCAAAAATCAACATAGAAGTGTCCACTTGATATCATTTCTGGTTGACATTCAGTCAATTTGGTACTGTTACCTGACTGGTTCACCATACCCAACCTCTCATGAATTATAAACCCTATGGTATTATTTCTGGTTAACATTCAGTCATTTAGACATTCATTTACCTGACTGGTTCACTATACCCAACCTGTCATGAATTATAAGCCCTATGTATTTCCCTGGATATCTCTTGTTTCCCTGTAATTCTTTAGGCTGAGATTCAAGAATCGGACAAAATTAGATCATGAACACGGTCAACAATATTCAGGAGTTGACGTTGTTAAAGGCCATGCACACTAATTCTTCATGCCTGAGTATGACAAACACTTGTCCCCCAATGTTTGCATCATATGCTCCATGAATTTCTCCTGGAGATTTCTTCTGCAGAAACAGGAACTTCATGTCAACCTGGGGTTCAAAATATGAAAATTCTTCATTTTCCGTTGACATGGTTCAGTCAATGATCTGAAACAAATTTTTAAAATAAATGCAAGGATCTGGTAAATTCACAATTTACAGTCGAAACAAACTCTCTTTCAAACTAGAATAGCAAAAAATGCTCTAATTTCGGGATATGGATCGGACCGGAGTTGTTTTAGGCGTCTATGCCGTTTATTACCAATACAGTTTACAGTTTATATATTTTTTCAAACATTTCTATTTTAGGTAAAATAGGTTTGTTTCATTTTCAAGTTTGTTTATCTTCTATCACTATTTTTGTTTATTTATTTATATACATTTTCCATTATTTAAATTTTGTCATATTTGCATTGTTTAAATTTTGTCATATATGTATTATCTAAATTTTGTCATATATGTATTATTTAAATTATGTAATATTTGCATTATTAAATTTTGTCATATTTGCATTATTTAAATTTTGTCATATTTGCATTATTTAAATTTTGTCATATATGTATTATCTAAATTTTGTCATATTTGCATTATTTAAATTTTGTCATATATGTATTATTTAAATTTTGTCATATATGTATTATTTAAATTTTGTCATATTTGCATTTTTTAAATTTTGTCATATTTGCATTGTTTAAATTTTGTCTATTTTTTATTATTTGAATTTTGCATTTTTTTCGTGATTTAAATTTTGTCATTGTTTTTTACTATCTACGTAGGCATTTGCTTGCTCCTCGCTTATCCATCGCATGCTAAAAATGTTGCAGATTCCTTTCTTAATGTCCCGTAAAAACGTCTCCTACATTTTTTCCCGAAAGTACTACTTCTATAAGAGAACTGCTTTTATCATTCGTTAGGTTTCGGCTGTAACCAGTGAAGGCAGATTTGACAGTAAAATAGTGAAAAAAAGGACAGCAAAAGACGAATGTAAGTTTGTTCTTCTCTTAAAAGGATTAAACCTTTTCAATATTGGATAAAATATCCGGCTGAAAACTTTTGCTTAATAGTTTATTCATTTATTAGGAGAGTGCAAAGGTTACCAACACATTTATATTTGTCCAAAAATTGCAAAATTAATAAAAACTTGAAAAGTTTTTTTTTTTCCTCAAAACTTCTGCACAGATATAATATGAATTAAAATCTGAAAGAGGAAAATATATTGTTTTTAAATTTAAAAGATTTATTTAGATTTACACCATTTTTTTTTTTTTTTTTTTTTTTAGTTTCCAAGCTGCGGATTCATATCTAAGGCACATTGAAAAAAATTCTTTTCGATTTGGATATATATGTTCAAGCAATTTCAGAATACATTGAGGCAAAGTGATGGGATGAAAAGCAACAATAATAAGATGGAATAAAACTAGTAATAAAATAATAGTAATAATGAAGAGTGTATAGAGCCAGAGATAAAAAGCAACAATAATAAGATGGAATAAAAGTAGTAATAAAGTAATAGTAATAATGAAGTGTGTATAGAGCCAAAGTGTTGGGATAAAATGCAACAATAATAAAATGGAATAAAATTAGTAATAAAATAATAGTAATAATGAAGAGTGTATAGAGCCAGAGTGTTGGGATAAAAAGCAACAATAATAAGATGGAATAAAACTAGTAATAAAATAGTAGTAATAATGAAGAGTGTATAGAGTCAGAGTGTCGGGATAAAAAGCAACAATAAGAGGGAATAAAACTAGTAATAAAATAATAGTAGTAATAATGAAGAGTGTATTATCCCAACATGTTGGGATAAAAATCAACAATAATAAGATGGAATAAAACAAATAGAATTAAATAGAAATGTCCTTTATAGAATCTCAGGTGGCGAATGAATTCAGATTCATGCTTTGTCTTTATATCAGAATCAATCATATTCCAAAACATTCTTTGAATTTCGTCAAGAATCTCAAGATATAAAGCAGGAGCTCCAATCCAGATATGGCAACAATGTTCAATGCACTGACGAACGGCAGATTTATAAATATGCATGATATATTCTGACGAGAAAAACCTTCTAGCAATACGCAATGAACCAAGATCTTTCTGTATCCCTACATTGTTAATATTTTTGCTGTCATTTCTCAAGAAAAAAAGAAAATGTATAAATCATGTTTCATATGATTGGGTTTTATTAAAATTCTAAAAACAGCTTTTTTAAAAGAATAAAAATTTCCAAAGTTGTATACAGTAATAGTGGTATGAATAGATAAACCGTCTTTGGGGCACCTGGAGGTGGTGTAATTGTTAGCAAGCTTGTCTCGCTAGAACAATTACGATCAAGTGGTGAGTTCGATTCTCACTGGGTGCCCCCTACTTACGGCCTTGTACCACATCTAAGCTATACATAAACCGTCCTTTTGATACACCGTTTTTGTTTTATTATTAGTTTGTTTTTTGTGGGTATATTTGTTAAACTTTGCCTGTTCACCTAATATAAGACACAAGAGGCACTCAAGGTACGGGGTTACTGAATTGGGAGTTGCGATATGAGCATAAGAAGAGGGAAGTGAAGATTGCAAGGATAGATAAAGATTGATCCTAGACTTGTGGTCCTCATGGAAGCATCCCTGAGCACTACAAGTCTAGGGTAAGGAGTCTGTTCTACAAACGAGCGGTTCTTGGGAAGAAGATTTCGGTGTGCAACCCTCATTTTTTAACAACGTGATACGTAGGAAATGAGGGTGATTCAACTCTGCGGATGTACTAAAGCGAGTTTTGGTCGCAAAGGTCTGAGCTGATACAACGGAAGAATTGATTTCTTCTGAACGTTTGCCACAGATATAATAGTGTTGTAGCATACCTACGGACGATAATGAGTATGTCCCCATTCACATAAATACAGTAGTAAATACTGAATGTTGGTCTGCAGATGGAGATTCGTCTACAGCTGTGCTGGTCAAACTCTCTACCTCCGGGCAAAGAGGATCCCCAGACGAGGCTATGTCGAAGGACAGTCTCGTCTCGGGAAACAGCTACACGACCCCGTTTTAGACGGGGTCTACGGGGAATTTTTAGCCGAGCCTACGGACTCGGATACCCCACCTTAAATTCAGCCTTGTGTCACATCTGACCGCTTGGGGCGGTTGGTAAATATCCTGCATTTGGAACTTCGTCTCTAGCTGTGCTGGTCAAATTCTGCCTCCGGATAGAGAGGATCCCCAGATGAGGCTATGTTCTATACGGGGCCTACGGGGAATTTTTAGCCGAGCCTACGGCTCGGATACTCCACATTAAATTTGGACTTGTGCCACATCTGACCGCTTGGGGTGGTTGGTAGATATCATGCAGTTGGAGATTCATTGTGGAATTCACTTGACTCACTTCTAGCAGTTGACTACTTCTACGCATCGCTGGCGAATCTTGTATGTATTGTTCTTGTCCTAAGTATTATCGTTCATTACCAACCATCATGTGATTATTCTATTTAGTGACCTTCCCTAGGTTACGACAAATAGCATGTACGCTTCCTGCCTCCCGATCATTTTCGCCTTGGTTGTGCTGAGAACTTTTCATCACCCGCCTCGTAATTCCTGGAATTCGTCTGTAATGGACGGTCTTTTTTTTTTGTTTTTTGTTTTTTTTCTATTTTAGACGAGGTAAACAGCGCTAAAGTTCTGACGACAGCGGAAATTGCCAGAGCCGCCGAGGAGACCAATGCTCAAACATCTGTTTCCAGAAGATGCAAATCTGCCTGTATTCCTCTTAAGTCTGGTAGACCCTCTTCAAAAGTGAAGGTTGGTTCTTTGCTAAGCTTAGCTCCATCTGTTACAATGTCACAAAATATACAGGACCGGTGCGTACTACTCTCGAATTTGATTGGAGTCCCCGGGAAATGCTTTTTGATTCTTGCTATCTTGTCAACATTTGTTTTTCCCAACTACATTTATATACATTACAAATTAAATTAATTACAACTGACTATTAAAGGATTCAAAATTTTCGCTAATTTTGACGTCATTCTGGGGCCCTTTTTCGTCCAATTCCGTGAATTTGTTTTGGTCATGCTATGTCTTGAAAAAAAGAAAACACGATATAAGATTCACTATTTTTCTTCCATAGTGTTGAATGTATTAAAATTATTCGACTTTTTAACAAGAAAAATCTCAAGTTGATGTTAAAAATTACCACAAAACATTGATGATTTATTTAAAATGGAATGGTCTATTATGACATATCTCTAATTTGTATTTACATACATTGTATTTATTTGGGCACCTCGAGGGGATGTAATGGTTAGCAAGCTTGTCTCGCTAGAACAATTACGACTGAGTAGTGAGTTCGATCGTCACTGGGTGCTCCCATACTTTCGGCCTTGTGCCACATCTGAGCCATGCTTGGAAAATCACTTTATTTGGGCACCTCGAGGCGATATAATGGTTAGCAAGCTTGTCTCGCTAGAACAATTACCACTAAGTAGTGAGTTCGATCCTCACTGGGTGCTCCCTACTTTCGGCCTTGTGCCACACCTAAGTTACGTTTGGAAAATCCATATGGGCATCTCGGCGTGGTGTAATGGTTAACAAGCTTGTCTCGCTAGAACAATTACGACTGAATAGTGAGTTCGATCCTCCCTGGGTGCTCCTCACTTTCGGCCTTGTGCCTGTTAGACATTTTCATGACGGTCGTCCTCGAGTATCGAATCCAGAGGTTGGCAGTGAATATTTCGGAGTCAGTAGGAAAGCGTAATGCAGGTTCGCAGTGGATATCACAGCAGAGTGTAGTTCATCCTTCTCCTGGTCGCTTTTGGTCCTTCCGGTAGGAGGAAACAAGATGGCCGCCTTTATACACTATGAATACAGTGTTAGGCTTCTGATTGGTCAACCTTCTATTGGTCGACTATAAAATAATCATTCTGACTCGCTCACTAGTTATATGGTATATACCCAAAAAACCGTAACAGTGCCACATCTAAGCTACGCTTAGTAAATAACCATTACATTTATTTTCAATTTTTCTAGTTGAATTGTTCACCTATGTTGCATATGATCAATTATTATACATAATTAGGTTACAATAAAATTTGTATTTTGTATGAATACTACCTTATGGAAACTGAGACGTAATAGCTGATGGAGGCCCCGTATCATAGATTCGGTGTGAGCTCAGACACTCTTGCACCGGCCCTGCCTATATAATTTGCTCTGGTAATGGTCTACGAGATCGTGACTAGCTTCCTAAACATCACAAAAGACCCAAAATTCATGCCGTATTAATGTTTTCCCAAATTCAGCCCACAGACTAAGTAAGTTGATACTGAAACTTTGTTGATTAATAATTTCATATGTGTTTTAAATGCTGTATAAATTTTATATTTCTCCGTAAATTAATTAAATTTCGTTTTAAGTCGGTATCCACTCAGTGGGGCCATTGTATTTTATTACCTTGCCCGAAACTGATTAATAAAATGTGTTCTAATAATGTGATCGCTATAATTCAAATCTGTTTAGACTGTTTTACCAAATCTTAATTTATACCGACTTTTAAATTCTTTCTTCAAAAACACTAAAAGTTTGTAATTTACGAGCAACTGAGTAAATAGACGTTGGTTATGTACTCGATAGATTGGGGTTCGTCTACTCAGGTTTTTGTTTTTATCTGAATGTCTGGATTCCAAACATTTAACAATAACACATCTGTTAAATGAAACACAAAAAAGGTTATTTTTTATGACGGTTAGCCTAATGTGTTTGTGAGTTTGTAGACAAAGGCTTAGTAGGCGATTGCTGATTAATCGCTTCTATTGTATGCGTGAACAAGGCCTCAGTCAGAATGTCTCTCTTACATTGTGTGCAGCTGTGTTGGTGCGTGTGTGTGTACGCATGTGTAGATCAAATTGACCTCCCAAATTGTTGTGAATTTCGAAAAGAAGTACGCTTCTATTTTTATATTCATAAGGAGATTCGAAATAGAGCTGTGATTAAAAGTTTTTTATTGGTTAAAAAATAATTTCACATTGCCTCGCGAAAATCTTTTTCTCGAATTTGCAGGAATGGTGAAGGGAGTTATTATTATTCTTTTCCAAATGTTCTAAAAATAACAAGTGGTAGTTCTACGGCTACCTCCGTATTTTTGCAGTATTTGCTCTTGTAATGATTGTTTATCAAACAAACTTTCTGATGGGATTTTATTAGTTGAAAATAAAATATAAAATATTTCTATATTTCTATCTAATAGATTACGTCATCGAAAAATAATTTTATGTTGCGTTAAAAATTCAGGATTATTCAATAAAGAAAATAATTTCATCCCAACCAAGGCGGTAGTGCCACTAGTACAAAGAGGACTACAGGGAGTGTAAGTGAAAGAGAATAGAGAAGGTTGAGTAAAGGACAAAAGATAAACGGGATTCAAATATACAAAAGATGGCGATTGACATTACATTTAAATTTTTGAAGATTGTAGTTATCGACGAAGCAAGGAAACGGAAAGTAGCTCCACAGGTGGGAAGTGCGAGAAAATGAGCTGTTGGAGTAGAAGCGGAGGTTGAATTTAGCTATTTCAACAGTAAAAGGGTGGGACCAAGACGCCAATCTAGTAGCATGCTTAAATACACGCAGTCGGAACATCAAGGAAAAAAAGATCGTCAGGGCAGTTGCCATGGAAATATTTGTAGAAAAGACAGAGGGAAGCCACGTCATATCGGCGGGAAAGTGACTGAAGTCGAGTTGCCTGGTAAGGATCAATTACATTACAGATTCTTCTTTGGATTTTGTCAAGAATCTTGAGATGTACAGCAAGAGCACCAGACCAGATATGGCGACAGTATTCAATGGACGAACGAATGGTAGATTTATAAATGTGAAAGATGGATTACGACGAGAAAAATTGTCTGGCACGACACACTGATTATTTTAGTGGAATAATTAAGAAGTATAGAACACTGCTCGCCTCTCTCTACTCACACATTATATATTATTGAGTTTACCGATTAAATAAGTCAATGACTGATCCTTACCACCCCTTCTTCAATATTAAGTATGATAGAAAGTAATATAAAAATAAACCCTCTCTAAACTTGACCGTGTCTCTCACACCACTCCTCGCTACCTTCTCTGTTAAATGACATAAACTTAATACCACCCGTCAAAAGTGTAAATTTTCATTTCATTTTTCGTTTCACCGTTTGAAAGTGATGTCTGAAGATCCAAAATACTTTAAAAGGGGTCTCTGGTGAAATAAACTATTACAATGGAGCCTTAAAGTAGTCTGTTTTTCTTTATTTATATATATATATATATATATATATATATATATATATGTATGTCTGACTGAAGAAATTACAAACATTATGTCTGGTTATTTTTGTCATAAACCTTTCATATTCAAGAATATTTTTTCGTATGTACTAAATTATGTTATTGCAATATATAGAAAAATATCCGTGAATATGAAAGGATTATGACAAAAATAACCAGATATAATGTTTGGAATTTATTCACTTGTTCAGGCCTAAAAGTGGATTTGCTGGCTAAATCAACAAATAAAGATGGACATATACAGATCAGTCGTTCTCTCAACCCTTGTATATGGTGCTGAAACTTGGACCCAGCACCGCATGCATATAAATCAACTTGATGCTTTTCACATGCGCTGTCTTCGTGCCATATGTGATATAAAATGGGATGACAGGGTCAAGAACAGTGCAATACTGATGAAATGTAACAACATCACAGGCGGTGAAAGTTACAACTTAGGCGGGCTCGTCATGTTGTGAAAATGGATGAGCATAGGCTTTCAAAGAAGGCGTTGTATGGACAACTGCCAAATTCCAAGCGTTCAGTTAGACGTCCACACTTACGCTACAAAGACAAATTGAAAGACAGCTTGAAACGTCTCAACTTTGATCTGAAAAGCTGGGAAGCCCAAGCATCAGACCGAAAGAAGTGGCCTAAGACATGTTTCATTAAGTTAAAGGGTTTTGAAGACAGTAGACTGAAGCACCGTGATCAGCTTCGTCAAGCTCTGAAGCAGAGACGCCATCAAAATCCTGCTTTAACAAATTTCATCTGTCAGTGTGGCTTTGTCGCCCTCAGCAAGACTGGGCTAGTAGCACACTTAAGAAAACACAATAAAATATATCTTTCCCTTCCCTGATTTTTTCCACAATATCCCCTGCTAGCATGCATAAGTGTAAAACAAAAGGCACCATCCTCATGCTGACCCTCATTTATCGTTCGCGATAGGAGAGTCCATCGTATAAAAATGGGTAGGATAAAAAAATCTACTTAGACGTACATATACTTGTACGTACGTATAAATATATTTCTTCTTCAGGAGTTATAAATACAGTGCTCAATGTTATGAAACAGAGCTATACGTATATATTAGTGAATATACATAATATTCAACGTCGATAGCACGACTCGGAGTGTAGTGGGCCGTGGCTGTAATGTTTTTGAGTAGAAGTAGAAGAAACGTGTGGGTTCAGATTTTCCTGCTAGCTGGTCCAACTACACAAGAAAGTTGGAATTTTAATTAAGTCCAAAAAGAAAACAAACAAAACACAAGACCGATAATATATGTATACAAATATATATATTAATAACAGGTTACATAGAAACAGTTACAAAAGGACAAAGTGTGTGTGAATATTATATGTGTGCGTTTGTGTGTGTGTGTGTGTGTGTGTGTGTGTGTGTGTGTGTGTGTGTGTGTGTGTGTGTGTGTGTGTGTGTATTGTGCTTAGCGTGTTCCCAGCATTTTTGGGAAACGCTATCTCTGGTGAGCGTTCACATTTTTGAGGTGGTAAGGCTGGAAGCCTGAGGAAAAAAGAGAGATTTACCTCAAGGTGTCGGCGCACAGGCCTGAGGGAAAAAGAGAAAGAGGCGAAGAGTCAGCGGCTATTTATAGCAGCGAAGAGCGACCCCTGGTGAAAGGGTTACGAACTGAAGGAGGAGTTAACTCCGACAGGAGTTAACTCCGACAGGAGTTTCAAGCAGTTCTTGCAAGTATTGCAAGAGGTGCATGAAACTCCGGAGAGAAGTGCGAACCTATCTATTCCAATTGAGGCGAGATAACCAAAAATAAGTAAATACAATTTCAGATTTTGAACGGTGACATTAGAAATATAGATTTGAAACCGATTTTAGAAGGAAGCGGAAACCCAATCTTAAACATGAAACAAGGAATAAATGAAATCTCTACTCCTGCTCAAAAAGATACCACCTAGAATAATGTATGACAAAATATGCAATGTTTTATTTCAGAATCTTAGTTATAAACGTCTTTATTACTCTTTTGGAACAGAACATCAGTAAAGAGATACCAAGGCCTGGGAAGACGCCAACAGCGAATAGCCATTCCATAAAACGCTCCAGTCTTCACTCCGCCATACAACGATTCGACTGTAACCAGAGAAAAATGTCTGTCAAATCTTCAAGCGCCACCTGCACTGCCAATCGTACGAATCACGACGCAAAATCAAACAGAAAATCTGTTCGCATGTTCCCCAGTTACATTAACATCAGTCTAGGAAGCAGTAACCAGAAAGACGATGTTATGAACGTGGTACGTAATGGACGTCTTGTTAGAACGAACACGTTTGTCTTAAGCCAATCAAATCGATCCTCCGGTCGGCAACTGGATAAATCAGCCAATGGTATTGAAGCTGGAGTTTTATGCGGCGCAGCTTCCACTCCCGTTCAAAACGACTATAACTGTAGAAAAACTATTGATGTTACTAACACCATGACATCAATAAACGATTCGAGGTCCCCAATGATTCACTCAGCTTGTCGTATGTGGAGTGTACCCTCGGCTTTTAGAAGTAAATCCGCAGTAAGAAACCAATCGAAAAAATCGAGCACAGCGATAAACTCTCGTTTTTCCAATTATTTCATCCGTTCTTGTCACGAGAACCAAGCAAGGTCGGTGTTCAATTCACACCGTTGGCTTGCGATGGAAAGCCGGCCGTGTTTGGAACTAAGAGTTCCAGTTTCGACTCCAGAGACTGCTAACACTCTCAGTACTTCGTCTGGAAAGAGCTCTACTTATTCGGATTCTTCATCGACAGACAAAAAACAAGTGTGCTTCGAAGATATCTCTATGCAAGACGACCAAGAGACAGACAGCAAAAATCCTATCACCCAGGAAGGGATCAACCAAGAATCTCTCTTGCAATGTCTACAGACACTGGAAATAAATGATAAAATTACAAATGGCCAGGTTGGAACCACCAAAAGCGATCAAGATTCTCTCAGCGGCATCCAAATATCTTCGGAAAATACTGAACCTCAGATTATCGACCTTTCCGAAGCTTCTACGGATTGTAAAGAAAAGAACAAATCTGAGGAGTTTATTCGGGTTTGTTCTGAAATTTGTGAGCATTCCTCTAAAACTGAATGCGATGAGGATGCTAATTCTTATAAAAGTCACGTGTGTAAAGGCCTGGGTGATTTAGATAAAACTTTACCAGCGAGATCGAGGAAACTAGAAATAGAATCCGGATATGATAGAAACAGCCGTTTCTTGAGCAAGACTTCGAATATTTTGCCGTTTAATGAAAATAATTTAAACAGCGAGAAATTCTGGAAAAAGACGGACGCTTATAACAAAAGGTAAGTAAATAATGCTATGAAACAATAGTAATTAATAGAAACTCTTAATTAAGTAATTAATAACATGTAATAAAAGTGCTAATATTTGAGGAATAATATTAGTATAGGACGCCCACTGTAGAGCAATAATAATAATATCAAAAATAATAATAACATTAATAATAATAATGATGATAATAATAATAATAATAGTGATAAATAAAACGCTATTCCATATCTGAGGTATTGCAATTATTTACACTATTTACATTGTTTCGGCCGTTGTACGCTTCGGCCTTCTTCAGGTGATTGGAATTCCGAGCCGAACCCTTTATTTCGTCCACTGGGGTTGACCAGTGGATAAAAGCGTTGGTAATCCAATGTAATCCAGTGACTTGACCCAAAGAATTGTGAGCTCAATATCTGGTTATTGCAGAGGTGAACAAATCCTGGAGTTAAAGGGAAATAACTGAAAATTGAGATATCTGAAAGAGGCATGGCACGTGGAACTAGAACAATCTACCCCGGTGGACGAAATAAAGGGTCCGGTTCGAAATTTCAATCACATGAAAAAGACCCGAGCGTAGAACAGTAATAATAATAATAATAATAATAATAATAATAATAATAATAATAATAATGATAAATAAAATGATTGACGTAACTATTTCATATCTGTTTATATTTCTACAATGAAGTATTGCAATTATTTATACTATTTACATTGTTTGGACCGCTGTCCTCATCTTAGTTGTCATATTCACCACATTAGAAAGATCCTTAGTAGCCCCTTTTTACAAGAAATTTAAAAGAATACACTGCATGGAAATGCTCATCTACTCAGGAGATTATTATCAAGGTAAACATAAATATATTTATTACCTTGTTTTTCTTTTTATTCATAGGTAATAAGGGGATCAGAAAGCAAATTAATAATAATAATAAGCAAAATGATTAACGTAACTCTTCCTATATTTTTTAACAGTTAAGAGAAGAGTGCAGTTTAAAAAAAGGTAAAGAGAAGAAAAAAACGAAGTGTTTAACAATGTTAAACAATATTTCAACAAAATGTCTGTCTTCTTCAAGTTATATTAAAATTATGTTGCTTGTCTTGTCATGAAAAAACGGCTCAAAACGAATGAAACACCACCCGCATGCGACTGAAACGTGTTTAATATGATGGCGAACTCGTTCATCTTGAGATTTTCCGTTAGTTACTAAGAGGAATTAGTCAAAAAGATTAGTATAAATCTTCTGGAACTCTCCTGTCATTCTGTTCATTCCCCCGGGCCACGAAATTAATAATTTGCTTTCGTAACCACCATCATGCTTTTTAAAGGTCGACAGTACGGTAGATTCTGGGTTTTTTTTCAGAATGTTTGTCGAAATTACAGTCGTTTGTAATAAAATGCTCTGCATGCTCCGTTGATGTTACATTATAGTGTCTGACATCATACCTGTGTCCATTGAATCTTTTATTTAATTTTTCCGTTGTACAAACTAAATAAATCAAGCCATGTTTGACACATTGGGCGGCATATATTAAATGGAAATCAGTAAAATTACCACCCTCTGTCAAAATCGTGATGTTTCTCTTTGAACACGATGAAGTTTGGGAAAAAGCTTTTCCTCCAAATCAAAGGATGTGCAATGGGGAATCCCATGGTCGTTAACTTTGCAAATGTCTATGAGAAATTTCGAAGAAAAACTACTGGAAGATTTCAAATCACAACACAGCCATTAGGGATGCCTGTAAGGCCTAATACTGAGAAATGTGAGAAAGGAAGACATTTTAAATATGTAAAAACAGATGAAACATGAAATAAATACTTTATTCAAATTAAATATAAACTTGTAAAGACCGGATTGTAGATGGACCAATACTATTTATATCAACGATATTTCCAACGTACAGGATTAACTTCAAATTGTTAATCAACAAATATATATTGAAACAACATACAAGAACAAACATGCAATAAAGTTGTGTTCAATGTATAGATTAAGGAAAAGAATTTGTTCCCCTTTAACTGTAGATTGATATGTAATTGATTGTTTGAAGAAAGTTCTCTTGAGAGAAAAATGTTCAGAAATCAATATTAGAACAAAGTCTGCATGTTAAGAATAAATAACACAAAAATACAATTAATTAAAAATGAGTTATAGAATGGTTTGAATCAACAGAGCTCTGGTCGATTGTACTTGGCAAAAGTCACAGAGAGAAATGTAAGTTTATATTACGAAATGCTGTGTCTGTGTGTGCGTTTGAAATGTGATGAGTAAGATCGTGGATTTGTGTTGACGGCTGGAATCTTACGGGATCTTACTGACGACTTGCGAAAAGTCGCCCATTTTAAGAAAAAAGGGTTGGCTCCCACGACAACGCGGGAAAATTTAATCTTGCATTAAAATATGTGAATGGTTAAAAATTAACCACATCACATCACTACACTCGTACTAACAGAACAGGTAAGCAAGTTCAAAACCGAAGGGTTCAAAGAAACGACTGCGATGGCTAAATTGTCTTATCTAAAAGTAGTAGTGATTTATTAGCCAATCGCTGGTGAATAAGATGTGGGCGTGGAAAAACATAGCAACCGCTACAAACTAAATTCTTTTTTCATTTCTTTTTTTGATTGAATGCCTTCTCGATATGGATGCTCCGGGCCGTCTTACCCTCTGCCTCCACCTTCTGCATGCTACTGCATTCAGGCCACTATTTTCCTAGTTATCATTGGAGCGTTGTTGCCTCTACCACAAAGCTTAAAGAACTACATTGAGAAAATCGGAATAAAGTCTAGTATTCCGTCGCTTCAGAAGTCTGCGTTGCTTGACACTACAAATATTCTGCGAAAGGTGGTCTCTGTGTGAAGTTGCATTTTATGGAGAACACCAGTAATTCATGATCTTCAGTTGAAAACGAAAACCGTGCAAAAGAAATTATACATACATATATATATATATATATATATATATATATATATATATGTATGTATGTATTATTTCTTTCTAAAAATATTTTCTGGCTTTAAATAACCTACAAAGGGTTGATAAGCTATAAAAACAAATCAATCAATAGGTATATAGTTAAGTACTTTGATATGTGAAAAGTGGTTAAAAAGTGAATCTTGAGTACTATTAATGGTAGTCTGAGGAATATAATTTTAATATTAGTCACCATTAATCGGCTTAGCTGAATGTGCTTGTATTTAAGGGTCTCATGTAGGCTCCAGGGAGTGATTTGGAATATGGTATTCAACTGTGTTTCTGATTGGATAGAAAATGTTTTGCGGCTATTATTTTTTTTTAAGTGGAACATTGCTGTTTTCATCCTCTCTCTTTGTAAAGAAAATATTATTTTAATTTTAATTCTAGTCTACGAAAATCACAGATTAACCGCCAAATCAACTGTTGTAGTTTATCCCATTTAAAAAAAAATAATTTTAAAATGTAAAGCTTTAAACCTCTATAAGAAGACATTTTTTGTTTTCTCTTAAGAGTCAAACCAAGAACAGTGCGAAGTGCAAGAATTCTGAAATACAATCGGTCGACATCTGCTCCTCGCAGACCCGGTACGGTCAGCGTTTCGGAATCGGGGCGTCAGAGACTAACAGGAGACAAATCCACCTGCAGTGAGGCCATCTTGAAGTCGGAAAGCAGCGCTAAGTCTTTAGGAATACGTACTATGTCTCTAACGCCGACACCAAATATAACTGGGCCATGTCATAAGAATTCCTTGTTTTCTGAAGGCTTTGTACCCAGCCAGTTAAGGACACAGCCATGTAACCTTAACTTGCGACAGCTTCAAAGAATTCATACGACACTGCTTGGAATCCGAGGTATTTTATTCCTTCTTATATAATTTTAAACAAATTATTTGGTTTCATGCCTTCCTATTCAAATCATCATGCTCATCCTGTTTGTTATCTTGATTTACATTATTTGACGCGTTCGGCGGAGGAGGAGCGTATTCAACATTTGATAATTTTGCGGCAATACGTGCTTAAAGTTTTTAGGCAGTTTTGATCAACGTTTCTTTTCATGGTTACGAATTATAAAGAATTGTAAATGGACTATATTACAATTGAGTAAAATAATAACAATAATATTTATTAAGAATTTATTACAGGAAATATCAAGTTTTACAGAAAAATTGTTAACAATTGTGTATTTAGTTACATAAATAAATAAAAATAATATAAATTTTGATGCAATATTCGATTTGTTTTTGGTATTTTTCATTTTCTCCTTTATTATTGGCAGCATTTTAGAAAATTCTTTGGCTGCAATGATAAGTTTCCTAAGCTGAACAAACTGGAGTTATTTCGTTTACGCTTTGTTACCTCTCTTTTTTCATTGTTGATTTTAGATTTTGATGGGCAATAGCGAAATTCTGGAAATTAAAATGATATTATTCCATTTTAAAAGTAAAGCCTGTAAAAAAGAATATTTTAAAAATATACAACCAAAAATAAAATGATTTTGACAAAAAAAAATTAATGATTTCATTATAATTATGTAACAATAATGTAATGATGTTCCACAGAAAAAATCTATGGTTTATGTTACCTCATTCCGTTTCATGGTTACGAACTATGAACCTAAATTGAGCTTGAAATATTGTTTAATCAGTTCTAAGTTTTTGTAAAATACTTGGATATGATATAATGAATAATTTTCAGTGAAAAAAGACATTTTTCGATTTTTTGTTGAATACGCCCCTCCTCCACTTTGACTATTGTCTTCATTATTTGTATTATTATCACAAAGTTTCGACCCTTGTACTATCCGGCTTTCATCAGATGCTTGTCAGTCCGGGTAACCATTAGGGAACTTTGAACAGAGCTTCTTATTTATGCTAGTGGGGTATCATACTCTCGTTCTACTGACCATGTGTATGGATATCTCGTTCTTATTTAGAGACTCACGTTGCTGCTTCAAGTCTCAGCAGCAGGCAAATAAGCTTTAAGTTCTTGACTCGGGATTGTCCCACATGACAATAGCCTGGTTTAAAGTGTTGGTTCGGAAATTTAGTGACTAGGAAATTGTGAGTTAAATCGCTGAACTTGGTAGATTCAGTGGAAACAGAGCGAGCAATACTAAGAACTTATCCCTAGACGCGGTCAGCGGAAAGAGAAAAATTGACACCCGTAGATTAAGTAAAGGGTTCAGTTCGAACGCAAATCGACAAGTAGCCGACGGTCATCACCAGAAACAATTCATAAATTTTACGTAAGAATGTTCCTAATGCGCAAAAAATTCGGGTATTTCCAAGAGAAGCCGTAAAACCCTTGATTTAAATGAAATTGTAAAGGTTCCCCACTTAATAAGAAAACAAATCATATGATGATGTTGCTATGATGTACAATAAAAACAAATCTTCTATCTATCACATTTTTATAATTGTTCTATTTTATTATTAGTTATTGTTGTTAATCTCTTATTATGCCTAATAAGATCTACGGTAAGAACGAATCTTTTATCTGTCACATAACTTTTATTTCAGTCTATTGTTAGAATTGTTCTATTTTATTATTAGTTATTGTTGTTAATCTCTTATTGTGCCTAATAAGATCTACGGTAAGAACGAATCTTTTATCTGTCACATAACTTTTATATAGTCTATTGTTAGAATTGTTCTATTTTATTATTAGTTATTGTTGTTAATCTCTTATTGTGCCTAATAAGATCTACGGTAAGAACGAATCTTTTATCCGTCACATAACTTTTATTTCAGTCTATTGTTAGAATTGTTCTATTTTATTATTAGTTATTGTTGTTAATCTCTTATTATGCCTAATAAGATCTACGGTAAGAACGAATCTTTTATCCGTCACATAACTTTTATTACAGTCTATTGTTAGAATTGTTCTATTTTATTATTAGTTATTGTTGTTAATCTCTTATTATGCCTAATAAGATCTACGGTAAGAACGAATCTTTTATCTGTCACATAACTTTTATTACAGTCTATTGTTAGAATTGTTCTATTTTATTATTAGTTATTGTTGTTAATCTCTTATTATGCCTAATAAGATCTACGGTAAGAACGAATCTTTTATCCGTCACATAACTTTTATTACAGTCTATTGTTAGAATTGTTCTATTTTATTATTAGTTATTGTTGTTAATCTCTTATTATGCCTAATAAGATCTACGGTAAGAACGAATCTTTTATCTGTCACATAACTTTTTATTACAGTCTATTGTTAGAATTGTTCTATTTTATTATTAGTTATTGTTGTTAATCTCTTTATTATGCCTAATAAGATCTACGGTAAGAACGAATCTTTTATCCGTCATATAACTTTTATTACAGTCTATTGTTAGAATTGTTCTATTTTATTATTAGTTATTGTTGTTAATCTCTTATTATGCCTAATAAGATCTACGGTAAGAACGAATCTTTTATCCGTCACATAACTTTTTTATTACAGTCTATTGTTAGAATTGTTCTATTTTATTATTAGTTATTGTTGTTAATCTCTTATTATGCCTAATAAGATCTACGGTAAGAACGAATCTTTTATCCGTCACATAACTTTTATTACAGTCTATTGTTAGAATTGTTCTATTTTATTATTAGTTATTGTTGTTAATCTCTTATTATGCCTAATAAGATCTACGGTAAGAACGAATCTTTTATCCGTCATATAACTTTTATTACAGTCTATTGTTAGAATTGTTCTATTTTATTATTAGTTATTGTTGTTAATCTCTTATTATGCCTAATAAGATCTACGGTAAGAACGAATCTTTTATCCGTCATATAACTTTTATTACAGTCTATTGTTAGAATTGTTCTATTTTATTATTAGTTATTGTTGTTAATCTCTTATTATGCCTAATAAGATCTACGGTAAGAACGAATCTTTTATCCGTCATATAACTTTTATTACAGTCTATTGTTAGAATTGTTCTATTTTATTATTAGTTATTGTTGTTAATCTCTTATTATGCCTAATAAGATCTACGGTAAGAACGAATCTTTTATCCGTCATATAGCTTTTATTACAGTCTATTGTTAGAATTGTTCTATTTTATTATTAGTTATTGTTGTTAATCTCTTATTATGCCTAATAAGATCTACGGTAAGAACGAATCTTTTATCCGTCATATAGCTTTTATTACAGTCTATTGTTAGAATTGTTCTATTTTATTATTAGTTATTGTTGTTAATCTCTTATTATGCCTAATAAGATCTACGGTAAGAACGAATCTTTTATCCGTCACATAACTTTTATTACAGTCTATTGTTAGAATTGTTCTATTTTATTATTAGTTATTGTTGTTAATCTCTTATTATGCCTAATAAGATCTACGGTAAGAACGAATCTTTTATCCGTCATATAGCTTTTATTACAGTCTATTGTTAGAATTGTTCTATTTTATTATTAGTTATTGTTGTTAATCTCTTATTATGCCTAATAAGATCTACGGTAAGAACGAATCTTTTATCCGTCACATAACTTTTATTACAGTCTATTGTTAGAATTGTTCTATTTTATTATTAGTTATTGTTGTTAATCTCTTATTATGCCTAATAAGATCTACGGTAAGAACGAATCTTTTATCTGTCACATAACTTTTATTACAGTCTATTGTTAGAATTGTTCTATTTTATTATTAGTTATTGTTGTTAATCTCTTATTATGCCTAATAAGATCTACGGTAAGAACGAATCTTTTATCCGTCATATAGCTTTTATTACAGTCTATTGTTAGAATTGTTCTATTTTATTATTAGTTATTGTTGTTAATCTCTTATTATGCCTAATAAGATCTACGGTAAGAACGAATCTTTTATCCGTCACATAACTTTTTTATTACAGTCTATTGTTAGAATTGTTCTATTTTATTATTAGTTATTGTTGTTAATCTCTTATTATGCCTAATAAGATCTACGGTAAGAACGAATCTTTTATCCGTCATATAGCTTTTTTTATTACAGTCTATTGTTAGAATTGTTCTATTTTATTATTAGTTATTGTTGTTAATCTCTTATTATGCCTAATAAGATCTACGGTAAGAACGAATCTTTTATCCGTCATATAGCTTTTATTACAGTCTATTGTTAGAATTGTTCTATTTTATTATTAGTTATTGTTGTTAATCTCTTTATTATACCTAATAAGATCTACGGTAAGAACGAATCTTTTATCCGTCATATAACTTTTATTACAGTCTATTGTTAGAATTGTTCTATTTTATTATTAGTTATTGTTGTTAATCTCTTATTATGCCTAATAAGATCTACGGTAAGAACGAATCTTTTATCCGTCACATAACTTTTATTACAGTCTATTGTTAGAATTGTTCTATTTTATTATTAGTTATTGTTGTTAATCTCTTATTATGCCTAATAAGATCTACGGTAAGAACGAATCTTTTATCCGTCATATAACTTTTATTACAGTCTATTGTTAGAATTGTTCTATTTTATTATTAGTTATTGTTGTTAATCTCTTATTATGCCTAATAAGATCTACGGTAAGAACGAATCTTTTATCCGTCACATAACTTTTATTACAGTCTATTGTTAGAATTGTTCTATTTTATTATTAGTTATTGTTGTTAATCTCTTTATTATGCCTAATAAGATCTACGGTAAGAACGAATCTTTTATCCGTCACATAACTTTTATTACAGTCTATTGTTAGAATTGTTCTATTTTATTATTAGTTATTGTTGTTAATCTCTTATTATGCCTAATAAGATCTACGGTAAGAACGAATCTTTTATCCGTCATATAACTTTTATTACAGTCTATTGTTAGAATTGTTCTATTTTATTATTAGTTATTGTTGTTAATCTCTTATTATGCCTAATAAGATCTACGGTAAGAACGAATCTTTTATCCGTCATATAACTTTTATTACAGTCTATTGTTAGAATTGTTCTATTTTATTATTAGTTATTGTTGTTAATCTCTTATTATGCCTAATAAGATCTACGGTAAGAACGAATCTTTTATCCGTCACATAACTTTTATTACAGTCTATTGTTAGAATTGTTCTATTTTATTATTAGTTATTGTTGTTAATCTCTTATTATGTCTAATAAGATCTACGGTAAGAACGAATCTTTTATCCGTCATATAGCTTTTATTACAGTCTATTGTTAGAATTGTTCTATTTTATTATTAGTTATTGTTGTTAATCTCTTATTATGCCTAATAAGATCTACGGTAAGAACGAATCTTTTATCCGTCACATAACTTTTATTACAGTCTATTGTTAGAATTGTTCTATTTTATTATTAGTTATTGTTGTTAATCTCTTATTATGCCTAATAAGATCTACGGTAAGAACGAATCTTTTATCTGTCACATAACTTTTATTTCAGTCTATTGTTAGAATTGTTCTATTTTATTATTAGTTATTGTTGTTAATCTCTTATTATGTCTAATAAGATCTACGGTAAGAACGAATCTTTTATCCGTCATATAGCTTTTATTACAGTCTATTGTTAGAATTGTTCTATTTTATTATTAGTTATTGTTGTTAATCTCTTATTATGCCTAATAAGATCTACGGTAAGAACGAATCTTTTATCCGTCACATAACTTTTATTACAGTCTATTGTTAGAATTGTTCTATTTTATTATTAGTTATTGTTGTTAATCTCTTATTATGCCTAATAAGATCTACGGTAAGAACGAATCTTTTATCTGTCACATAACTTTTATTTCAGTCTATTGTTAGAATTGTTCTATTTTATTATTAGTTATTGTTGTTAATCTCTTATTATGTCTAATAAGATCTACGGTAAGAACGAATCTTTTATCCGTCACATAACTTTTATTACAGTCTATTGTTAGAATTGTTCTATTTTATTATTAGTTATTGTTGTTAATCTCTTATTATGCCTAATAAGATCTACGGTAAGAACGAATCTTTTATCCGTCACATAACTTTTTATTACAGTCTATTGTTAGAATTGTTCTATTTTATTATTAGTTATTGTTGTTAATCTCTTATTATGCCTAATAAGATCTACGGTAAGAACGAATCTTTTATCCGTCACATAACTTTTATTACAGTCTATTGTTAGAATTGTTCTATTTTATTATTAGGCATTTTTGTTAATCTCTTTTTTAAATTTATAAGTTAAACGTTATCATGTTTGTGTATGTAGAGGAAAACAAGCCATATGTACAGGTTATAGTTTCAGGTATCCCTTGAGATTTTTGCACATATCCTGCGTGGATGAGGGTGTTGTTATTGTATTTTATGAATTTCTCACAATGAAAAGGCTAAGTTATATCTAATTATTGTTACATTGTTAATGCTTACAGGATATATGTGTCCTCCCTCAGTTTAATTTTTATCTTTCCAGGAGACAACGACAAATTGGTCATCGAGACATTGCTCTACCAAAGAAATCAAAACCAACAACGAAACATGACACAAACAAATGATTTAAGAAAATCTTCAAAGAGATTAATCCAGAGAAGTGCAACTATGAGGTAACTGTCTTTGTTCTTGATATTCTACTCCAGAATAATAATAATAATAATAATAATAATCGTCGTCGTCGGCATCTGTCCGTCTCGAGAGAAGATGGAGTAGCACGGTGAGCTACGAGCCTGGGCGGGATATAGGGAGAACTAGGGCTGCCCGGACGTCTAGTTCCCCCTCTCGGCCTTCCTAGCAGAGTCCAAAGGAGAGGATAAACCAATACAATTTGGTACCAGTGCGGCTGCAGGAGTTGCCGGAAGGTAGCACAAAGTGCCGTCCATCCGCTTTAGGGGCTCCACTCCGGGTTTAAATTCATAGTTGTCCTTTTACTAGACCAGTTGCCATCCAAGACTATAGAACCCAGTCTGTCCTGCTATTTTACTATTTTATTTGCTGGAGGGAGAAGATGATTCACAGGGGTATTAGCACGTAAGTGAATGTAATGCATTCGACTGGAATTCGAACTCGGCTCTCCGATTCCTCAATCCAAGCCACTATCCATTACTCCTCCGTGTCTCCTCACAACAACAATAATAATAATAAGCTGAGCTACTTGTATATCGAGAGAGGAAGACCAAAGACCCTACGGTTCGCTGACCCGGCTTCTAATCAATGCAGCAGAGGGAAAATGCAAAAGAAATACGGGAATTTCCAAAAAACGAACCATCGTCTCCTGCAGTATCGTCTACCACAATGGGTAACGTAGGTTACTGAGAGCTATTTTGGGGGCAAAAAGATTTTCCAGGTGGTGCCTTAACTGAATCAATTCGTAGCTTGATGGCGAGGAAACATAGCGCCCCTTCCAGACGCTAATAACGGTCCTGTACCAACTACGTAAAGAAAGGAGGGATTGTGGAGGCTATGGTTTTCTTGTTTAGAATGGTAGGATAATTAGAATAACAGGGTGATTCTATGACCTTTTGGATGCCATTCTATTTTTTTTTCATTTTTTCCCCATTGTTTTTATTTTCTGCCTAAGGTTCTTATTCATGCAGCCTGCTAAAAAGAAAATGTAACACGCTTTCGAAAAAAGACAAAGGCGTTTTTACTTTTATTTTTACTTACTATTTCTTGAAGATTTACAATGAAAAATAATATAAAAAGAGAAAGAAAGAGAAGAAGAAAGGGTTTGCAACTAAAGTAAAATGTCTGGGAGACTCCTCTCTGCCTCCTATCAGCATGGCTGATGCTAACCTCTAGGAAAATGACTTGTTGCTCCTTCTCGAGCTAACGTTCTCAGCTGACATGAAGTGGAAAGACTATATTGAATCCATTGTTTGTTCAGCTGCTAAGAATGTTGCTTCACTGTGTCGTGCGAGACATTTTTTTCTCTCCAGAATCTATCTTACATATCTATAAGTCTACCATTCGTCCATTCTCAGAATATTGCTGTCACATTTGTCCCGGTACCGCTACTATTTACCTTGAGCGCCTTGATAAAATCCAAAGAAGAATCAGCAATATTATAGGTCCTGATCTGGCCGTTCGGCTTCAGTCACTTTCCTGCCGCCATAAGATTGCCTCCCTTTGCCTTTTCTATAAATGCTTTCATGGTAATTGTTCGGATGTGATCTTCGATAGGGTACCTGGACCTTTTGAATTTAAGCTCAGTACGAGACTGGCGATGAGCTCTCATCAATTTATAGTTGAGCTGGCTAGACGTATCCGTAAGTTCTATGCTACCAGTTTCTTTCCTTGCACTTATCGTTTGTGGAACTCCCTTCCGGCTCCATGCTTTCCACCCAACTTTAATTTGTAAGACTTTAAATGCAATGTCAATCGCTACCTCATGTCCTTTTGGTTACTCTTTTCTCTTCCCGCTCATTATTAATGTTTCTGTTCCTAATTCTTCCACACCCTGTAACCCCTTGTGTCTTAACTGAAAAAAATTATTAGTTGAATACGACAACCAAAGCTACGTATTCGACGATTCACAAGAAATACTGCCAAAACCTTCAAACCAGATAAACAAACATGGCACCAACCAAACTGCATATCAGATGATGGCGATGTAAGCAACGCAATAAAAAATACTAATGCACAACGAAAACTTATGCTGCCTTGATATCACGGTACATGCATCCAGACTGTAAAATGGCTATCATGTATCCCCTTCAACCGAACAATAGTCCATCGATCCGCGAAGAAAGTTACAAAAGACATATCAGAGACGTAAAAAAAGAGAGAGGAGTCAAGGCTTCAGTGAAATGGAAAAAAAACTCATACCTTTTCGGATCTTTTTATTTGTACCCTCTTACTTCTTTAAATAATGACCTGCACTCATACTTATCATTGTTATTGATTGCAATATTTTGTTTAAGTTGTTAAGCTCAAATATTTCCACGGATGTTTCAAAGTCGTAGAGCTCCCAAGGACCTTACTCAATTATTAACTTAAGAATTAATATCTAATAGAAAACTAAAATAGCAAGACCGTGAAGTGTTCATCAGTACTACTAGTATATTTTCATTTATTTTTATTCTTCTTGTCAGTGTGCAATGTAAAATAAAAATTTGACAGTAGTCCCCAAGTGCACCAACAGACACAAAAAAAAACCAGCGCACACAACACAAATGAAAACACATACACACACACACACACACACACACACACACACACACAGAGAGAGAGAGAGAGAGAGAGAGAGAGAGAGCATCGAATGAAGAATAGTAGTAATGTTTAAAACACGTTGTAAATTTTCAGCATGCGGCAGCGTTCATTTTAAGCAAGGCCCAAACGTGCGGCAGCCTTCATTTTACACAGGGTCCAAAGCTATTCCTCTGGCGATTTTTCTAAAACTAAAAACATTATCATGGGGACAACAGTTCCAACAATGGCAACCTTGCTGTCTTTCACTGTTTTCTGCCCTGCTGCGACAATGAGAATTAGAAATGTCCTCCTGGGGGGTGGGGAGCAGCGAACAGTCGATTATTTTCTGTGCAACAGTTATAATCCTTTGCAGGGCTCTCAATATAAAATAGTATCATCATCAATCCGGAAAATTGAAAGCTGACGATCTCAAACGCTATACTTAACAACGAAATTCTCGGAACAAGCAAAAACAAGTAAACACAAACTTTTAAAGAAACAAAAGAGACAGTAACACTGAGAACATTTTTAACACATACCATACCAATATCTGTAATTCACATCATGAAAAAGAAAAAATGAAAATTCTTGTTGCTAATGTTAACACGTGTCTCAAGTTTTGATGTCATCTCGTTGTGTGGAATCTTCCACATTTGCCAGTTACCCTCCGCGGGAAAATGCACTCTTCCCCTGTATTGATTATCATCACATACATACAAATCATGCGACAAGCATTCATTGGTTAATCTCCTCAAAATTAGCTTGCTGATTGGTCAATTCCGACCAACCAGATGTCCTGCACGCGAGAAATGAAATTTCCCGCTCACTAAGGTTTGAGCCAGGCACGTGATACACCACCTTATATAAACAAAACACGTGTAAACTCTCTCTCTCTCTCTCTCTCTCTCTCTCTCTCTCTCCGCTTTCTCTCGCGTCTTATTCCTTGCTGCCAAAATGTAACCTTCAAGAACTCCCGTCTTGACCATGCGGTCAGACGTTAAAGAACATTACCAATTCATGCAAGTACGAACTGTTAACTCTTCTGAACTCTTACCAACTTTACCAATTCACATTTCCTAACATGCAACAGGAACTTTATTCTTCTAAACTACAGTTTAATAATTAATCCAACTTTATGAGCTCTGGTACAAGTATTTCCAAATCTAAGAGACCTAACTCATTCAAACCTTCAGCTTATATGTATGTACACCAAAACACTAATAAATTCAATTGTTATGTTTTGAACCATTACGTTCTGTCTTGTATTTTATACTATGTGCTATTTTACGTCAAATATAAGTTGCATTGTGACCGCTGCATGTTTGGTAACCTCCAGCGTCTTTGCTTGTCCTTTTCCACGTCATTTCCCAGTCAAAGATAAAGAACTGTGGTGATGCGCGCCACAGTTGTACGTTTTTATTCATTTCATTTTCAGTATTAAAAAAAGTAAAAAAAAAAAAAGAATCCTCTATCAACGACTACTACTTATACATATAACCAACGGGGTTAACTTACATTACCTAACATCCGACCTTGTTACAATGAGTTATTCCAGTGTTAGCTAGTCCGAAAAATACATTGAATGATTAAATACTCGTTGAAAATTATCCTATATTTTTGTCTCTATTTCAGGGGCTCTAGTCATTCTTATAGAAAGGAATTGATCACTGGAACGTCGAAAATTCCACTGTACCAACGAAATATGGAACCGGATTCAGTATTACTACGCCAGTCATGGACTTCATGAAAGTAGTTTCCAAACTTACTCCGAGCCACCCAAATGATATTTGGTAATATATGTCAAAAAGAATAAAAAGTATTTAAATTCCAACAAATGTAGTTTCTTTGAATATTTGAGAAAAAACGTATGTTATGGAATTTTAAATTCGTATTGGTCTATTGTAAATGGGATTTCTATTGTAGAAAGGATTTTTTTTTATTTTTATAAAAAAAAAACTACGAAAAAATAGTTCAAACTAATGTTTTAGGTAGAATTTAATTTGTAGGCCTCAATTCAATCAGTACTTTTTTTTTACTTAACAAATGTGTCAGCAAACAAAAAGCAAACAAGAGAAACAACACAAAAACTGTTTTTATAATAACAAATAATCTTCAATTTACTGTATGACACACAAAGCAATCAAGTGTGTGATTTTTATATAGTAAAAGTTGTAATTAATAGCAGGGGTTATTTACCTTTAACTTGAAATTCTTAAAGCCTTTTAAGAGGAAGTATTTTTATCTGAACTCACAGAAAAGATTTCAGTTCATGAAATAATGGTTTTAATGGAAAGAATGTTCTTCGATAAGAAGGTGTTGTAGGCTGAAATTCGATGTAAGAGGAGTTCAAAGAAACTTGTTGATTGAGAAAAAAATGTAATCTTGTTGGGATTGCTATGAGTTTGAATTTGTTATTAGAAGGTTTTTATGGTTAGTTTTACGGGCATGTTCACCATATTAATCCACAACAATATAGAATATAGACATTCAAAAACGAATCAATCACAAAGCAATTGAGTAAGAAACACCGATTATGAGATTTCAATAAAACAACATGCATTTATGCACAATTAATATACAATTTGAAAACTTGTAGTTTGATAATGCAAGAAATTGACCATTGGTAAATTGGGTTTCTTATTGATTTACAGTTCGATATTGTTCAAGTGTTTACGAACTGGTCAAACAGAGTTAAGTGGAAAATATTATTTATACAGAAATTCGTGTAGTTTGTATGCGCGAATAAAGTAGGAGTTTTTATGTGTGAATAAAGTAGGAGTTTGTATGTGGGAATAAAGTAGGAGTTTAATTCTCTAAATTCTCCAGAGTTGTTTACCTTGGATTGTTTAGATATTTGAATGAATATTTATGAATACTTGATAGTAATGAGTTATTATCACTTTTTAGTATTGTAAGAAATTGTTCCTGGTAAAGCGAAATGCTGCATGTGTCGAGTCAGAGAAATTTGCGCGGCAAAAATGTAGCTGGTTATGATTTTTACTGGCGTGGATTCGTTTGGCATTTCTCCAAGATGAAATTCTGACTGCCTGAATCGATATGAACGCTTCCTTTTTATTTTGTTCTGGAAGAAGGATATTTTGCGTGAATTTGCTACAGTTTGAGCCAATGAAAAGTCTAGTTCACTGGAATTAGGGTGTTGATTGGTTAATAGGTAATTTTGTGGTAGAGTGTATTATTCCGGAGGGGTGAAAAGGTATGTATGGACTATTCCATCAATCTTCACTTGAATATCGAAAAGTTGAATTTACTTGCCGCTTAAATTGTTCACCGAAGTGAGTTGAATATGGGAGAGAGAATTCTGGAAAGCTAAGAATATGTTGAATCGTAACTTATAGCCCCAGAAGATTTTGAAGTAAATAAGTTTCTGTTGCTTGTAGTTGATGAGTTGAGAGATGTTCAATGTTCGTACGTACGTGAGTGTGCGCACGCGCGTGTCATAGCGTTTGCCCAAAAGGGCCAAACGTAATCTCTATAACGTTACATTTTGTGCGTGAGAGAAGGCAAAAAAAAGAGAAAGAGTTGGAAATGTCGCTTGGTATTTATAATGTTGTATGTCACGTGATAGGCTGAAAACACATAGAAAGATTTTTGGCGGGATTGTATTTTCGTTCAAGGTCGATACAATTCGGACGTAATTGAAAATATGATATTAGTATTAATTGACCAATTAGGAGTCAGAGAAATATCAAAGCTCTGTGATCCACTTTTTGCACAAAACTGAACAAGTTATTTTCAGCTATTTGAAATGATGTAGAATTAAAATTCTACAAATTTATAAGGACACGCAACAAAGACAAACGGCACGAGGCGAATTTCAGAACAAACTATAAATTCATTGTTAACACACAAAATAATGAATGAATTACACATATTAAGTGCATTGTGTGCCAAATGATGGCCAATAAAATGTATGTAAAAATAATCAATGCAAATGAAATATGCCTCTTTTACAATAAAAATTACAATGCCGCATTTCCTTAAAAAAGTCAAACAACATAAAAATAAATGTAGAAAAGGAGAAAATACTTCTCTGAGTAGTTTTCAAAGAATTGGTGCAATTTTCGAAGAAAAGTCTGTGGTAACAGCGAAGAACAGAACAATCGCACCAGCTGAAGAATTTTCCTTGATGTGGAAACAACTTTGATGTTCCTTTATTTCTTCTGTATAGTTTTCTTTTCTGGACCAGGGTGACCTGTGTTCCAGCAGCAGATGTTCGTCGACTCCTTGAATTAACTCCTGGGGCCCTTTTTATTATGTAGGCTCCAAATTCACTTCTCGGAATTTGGAAGAGGAACTTTTCATTGGTTCTGAATGAAAAACAAACGCAGCCGTTTTCCTACAAATCAAAATGTACCAAAAATATTTTTCAAATTAAAAAATTAAGCAAGAGCCCGACGCAGCGTCTGCTTTCTCTCGGAAAAGCAGACGATACATGCTCAAGCAACTTAAATTTCTTATAAGATGTAAACAATTACTAAGAAAAAACATACAAAACTTGGGTTTCTACCGCGGACCGTCTATTCTTTTTTTATCAAAAGGGCGCCCAGTAAAAAGCGGAAAATGTATTATCATTGAATTATCTCTATCTATAAAAGGCAGGATGTGTGTGTGTGTGTGTGTGTGTGTGTGTGTGTGTGTGTGTGTTGTGCCGCAATTTTCGATGGATTTGCACCAAAATTTACACACACATGCTCCAAGTTAGCGGGAAGGCCAAGACCGACTTTGCATTTCCCAACTCCCATCGATAGTGGAAATAATCGATTTTTTGTTAAAATTTTAAAAGCTAAGATTTTGGAAAAAAACGGAAAATTCATTTTGAAAATTAATGGCAGTAATAATTTTACATAAATGATGCAACTCAGCTCAATGTCATTGTTATAGATTGAGGCCGAGAGGAAATATTTTGTTTTTTTTGTTTAGTTTTCAGTCCCAGCAACAACAACAAAAAAGTAAGTTGGCTGAAGTCCCCCGGTTCTCTCTATAGCGCCGTGAATGTAGTTTTGTGATAAGTAATGTAAATAAAGATAAATCCTTATCCCAGAATTTCAAACAAAAATGAACCAGATCTAACAGTAACCAACAGAGACACTAATATGTCGAAGTAACTAAAAATTCGAGCCGTTAATAGAATTAAAATGTTTAATTGATGTAGAATTGTCGAAAATGTATCTGGATATTTCCTCCACTTTTGTCTGCTGTTTAACTTTTATAAAATGTCGAGCATATATTTCTCGCTCTTTTTTTCCCTTTCCACCAAACATGCCGTAGGTAGAAACACCGACACGGAACTAGTCCCCAAATCCAAAATCCAGGTCCTTCTCACATCTGTAGAAGGAACTCTACCCAGTTGACCTCCACCACTTCCTCACTCTAGCCATGTGGGGCCGAGCAATGCCGGTCCAAGGGTCTCGTGAACTCCCCACCAACACTACCCGAATTTATGATACGCACCCCCCACTCTACTACATCTCAATACTACATTTTCAATTTTTCTTTTTAAAAAGTTGAAGAATTATAACACATTCAACATCTTACTTATTATAAAACGCAGATTGTGTGTGTGTGTGTGTGTGTGTGTGTGTGTGTGTGTGTGTGTGTGTGTGTGTGTGTGTGTGTGTGTGTTTATATATTGGATCGGATTTCCTACATTTTTCAACCGATTTCAACAAAACTTCACAGGACTGCGTAAAATTACCTTGCGGTTGTCCTGACAGCGCCAAAAATGGGGAAAACACAATTGTTTTTGCACGAAATCAATTTGAAAACACGATTCTGTCGCCAGAATGAAAGGGGGACAACTCATATCGAGTTATACTTATTATAAAACACAGGTTGTGTGTGTGTGTGTGTGTGTGTGTGTGTGTGTGTGTGTGTGTGTGTGTGTGTGTGTTTGTTTATATATGAGATCGGATTTCCTACATTTTTCAACCGATTTCAACAAAACTTCACTTTTTTTGGGCAGGTAGTGTTTCTTATTGTCTTGCACACTTTTTTCTTTAATTTTACATTTAGAATGCTTTAAAACTTCCATTTACAAGACAATTGTTTATAATAAAATTCTATTCAATCGATAGACTCATAACAATTGAAAACAATGTTTTTGTTTGAGTTTGGGTTTGACCAATTCGTAAAAAAAAACAAAAAAACAAAAAAAAAACTAATTAAGACATGCGTGTCCGTCAACCATAAACAATAATCTTTGTCAATTTTATTTTTCAGTCTTTATGATGGTCGATACTTGATCTATTTCTTACTGTTACATCCCCGGGCAACGCCGGGCTCTACTGCTAGTTATGAATAAAAAAAAAAATTTAAAAAAAAACAGTGACTTCTATATAGTGTTTTTTCGCGATTTAACATGAGCAAAACAAATTCACTGATTTGAACACAAAATAGACCCCAGAATGACGTCAAAATCCGCGATAATTTTTCATTCTTTAATTGTCAGTTTTGCTTAGTTTCATTTGTAACGTATGTAAATGTCAGTAGAAAAAAAAATCAAAGATAGTGAGGGTCACAAAGAAGTGTTCGGAGCCTCAGTCAGGTTAATTGACGAATATCAATTAAAATTAGTTGATTTAAGTAATTAATTTAATATATGCAATAATATAGCTTTTAAAGTAGGTTTACTATTACTAACTTCTATAATATAAATAAGATTAAATAATCACTGTTAATTACCTTAATATCACTTAATTAAAATTGCTGGATTTAAATTTAAACGATTATGGCCCCTACGCTACCCACCAAATGTAAAGAACTAACATGGCGAGAGGCATTGAGGGTTAAATAAGAAAAATAATATCTAAACTTGTTAATCTCGCTATTTACATTATCTTCATATCTGTTGCCATATCTATCACAACGTTTCAGCCGTTGTACGCACCGGCCTTCTTCAGGTGGTTGGAATGTCGAACTGAACCCCTTATTTCGCTCGCTGGGGTAGACTGTTCTAGTTTTTGAGGACACATGGCACAGTGGATAAAGGTGTTAGTTAGATTCAGTGACAGGACCCAAAGAGTGTAAGTTCAATACCTGGTTAAGGCAGTGGAGAACTTGGAGAGGGGAATTAACAGGAGATAACTGATAACTGACAATCCATTAGACATGGCACCTGAAGAAGGCCGGAGCGTACAACAGCCGAAACGTTGTGATAAATAGGATGATAGTACGAATAATGTAAATAGTGTACATAATACCTCATGTCAGAAATATAGACAGATATTGTTAACCTCGAGTGCAAATACTAAAACCGTTATTAAATATAACACTTCGTTAATTAAATTTGTTATTCAAACTTCAACAACTGCTATAAACATACAACGGGGCCCTCACTCGGTTTTCCTCCGATCGGCCAATGACTACCCCACGTTGTCTCTAATTGTTGTTCACGTTGTTGTGCACTCAATGCCAGGAAGGTCTCGCTAGAAGCTCACAAGGAAACGGAAACTGAGAAGAAACCTCACGGCGAGAAATTTACGTGTTTTACTCAGAGCTTCGCTTACTCGGGCTAGGTGGTTAGGTAGGTCCCACTTGGGACGGCTTCTGTTATGTCAGACTACTAGATCAGCTCTTCCCTTCGATTTTTCTTCCTACCATCTCTTTGCCGAGCTCAGTGTCACGACGCGTCGCTGGCAACACGGATGGGCGGCATCGGAACTACCCGAAAGTCAATCTGTCCGCCGTCCACGACAAACAAGAACTTGCTATTTTCATCCTAACAATGATTGTTAAGGCTCACCAGCAACCGGAGATCATCAATGTCCGGTTTGTTGTCGCATGAAAAGCTATCATTTAGTTATCTATTTATTTATTCTTCCGTTCACATTCGGTCAAGTAGTAGTTAAGACCCGATTTCAAAGACTTTATCCGCCGACCTTAAAAGACGAAACTTTTAAGACTGAGATATAATCTCACACCTTCCTCTTCTATGTGAGTGTATCAACCATAGTGTCAAACTGCAACTAAAAATGAGCAAGTATTTAAAGGAAATAATACGGGGCAAATATTAAACGATAACGTTTATTAAACTAAATATATGCAGGAGGACAAAGTTCCCAACAAAAATTCCCCTATCCAAACAAGCAAAAGTTTCCATCTTACTTTTTAGAGTTCTTTTGCAGAGTTTACAGATCAAATAAGGTACCCAGATTTTTTTTTTGATCCCCGACAGGCATGCCAAAATTTGCTTTGTAAGCCTCACACATTTTAACAAATGTTTCTCCAGAGTACTTTTTCGCTCTTGTCATGATAAATTCGCCAGAGACATAGCAAAATGCGTCTGCTTACAACCTCTTGATGCCATCTGTGACGAATGCATCTATCAGTGACGACTTGGACAGCTAGGAGTAAACTGTTGAGCTTACGTTCCCCGTATTTAATCTGCCAATTTATGTTGCCATAGACGATTAAGAAAGAGCAGCTTCATTCTAGAAGCGTTGAAATTAACAAGTAATTTCTTGTTCCAGTTACCGACATTAATCTGTTATTAACGGGGACAAGAAATAGCTTGTTAATCGTTAGGTTAGTTTTTAGACCATCTGCCAATTTGGCCTTATCGAACCTCTCAGACTTACCGTTAAGAAGGGAGTAAATACTTGTATCATCAGCATAGATACCAAATCGATAACTAAAGACAACGGGAAGGTCGTAGTTGAAAATTAGGAACAAAATATGCCCAATGACAGAGCCCTGAATGACATCTGCATTAATGTCAAAAGATCTAGAAGAGTAGTCGTTCAAGACAACATTTATTTCACGATTCGATAAAATAAGAATTTATCTTGAGATTACTTTCCCCATTGGTTAAAAAATTACACCATGTATCTCTTTAAACAACGCTTCATCTCGATTGTCGTGTGTTATCTCTCTTTCCTTTCCTGCCATGGTAAATTACGTTAGCTTAAACGACACTGTCAGACAATACCCTGTCATACTCTTCGATACTGTATTTCCCGTAATAGAGAAAACCTATCAAAATCAAGTTTAATAAATAACTGACTTTTTCTTTGCGAAAGAAAAATAAAAGCCATAGATTATCCAGGTTGACACAAATCACCAGGGCTGAGACTGTAGCGGACCGTGGCGGTGATGAGTATGTGAAACATACGTGGATAGAATTTCCTGTTAGCCGGTCCAACTACATGAGAAAGTTGGACTTTAATTGAATCCCAAGAAGGCAAAGAAAATAAACAAGACCGATGTTCTTAGCGTGTTCCCAGCATTTGGGAAACGCTGTATTTGTGAGCGCTCACATCTGCGAGGTGGTAAGGCTGGAGGCCTGAGGAAAAAGAGGAAGAGGCGAAGGGTCAGCCAGTATTTATAGCCAGGAAGAGACAGAGAGAGAGACCCCTGGTGAAAGGTTAAAGAGCTAAAGGAGGATCTAACTCCAAGACTCCCATGAGGATCAAAGTTGCTACACGAACAAATACTCTAGAAAGACAAGTTTCGAAAACGGCAGACTTAACTCATGTTCTCCTGGTGTCCGTTTAAACCAGGGGTCCCCAAATTGGCAGATAACGACCCCTGGGGTTGATGGAACGGAATATAACCCAAAGTTAATAGTATAGACCTGTTTTGATTAACCGTGCGTCCCCTAACAAAATTCTGGAGCAAATTTCAACAATCTCAAAATAAAATAAAATCTCAAATAAAATTGAGCATTTTACTTCATTTAAAGACATTAGAATGGAAATGTTAACTCTCTCAAAATAATAATACCAAAAAAATAAGCAGGCCATTAGCGTGGAATGAATGTGTAGGAAATTCAGTCGTCCAGGGTTTTTTTTTATATTAAAAATCCGAATGTCCGTATTCCAAACAATAATAAAATAAAAAGATGGTTATGCCTGTTAAATAAATAATTTGTATTTACAAACATATGCAAATGAATTTAAAGGTGTCAAAAAGGAGTAAAAATACTCTTTAGTTGAGTTTGGGTAGTTTGTACCCGGAAAAAAGCTGTCATTTAGGCCAGTGGTCCCCAACCTTTTTTAACTCATATCCCACTTTCAACACAGAATTTTCTCTGTTCCATGAAATTATTATAATGTAAAAAATTACTTCCATTTTACATAGAATATATCCAATAAAGATACAACTATGACTATTTATTGAACACACACAATTTCACATACATCTAAAATATTTCCAATGAAACGACAATTTATTATCAATATTTATTTTTACATTTTTTCTATATATGGCAAAAACATTTTTAAAAATTGTCAATAAAAGCTCTATGACCATTCAATAAGCTGTAGCTCATATATTAGCCCGATGTCCCAGTAAAAATTATAAAGTTTCTGTGGCCCACCTAAAATTTGCTATGGTCCATTTTGGCCATAGGTTGTGAAAGTTCCGGTTCACAGAACTTTTATTTGGTTTTAAAGTAAAAAAAGAAAAAAAAACTGTGGTTGGAAAACGGCTTTTATCATTAGCCAAAATATTAATTCACTCCAAAATTTGGGCTGAATTAACAGAAAAAAAATCCAAGGACTCAATAATGAAAGGGTCGATAGTCTAAGAAAGAGTTGGCAACACTAACGCCTTCTTTTTTTCATATTGTGACCATTTGCTTTTTGTTCAGATTTTAAAATTTTAGATGAAAACTTGGAAATTTTCCAACATATTTCAGTGAAATTTTCACTTTCTAAAGTTATATTATCGTCTATAACTGTAGTTTAAATCATATGGGACAAAAAAAGGTGTCTTGTTTAAAAATTGACGAGGATACAGGTTGAAAAAGTCTACCGAAACTAAAATAAACAGGTAAATGCATACGGTTTACACCGGTAAAAGTTATCGCACCGTTTTGACCACTTCGCTGGAAACGCTAACAACGTGACTTAGGGATCATTTCGTTCCAAAATATTATTACTTTAACACACGAAGTCACAAAACATTGCCTCTCCTGACGGACCATTTTTATTCTAGGCTGGCTTTAATAGTTTTTTTCATAGTTAAGTGTTTATCCTTTTTGGACCTCCACTAATTCAGACCTGGACTTTTGCGTGTTGCCCCAATAATAACGATGTTGAACTGCAGGTCTTCTGCTTGTATTCGTTTAGTGTCCCTTTATTGTTCACGTTGTCTGCAAGGAACTCCGAATTTGGTGACGAGAGAGTTCCATGCAAAGAGCATTGTTTTCAGGTCGCCGGCAGGGACCCAAGTTTGGTGGGCACGTGTAACAACAACATTGACCCCAACTTCTCAACAACAACAACCAAGATGGTAAACTTGTTTGTTTTTTTTACTTGTATCCGTTTGAAATGTACTCTGGTGTTATTTCATGACATCTTTTCATTTATTAAAAAAAAATAAGTGCGTTGTTAAGGTCATTTCATTGAGACAAGTAGCTGTTTTGTTTTTTCCTTAGCCAGGTAGGCTAAACGTTAAAACAAGCGTGACTGGAAAAGTAAGTGTTTTTACACCGTTAAACCCTGCTGGCACATGGGGCAGAATTTAACATAGTTGCTACCTTCTATTCCCTGCTTGGCGTTAAGAAGTAGTTTTCAGTTCTTTAAATCTGTCTAAAAACAGTAATTAAAAAAAATGAAATTATCATTGATTTTTGCAATTTAACCTAACGCGTGTTTTAATAAGCGCTAATAAATCTGTATAGTGAAAATTAAAAAATTAAATTGCTTCTTGCATTTATTTCTGACAGTTCCCTATTCTTCGTAGCAAAACTAGCAACGTATTTTTTAAACCCTATTCTGCCCTGATTTTTATTTCTAATTAGTGATGAAACGTGTGTTTGAATTAAAACTAACTAAAATCAGTGTAAAAAGGCATTAGAAATTGGAAAGAAAAATTGCCGGTGGTTAGGATTTTAATGCCAGTTTTAATAATCGAATTTAATTTATTATTAAAAAAAAATATTGCAGATTATTTTTTATCGTAGAAAAGCGATAAATGTGAGGTTTGTTAAAGGTCAGGAATGAATGCAAGCATTATTAGCAAAATAGGAATAATGATTTTTTTTTTCTTATAGAATCCCAAATGCATTTAGGAAGTCGGGGAGAAAGGGGTTATCAGTGTTCATCCAGGAATAATGCAATTATTACTAACTAACCAGATAAATATGCCTATCGTTTCTTGTTCAGGTGTGCAAGTTCACACCATAAAAAAAAAAAATTATAATAAGCTAGAAAAATTCCCATTTCAAAATTATGTGTTTTTTATTTCATTTATTTATTTTTTCGATTTTATATCTGGCTGGAAAAGATCTTTTTTTTTTTTTTTTTTTTTTAATGTATTTCTCTAAAAATTTTACAACAAAAAATTCAAACTTGGACCTTCGTTCCAGAAAGAAAAAAAGGAGTGTCAAAAAATTCAAAAGATGGTTTTTCCATTGACACCGCTATTTTTAACTACCTTTTCACTCTTCGGTAATATTTAATTTATTGTTTTAAAAGCGATTATTAGAATTGTAATAAAAGTAAAACCTAAAAAAAAAACATATGACAGTGAATTTACATTTTTTTTTTTTTCAAAATTTTAAGAGGAACTGAATGAGCCACTTAAAGTTTATTATTTGTAACTTATTCATCCTTTCTGTTTTTCAACTAGATTATGTTGTAAAGTTAAAAAAAAAGTTAAACTAGTGGCTAAATCATTATTTGCGTCTTTCTTTCAAAAAAAAAAAAAAAAAGAAACCCTGAACAGAATGTAAAACCATTTTTGTCGATAATACCGTGACTATTATTATTTGTACTAAGATTTCGCACCAATTGTACCATTTCGTACTGATGTCGTTCAAGTGACAACAAGACTCTTCTCTTACGACTCTCGATATTTCGATTAGGTTCTAGTACCAGGGGGATACTGAAAAGTTCTTTAGTCCAACACACTTCCGAAAAACTGTCCAAACTACGGATTTTTTTTTTTAATTCTTAATTTGTCAGCACCCACTTGTAAATGCTGTTTTATCTGGGTTCTATTACCAATTCTTTCGCAGATTTTCAGTTTTCAATCTTCGTTGAAAAAAAAATTTTTAATTTTTTCGTTAGGAACAAAGAAAAGAATATTCAATAATGATATCCACCCTCTTGTATGGCAGTCAATGTTGGACAACCTCCCCATAGACGAGAAAAAAACTTGAGGCAGCAGAAATGTGGTTCTACAGAAGGATACTTAAAATTCCGAGCGAGTAGGCAACAAGGAAGTCTTAAAGAACGAAGCCTTATATTCAGAATCAGGAAGCGATAACTGAAATTCCTTGGACACATAATGAGGAAGGGAGGCTTGGAAAACTTAGCCCTCACGGGGCATATTGACAGCAAGAGAAATAGAGGAAGCCAGCTAGCCACTTCTTAGCTGACAAGCTTTTGTGTGAATAGATGGCGGGACATTAACAAAGGGAGAAAAACTGCTAAGAACCACAAGGGCTAGGAAGTTGTGGAGAGCCATTATCACTTCTCTTGGAGGGTTGGGTAGTAAGATCAGGGCTTCTAAACTACTTTTTTAAATCTATACTTATTAGTTCTTACACTAAAAAATCTAAATCTTTTTAAATGTAATATGTGTATTGCATTGCATCAGCACTCACTAGATTGTGGTAGTTAATCGACAATATCTTCCCATTCGATTTTTTTTCATTAGAATTTGAGTTAAAAGAAAATATATGCCTACTGAATTTATTTAATAGATTCAATACAATACATATTAAAATACGATTGTGGTTGGGGTCATTTTGTACGGCGAATATAGCCCGAAACCTACATTTTAACTTGAAAATTTGGGGGTCGCCTTATATGTCCAGTCGCCTTGTGCGCCAGAATAATATGCACTATGCAGCTATATAGTAAGTCTTGTGATTTATTGACAAAGTCGATGCGTGAATGCTCTTACTAATCTGTCAGTGAGATTCAGCTTCATTCAAAAGAGATTGCATACATTAAATAAAAAGAAAGAAATCTCCCATTTTTTTTTCTATTCATCTAATTGAAAAAATCAAAAAGAAATAAAAATCAGTTAATTTTAGGACAAGGGGAGTGAATCCTGCAGGCACCGATCTTTTAATACTTTTCTTTTTTAACTGGAAATCCTAAATGTGTTAATGAATGTTGATTCTATTGCTAAGATATCGGTTTCAACAATAGTTTTTTAATCTTTTCTGTTGATTCACCCCAAATAATGTAAAAGTTACATATCGCAAATATTAATTCACCCCAAGAAATTATAAATTTTAAATCAAAGTGTTAGTTTGGGGTTTGTTTTTTTTTTTTAATTTTTGGCACTCTTCTTATTCATAATTATAAATTTTAAATTAAAATTTGTTTAGCTTGCCTCGTAACAACACCAACACTCACAATGAAAAATTACCAAAAATCAGGGAGTTATTCTCATTCTGTATGTGCGGATGATGTTCGAGGTACTCAAAAAGAATTTTTATAATTTAAAAAAAGAAAAAAAATCTGTTTTTGGTTTGTTTATCGGGGTGCGCTCGAACTCTGATCCCACACTTAGAAATGAGCGCACCGAGTCACCCACATTTGGATTCGATCGGAAAGGTCAACCCAAGCGGAGTGCAGTGGAAGAGCCTCGCCTCTGAGAGAATTTATTTTAGAGTAGTGTGAATTTTTAGTAAATTAAATTAATAAATTCTTTTTTTATTTTAGGGTGAATTAACAGAAAAGGTCCGATTTTTTTTTTCTAATAATTTACCATAAAATAAATACTCTCTAGAACAGAAAAAATAATCTATTTTCCGTGATAAAAATAATAATACTAATCACACTTTTTCTTGTCCAATCATATTAAATTTTTTTTTTTTTTTTTTTTTTGTGCTTGACGCTTACTAAGTCGGAACTTTTACTTCAGTCGTACGGTAATTTATGATAATCAATTGATAGCTTGAGTAAAATTTGTGAAAAAAAGTATCTGAAAAAAGAAAAAAAATGAACGAAAATGTGAAGTATAAAAAAAAATACGATTATAGTTTTCAATGCTTATCTAAATTACTAAAACAAAATGTTAATTAAATAAAAATAAAATTGTTTCAACTGCCAGTTGTAGCAGTTGAGTAATCTTAGTAACTGATATGTTAATTTTTATTTTTAAACCAAAATTTTACTAGATTTTCCAGCTCAAATAATTTTTTACAAAAATAAAGTATAAAAAGGTAAAATATAATTCCGTTAACAGTATTAAATTAATTTTATCCCGAACTTAATATATTCTTTTTAATTAATTTCTTTTCATGATATCAAGGGAGATAACTCTCACGCTATTTTTACGCCTACATGAAAAGAACTTAAAAACATGTCTGGAATTAATATTACAAAAAAAAAAAACGTGTGGTTGAATATTACAAATAGTAGTGACTTTCTTTGTTTATTTATAGAAGACCGCACATGCCAGAAACAATATAAGTGGAAAAAAGTACGTCAAATGTATTTGACAACACTTTTTGTGCAGGTTATATTGTTATATAATTTGCTAAAAAAAGAGCCTACCTTAAAAAAAGCCCCGAAAATTGATAAAAACAAAGTTTTATTATCAGAATTTTTAAGAGAAAAGCCCAAAGTATTTTTTTATTATTTTATTAAATTTTTTTTAATCCATTCTTGCACGTTCAAAATTTTGTTTTTCTGGCGTCAAATTAGTTAATTAGAAAATGTTTTAGCGTCTTTTTTGCCGTAAAAAAAAAACACTGAAAATTCTTGCGAAAAATCAAATAATTATCGGATTTTAATTAAACTTTCAGGACTTATTCACAAATGAATAATTTTTTTTTTTTCTTTTTAGAAAATCTTGATAAAAAAATTTTTTTTTTTTTTTTACATCCACTTAATTTATGAAATTTCGGTAAATTAAATTTCACCTCATTCATATTTTTATTAGTTTAAAGCAGGACACTTTGGAGAATTAAACCATTAATTTGTTTTTGTCAAACAGAAACACCATATCAAAAATCTGTTCTGAGTCATAAAATAAAAACTGCAATAAAACTATGAAATTATTAAATAATGTAATAGTTTTATTACTTTTATAAAGCTTGGTACAAATCACCAAACACCAATATTTTTAGAAGAATTTGGAATTTTTTTGTATTTGTATAAATGTGCTAATTTTTTTTAGATATTGACGCCCATACGCAACATTTTTAGAACATTGATAACTGTAGTAAATTTAAAGCCAAAATTTCTAAAATTCAATAGACATTAAATTACTGAGAATATTTTTATAAATTTTTAAGATTACTGGGCACTTAAAAGTTATATGTAAAAAGCACTTAGGATAAAAACAATTATTGTTTTATGGCTAAAGTCCCCATAAAACTGCTTTAGAGAAACATCCATCAGCAGTTTAAATTAACTAACAGCTACCACTGTCTTAAAGAAATGCATTTCTGTGATATTTTAAACTTAAAGTAAATAATATTTATTTCAAATTAAATTAAATTACACTTTAAGTCAGCTAATATTCATAAAATAAAGTTTCAGAAAAGTATATTTTATTTTTGGAAGATTTTTTTTAATATAGAGAATTACATTGCAATAAATACAGGCTAAAAATGGTGCTAAAATAAAATCCTTCCAATCAATTTAAATTAGCTTTAAAATACAGCAAAGTATTTTGTTTATTGGAAATGTTAAACTGAATCTATTAGTTTGAAATTAAAATAAAAGCTTCAAGAAAGATTTTTCATTTTTAAAAATTAATTTTAAACTTTAGGTATTTTTTTTTTTTTGTGGTGGTACCTACTATAAAACAAAGATGAATAAAAATAATGTTACATAGCATATGTCTAATTTAAACCTTTTCATCATTTCTCCTTCAGAACTATCTAGAGCATTAACATGACAATTCCAATCTGACACAAAAAATGAAAAGGCATGCTATATTTCAGCACTAGTTGGTACCAGCCACTTTGTCTCCACTATTTACATTATTCGAACTATTTTCCTCATCTTTGTCGCCATATTTATTACAACATTTCAGCTGTTGTACACTCCAGCCTTCTTCAGGTGGTTGGAATGTCGAACTGAACCCTTTATTTCGCTTACTGGGGTAGACTGTTCTAGTTCCACTTGCCATGTCAAATGGATGTCAGTTATCAGTTATCTCCTGTTAATTCCCCTCTCCAAGTTCTCCACTACCTTAACCAGGTATTGAACTCACACTCTTTGGGTCCTGTCACTGGATCTAACAAACAATGGATAAAGGCATTAGTTAGATCCAGTGACAGGACCCAAAGAGTGTGAGTTCAATAACTGGTCAAGATTTTAGTGACTGGGGAAACATCCTGCTGGGAGTTTGTTACACAAAGCAGCAGTTCTTGGGAAGAAGCCATGGAACTTCTTACTAATGGAATACAAAGGGAATTGGGATGATTCCCAACTGTGCACATGGCATGGCAGATCAGAGTTGTGAAGGTCATGGTTAGTGGGACCAAGAAATGTGGCTTGCCAGAACACATGTCATGGAAGTGACCATAGAGCAGTGAGTGGCTCGCAATGTTTTGTCTGTGGGAAATAAACAAACACAAGACTATGTAGACACTTTTGAATTCTAACAAGACAGGCAAGTGATGACCGAGCAGCTCCAACCCAGATATGATAGCAATACTCCATTATTGGTTTGATCTGGCGCTCATAAAATATAGAGTATAGCAGAGGCAGTCAGATATTGGAGTGTTACACTGAACCAATAATTTTTCCAACAGTTTTTAGTGATAGATCAGACATATGAGTTCAACTTGAGCCTCAAAAGACATTCAAGACAAGGAACCAATTTGAGAGAAGACCAATACATCATGATAGGTCAAAGTTCAGGGACTGCTATACTCTATTTAATCATGTAAGTACGAGGTCTGATCAAAAAGCAGTGGGTCTGGGGGCTATAAAAAGAAAACAACAACACATCAATTCGGCATTTAATCTCCCCTCGAAGTCCACCCCCTTCTGAAGCCATACACTTTATGCTGTATCATTTCCATTGATGGAAGCGTTCCCAGATCTCCTTTCTTAGAATAGCAAGCAACTGCCTTGTCACATTCTCTTGAATTTCCCTGACATCTCGAAATGTTATCCCTTTCAAGTGGGATTTGATTTTTGAAAAAGTTACAAGGTTTGAGATCGGGTGGATTTGGTGAGTATCTGTCCTGGAGAATGTTGTACTTAGCCAAAACCTACTGCATAAGCCATAGTAACTAATGGAAACCCCTATGGTGTGCCAAAATGAACACACACTACACACTTTCCTTCCAAGCACTGCTATAAACAACGGAAGTGAGCGAGAATGTTATAGCTTAGTGTGTATGTGCAACAGTTTGAGGTCAGTCTGTGCCAAGCGGCTTCACTCTGTGTACTTAAAGCTCCATTACCATAGCAACAGTACCAATATTCTTTGATCAGACCTTGTATATCTGTATAATGCTAAGTTATATTTTTAGCTTTTTAATAAACATAAAAGCACCTGAGTATTAACTTTTTTTATTTTTACAAACCAGATTTGTGAAAGATGTTTTATTTATTTATATATATATATATATATATATATATATATATATATATATTTTATATATATTTTTTTTTTTTCCCAACTAAGGTACAGCCTATCTCATCCTCCTGACACTGTAAGTCCACCGAGCAAACTGAAACGTTATCTTGTCGACAACTGTGTACGCTTTGCAGAATGGTATGAGCGGTTTTTAGAAAGACGCTATCCAAAAGTGTTTCAAGTATACAAAATATTTAAAATTGGTAAGTATATAAATTTGTCAGTTGAGGGTCTTGATATTACTTCCTATCAGCATTGTGTAGCTGTTATAGATCCAGTTCTAATAATGCATGCTTTGCTATGGAATGAGTTGAATTCCCACTCAAGAACCTCTAACTTTGTGGCTATGTGCCAGATTTAGTTGAAGATGATAAATGATTTTTATGACTCATGTATTCTCATTACTCTCTGGTGCTGAGGAAGTCACAAAACAGATCTCGCCTGATTAGTGGAAATGCTCTCTGACAATGCCTCTCAATTGCACCAAGATGGATAGTGTAGCCTGATGTCTGAAGCTAAGATTACTTACTTTGTGTCTTATATTGGCTATTGATTTAATTCTTTTTGCTCTTACAAGAATAGTTTGGCTGGTTCATTTTATAGCCTTCTTCAGTACAGTAAATAGTGGGTGAGGGTCTTTCTTTACAGATACAGCAATTTCTGGGATGAATTATTCACATCTTAATTATTACCATAATGTTTCGGCTGTTGTACTTGTTTCAGGCGTTTGTTGATCAGAGTAACTTTCAGGGAATTTTGAACAGAGCCCTTTATTTAATATATGGGGTGTAGACTGTTCTTGTTCCACTGTCCCTGTTAAGGGATATCGCATTTTATTCTCTTTTTAGTTCTACTCGGCTATTCTCATCCTGTTTCCACTCAGTCGTTACTACCCAGCCCAGGGATTAAACTTACAATTATATTAGCCGAGAAGATTAAAGCCTCTGTTTACTAATTTGGTAGTATAGTAATTGTGAGTTCAATCCCTCTAACAGGTAGTACATATGAACAGTAATTGAGCTGTACTAAATGCAGAGGAGACTTCAGGCAATGGACAGGGTTCTGCAGAAGGATGCTGAGAATATCAGTGATAGAGCATGTAAATAACAAGAAAGTTTCAAGGACAATAGAAACAAAAAGGACTGTTGAAATATAATGAGGAAGGAGTGTTTGAAAAATCTGACACTTACAGGATATAACTGAAGGCAAAAATATGCCGGGGGGTGGTGTCAACTGGCCACTTACCTGATGAGCTAATATGAATGGTAAAACGGGGAGTGTAAAGGATAGTAAAAAGACAAATATTATTAAGAGTTGCAATGGATAGGAGGCTGTGGAGAGCCATGATTGTCCACATCCTACAGGGACATTGGTCATAGAAGATCTTCCTGAAGAAGTAATTTGTAGATAATAAAAAAGAAAATTTGTGCAAAGCCATGGTCAACTGAGGGGGACATGGCATCAAAAACAAATATTAGCCCTGCACATATGCATACATACACATACATATATATATATATATATATATATATATATATATATATATATATATATATATATATATATGTATATTTTGTTTAATTATTAGTATGACTGTACTCTTAGTCACACATAAAATGTCATTAATTTTCACTTATGACCTTCCCAATGATATCAGCTCGTATCTACACTGATGACACAACCATTTACTCCTGCCTCCATAGTAAGGCTGTTCAGTCCAACAAGGTCAAAATAGCAGCTGATGTCCAAAACAATCTCAAGTTCATCATTAACTGTCACAAAAGATGTCTTGTTAATTTTAACTCCTCCAAAACTAAACTTCTCTCCATTAATCATCTGAGAGACACCTGGCTGCCTTCCATGCTATCCTCCAGGAAAGTGACTCGTTGAACCTTTTCAACTAGCATGAAGTGGAAGGCTATATTGAATCCATTGACAGATCGCCTGCTAAGAAAGTTGGTTCACTGTGTCATGCAAGACACTTTTTGTCTCCAGAATCTACCTTGCATATCTGTAAGCTTACCATTCATCCCATGCTCCAAATATTGCTGCCACATATGGTCCGGTGCCCCTGCTATTTACCTTGAGCTCCTTGATAAAATCCAAAGAATAATCAGCAATATTATTAGTCTGAATCTGGCAACTCAGCTTTAGTCACTTTCCCACTACCATAGGGTGGCCTCTCTATATCTTTTCTATAAATACTTTCATGGTAATTGTTTGGATGAGCTCTTCGCTATGGTACCTGGACTTTTTGAGTTTAAGCAGAGTACTAAGACTAGTGATGAGGTCTCATCAATTTACAGTTGAGCTGGCTAGATGTAGCTGTAAGTTCTATGCTAACAGTTTCTTTTCTCACATTTCTCACTTGTGGAACTCCCTTCTGGCTCCATGCTTTCCAGCCAACTTCACCAAAATTTAAATGCAATGTCAATCACTATCTACTGTCCACCTGATTACTCTTTCCTCTCTTCACTCATTATTAACACTTCTGTTCCTAATTCTTCCACACCCTCTTGTGTCTTAGTGGCTTTACTGGCTTGCTTGGGGTGATAATGATTTAAAAAAACAAAAAAACAAAAAAAAAAAACATAGTATGACTAGTCTTATTCATACGTAACAGCATGACTGTACTCTTAATTAAAAAAAATATATCATCAGCATGACTTATTTTAAATTCTTCTCAGTAATATATATTAAGAGGCTTTTTACTTTTTCATACAAAACTAGCAGTAACCATTTCCTAATTTTCCTATGTGTATTTTCTGATGAATCATAATTTGTAAGTTAACGATTTAATTATCTCCTTGGAAGTTCTACATCTATAAAATACCCATCAAAATTTACTTCTTGAGTTTTTATTTGAGCTAAACAATTTTAACCAAATATTGCACTAACAATCATAAGTTTGAATGCAAGTCATTATTTAAAGAAGTAAGAGGGTACAAGTAAAAAGATTCAAAATTGACCAAGTTTTCCATTTCACTGAATAGGGAATTATTGCCTCGTTTATGTTCCCTTTCTTTGTTTTTCATTTCACTGTTATATAGGAATAAAGTGTCACTGCTGGCTCTTGAGTTTGAACAGATCACCACTGAGCAAACGCAGCCAATGCTATTATTGAATTAAGTAGACCATGTGACCATAGAGGAAACGCACAAGTAGGTTGTTGCGTGATGTCAAATTGATTTGCATTTCTAGTCTATCCTCTATTTCTATTCGGATCACTATTTCTAGTCTATTTCTATATAGACTGCTATTCTCTACTCTATTCACTATACTATTGCTCTCTTCGGATCACTATATGAATTACTTTTTGAGTGAATATTATTGAGCAAGTACTATTAGCATGAATGCTATTCAAAGGCGTCTGACACCAATTTTGTTCAACGGCATTAATATAGTTGTATCTGTGATTACAAAATCTCTGCTACAACAAGCATTATGAAAGTGACAATGAGTATTTGTTGACATTACAAAAGTGGCAGCGAGTGTTTGTTGATATCACAAAATTCACGAAAACCAAAATGCTGTTTGATCTTTTTCTTCTGTCTTTCCTTGCAATCAAAGCAGAATGGTCCATTATTTATCTTAGGCAATGGCAGGGCATGCTAACTAAGGAAGAAGCAGAATTATGATTATTTAACAAAATTATTTTAAAATGAATATTTTCATTATTCATTTCTTTTATTTTCCAGGAATTCGGGACTTCATCATGGATACAAAAATGTATTACCTCGTTACCACAAACCTTTGGACTGGAAAAAGCCTCAATGATTTTACCAGAAAAGAGCTTGAAGTCTACAAACAGGTAAGTTAAAAATCACTTTTCATCAGTCAGCTTCATTTTTTTTTTTTTCCATCCTTCCTATCCTCACAATCACTTTTTCTTTTTTTCATTGATGCACTCTTGTATATAAAGACAATTTTCTGTAAAATGGTATTAGGCATGCAAGAATTTCCAGCATATTTTTGACAAAAATCATCAAATTGTATAAATCCTTATTCGACCAACAGATTATTTGTCTTGGTTTGTATTTTGATAAACTAACTGTCTATAAGTCAGCACTATGTAATAATTTTTGTAGATAAGCATTCATTGTGTTGTGGACACCTTTACAATTATACACAAGGTGGGTCCACTTCTAATAAAGGGTCACAACAAAAAAGAAACATGAAGCTAAAATAAATATCAAATAAATATATATATATATATATATATATATATATATATATATATATATAATAGATATTTTTTCAAATGGTACATACATTATTTACATTATTATTCGACTATTGTCCTCATCTTTGTCACCATATTTATTACTATGTTTCACCCGTTGTACGCTCCGGCCTTCTTCACTGTGCCATGTGTCCTCAAGGAGACATGGCACATTGGATAAAGGCATTAGTTAGATCCAGTGACAGGACCCAAAGAGTATGAGTTCAATACCCAGTTAAGGCAGTGGAGAACTTTCAGAGGGAAATTAACAAGAGATAACTCATAACTGACATCCATTAAACATGGCATGTGGAACTAGAACAGTCTACCCCAGTGAGCGAAATAAAGGCTTCAGTTCGACATTCCAACCACCTAAAGAAAGCCGGAGTGTACAACAGCAGAAATATAGTAATAAATATGGCGATAAAGATGAGGACAATAATGTAAATAATGTATATAATACCGCATCTCAGAAATATAGACAGATACTGGTACATACATGTTCGTTTGACTTTTCCACATTGCTGTTGGTCAGAAAGCAGCTTGGTACATTTTTACTGCTCCAGCATCAGTCATCAAAAGAAAGCATTTCTAAATTGTCTTCCAAAGTGGAAACAAGGCAGGGCTATCATTGTCTCAACTATTGACCAATCAGAGAACATGCTGGTTACAACAATGCTGAGAAAGAGATCTCTGGATTGACTATTCCCTTTATTTTCTTAAAAGGAGCTGTTATAGGAACATCCACATGTCTGACATTTGTCAGAATCAAAAAAACTTTTTTTTTCTTTTTTTTAAATCAATTTAGAAGGCAGTAGCCTGTTCATAATATTGATACAGTGTTAAATCAATCTCTAACTCTATATAGAGATATTAGGCTTAGATGATTCAGAAAATAATGTCCAATTTAAGAATAAAGTTTTTAATTGTGTTTTTAATATTAGTTCTACAAAAATATATCACTCATTCCTAATGATTAAAGTGTCCTCTTTGTTAATTTTACATCAATCTCTTTCAGAATTCTGTTCTCAAATAGGTGACTCACCTTATACACTGGAAAATAGTATTAGTTTGTTTGGAAAAGAATGTCTGATTTTAGAATAAACTTTTTGTGTTCTAATATATTATTATAATAGTTGCACAAAATATATTACTCATGCCTAATGATTAAAGTGTTCATTCTGTTAATTTTATACCAATCTCTTTCAGAATTTAACTGAAAACATTATATATCCCTCATCTTGAACATATAAAAAGTAGAGATGTTTACTTTTTAACAAGAGTTCAACCTTGGTGATGATTTTTCTCAAATTGCTGCCAACATTAACAGAGCATGGGCTGAAGTATACACTTGTGATCAGGCAGTACAGCATTGGTTCAGTGGAAATACGAGTCTTGAAGATAAAGTTGATAGAGGACATCCATCATCAATTCACAATCGACATCTGAAAACACTAGTCAAACAAAACTCACGTGAATGTGTCCGAGAAATGTGTCCGAGAAATGTGTCGGATAATGCATGTCAGCATTTCAACTGTATCAGACCATTTCAAGAAAACTGGCAAGTTGAAGAAACTTGATAAATGTGTTCCACATGAACTCAGTGAAAGTGTGTTCAATGTTGCATCTGCAAAATTTGAATGTTCCATTTCTTGTTCAAATAGTGACGTCATGAGAAATAGATTCTTTATGACAATTGTAAATGATCAGCTTAATAGCTTCATCACAAAGCACCACAATCGAAATTACACCAACATAATATTATGGTGACTGTCCAGTGGTCCACCATTGGCATTATCCATTAGAACTTTCTGGAATCTAACCAGAGCATCACTGCCAAAGTTTATTGCTGGCAACTGGATGAAAAGCACATCCAGTGAAGTAAAATGTGACCAGTACTGTTTAATCAACAAAGTCTAAATCTGCTTCATGCCAATGTTTTGACACATGTCACCAGGATAGACACTACAGAAGCTTTCCAACTTGGGAGACCAAACTTTGCCACATCCAATATGTTCACTTGATCTCTCATCTACTGATTACCACTTTTTCAAACATCTTGACAACTTAGTAAGCCAAAAGACATTCCTGCATTCAAAAATTTTGTGGCATTCAAACCATGAAAGTTATAAATTTGTAACTCAATGGCATAAATGTATAGATGTTTAGAGTTCCTATTTTAACTGATATAAACACTGATAAAATACATAAATTCTGGAATAAAAGCTGATTCTAAAATATCGTAAAAGCATAAAGAACCTTGAGCAAGAAATTCATAGATGTTAAGGGTTACTATTTTGACTGCTATAAACACTGTTCAAATACATTAATTCAGGAATAAAGTTGATTCTAAAACATCACAAAGGCATAAATAACCTTGTAAGTCGATGGTAAAAATGTATAGATGTTCAGGGTTCCTATTTTGATTGATTTAAACACTGTTAAAATACATTAATTCAAGAATTAAAGTTGATTCTAAAATCAGACATTGTCTTCAGAACAATCTAATATTTAAAAGTATTAATTTTGAAACTGTTTACATAATTGATATCTGCATATTTTTTAATTTTGAGAATTTTTCAAATATTTATACCCTTTTTGTTTTTTTGGTTTTTTTTAACCCTTTTCATGCTTTTTCTGTTCTCTCTGGCATATACAGAAATATTGCAGGATGCTAATTATAATTTTGAAACTAATTTTAAGCGGGTTGCATTATACACAAGATATAAAATTAGCATATGTACTGCTGGTCCTAGATACGCTATTGACCAAACTTTATGTCCATTTACTGTAGTCAAAATGTACAACTGTATTTAAAATAACATGGTTTTGATAAACTGATGTTTTACTTAACTGTATCCAATAATGATGCATGTAATATTCACATATTGGTATCAGATTATAAAATACAAACATACTGAATATGAGTCTTTTTCAATTTTTCATAAGTTGTTTAGCTGTTTCTCATTCGGTTGTTTATGCCTGTACGCATTCACACAACAAGTATAGCATTACTAACAATACTTTTATTGTTCTCTTTTACTTGTTTAACTAGAAGGTGGGATAAAGAGATAGAGGAAAAGAGGTTGGTCTATTGTAATTTGATCTCTCAAAAAAGGAACTTGTATGATATACGAGATACAGGATAAAATCCGTTTTTTTAAGTGAAAATTTGTGGCTTGCATGATATCACACATTACACGAGTATATACGGTATAGCCATTTATTGTTTATGTCTGTTTTTTATACATAGAACAACTAAGTCTAGATAACTCTTTAAACAGTCAGGGTTTGATTTTACACAGTATCAATACTATGAACAGGACCCCCACTTATAAAATGATAAAATACAGGTTGTTGTCGATAAACCACAGTAGTTAGGGTCCAAAACTTCTATCCATGGTTTAGATGGTCCACGGTTTAGACCAAAAGTGAGCCACGATGTCAGGATTGTCAGCTTAGACCACCAAAACAAAGCTTGTCAAGTCCATGGAGTTAATTGCAAAAATGGGTAATACAGTGCCTAAGCATGCAAAATGCATATTCAGTACTAAGAGTTGACAGTTTTGAAACAATCCTTTAATTTCCCATAGTAATTATCCTTTAATTTCACATAGTAATTATCCTTTAATTTCACATAGTAATTATCCTTTAATTTCACATAGTAATTATCCTTTAATTTCACATAGTAATTATCCTTTAATTTCACATAGTAATTATCCTTTAATTTCACATAGTAATTTGTGAATAAATTTGAAAGATGATGGCCTAAAATAATTTAATTTCAATAGTAATTAATCCTTTAATTTCACAACAAAAGACGGTATCCTTTCATTTGCATAAGATTTTAACATTTTAATTTCAGAAAAAAAAATCAATTTTTTATCCTTTAAGATTTTGAATAAAACCTTTACAATACATTTAATTTCACATAATAAAAATAATATAACAATACAATAGTAACATCTACATAATTTCACATAGTAATTATCCTTTAATTTCACATAGTAACAATTTTTTAATTTCATAAAGTAATTATCCTTTAATTTCACATAGTAATTATCCTAACCTAAACCACTACATCAGGAATGTATCCTTTAATTTAAATATATGTAAATATCTGGGAAAATTCATATAATTATCCTTTTAATTTTAATAGAATTTATTAAAATATTATACATAAAAATTAGACTTTAAAAAGTGTCACATAGTTTTTATCTATTTCTTTCATGATAGATTCTAATATGAACATGACAAAAATTTCACCATTGTGCATAATTATCCATCATGTTTTACATAGCATAATTATCCTTTAATTTTTTTTTTTGATTCTGATAAATGTCACCTTAACATTCTGATACTACCAATATGTCTTAGTTTAAACTATCATAATAAAAATCCTTTAATTTCATCATTCTTATCCAGCAATTTCACATAGTAATTATCACACTTAATTTGAAATAGTAATTATCCTTTAATTTAACATAAAAGTAATTATCCTATTTTTATTTTAAAAAATAATTATTTTTTAAAAGCTTCACAACCACCAATTATCTTTTAATTTGATATTTTAATTATCCTTTTTAATTTTTACATTGGATAATTATCCTTTTATTTCACAAGAGATTTAATTATCCTTTAATCTATCTAAAACAAAACAGATTCTTCTTTAAATTCACATAGTAAAAATCCTTTTAATTTCTTTGATAAACCAAAATTTCATATTTAATTTCACACTAATTTTTATCCTTTTAATTTCACATAGGGTTATCCTTGTAATTTCACATAGTAATTATCCTTTAATTTCACATAGTAATTATTTACACTTTTGGATTGTTATTTTCATAGTAATTATCATATTAATTTATACTTGTGATAAAACACTTTAATTTCACAAAGTAATCCTATCCTTTTTTCCACATAGTAATTATCCTTTAATTTCACATAGTAATTATCCTTTGATTTCTCATAGTAATTATCCTTTAATTTCAAGTCTCCAAGTTTTTCTTTTGAAAGATGATGGCCTAAAATAATTACAATTACAATCAACTCTTATCCAATAAATCCATTATCGATGACAACAAAAGGCTGGAGAAATCTCACGGCAAAACGATTTTAACATTTTAACAAGAAAAAAGTAAAATCAATTTTTATCGTTTATTAAGATTTCAGAATAAAACCAGACACTGACATTTGTTTGTTTAATTTCTGCCAGAATATAACAATACAATGTATCAACATCACAGTCAGACAATGTCTTTGTTTCATTATGCAATGTTTTGATATAATACAAATTTTAAATAAATTAATAGTTTGTTTTTTAAATTTTAAAACATTACTATAAATATATTAATATAGCTGCATATTTCTAAGCACACTCAAATGTCTAAGGCAAACGTCTGCTAACCATAAACCACTACACAATCAGGAATGTGAAATGCCAAAACCTAAATAATATGTAAATACCTCCCAGAAAATACGGATAAACTTGAAGGTATTAAAACTCAATTTAATGAATTTATTAAAATATTATACAGAAAAATAATCAGACGTTTAAAAAGTGTCACAATCAAGTTTTTTTAATCTGTTTCTACTGATGATTATGATTCTAACTGTGAACCCATGACAAAAGATTTGGGGATCCATTGTGCATTGCATCGTTATTGCATAAAAATGCGACATCCCCCTCATGTTTTATTGGTGCATGACGAATGACACTGACCTGTATCTATTTTTTCTCCCTCATTCTGATAAATGTCACCTTGACATTCTATTTTTTTACGGGATGCTACCAATATGTCTTAGTTTAAACTATCATAATTAAAGTAATTTTATGATCATTCTAATCCAGCATTTCTCAACTGGTATGCTCTTGCATCACACTAATATCACCGTTGAAAACATAGTCAAAATCAAACATTTGGCGTTAACAGAAAAGTAATTTACGAATTATTTTTTTTTATTTAAAAATCTTTCAAATTTTAAAAAAATGGTTTCACCAAGTCACCATGTTGTCTTTGTCATTTGATATTTTTTTCCTGGATGCTAAATTCCTTAATCTTTATGAATTGGATAATCCTTTCCCCTTTTACTTCTTTGAAGAGATTTAATCATATGGTTTTCAGTTTATCTAAAACAAAACAGATTCTTCATAAATCCATTTAAGTGAAAAAAACTGTACTGTTAATCCTCTTTCATCCACTTGTTAAACCAAAATTTCATATTTTCAATTTTCATGACTAATTTTTTTATTATTAAAATTTAAAGTGCATCCACAGGGTTCTAGTTGTTTTGATCTCACAAGGCTGATGTAAAAAAAAAAAAAAAGAGAAGGTTTGTTCTATTTACACTTTTAGGACTGTTATTTTCATCTTATTCTCATATTCAATTTCCTTATCTTCTGATAAAAATTTGAATTTCAAACCAACAATTATTTTTTCCAGTTCAGGGTAGATTATTCTATATTCACATTCCATATCTTCTTTTGATTTGTTATAAGTTATTTACACTTTAGTAATTCAACATTTTAAGTTTTTCTTTTCACCTCTGCTGTGGCCTTCTATATTGAACCCACAACTTCTTTACTAAATTTGTTAAACGCCTTATCCACAAGGGCTCATGTGTTTATAGTTCAAACTGAAGAAGGCCTGGAGCTATATTCAATTTCCTTATCGTCATGAAAATTTGTTATAAAGACAAAAACAACAGTCCGGACAGTGTTAATAATTACAACACCAGGTTCTCAAAATATAGCCAGACACTGACCTAGTTTTTCATTCAAATTTGAGATCAGAATTTCTGTTTTTGAAAAGTTTATCATTATTCTGTTTCTTGTCTTTTTTTGTTCATTATCTCATTTTTTTCACCAGGAATACAACCACTGAAATATTGTCATAATAGTTTGTTTTTAAATATTTAAAAGCATTATGCTTTAAATATATATTAATATGTTTAAATAATTGGTGCCCATCTCTTCAAATCTGTGTATGGAATAGTCTTGGAAAAGAATGAATAGACTGGGACTCTCATTTCCTCATTGTTGTACTCCTAATCAGGTTTCAAATGTTTCAGTATTGAAATTCTTGTCAGACTGGTATGACTTTATGAATCAATATAGATCCTCTATCAGACCTAAACAGTTGTAGGAGTTAGAATTTGGAAGGCGGTTCTAATGGATGAGAAAAAGAAGTCCTATTGGTGTGGTTATATGCCTCTATGAGGTCAATATAGTGGAAAGTTTGACCAATGTATTAGAAACAAAAAGAACAAGAAGAAAGATCGAGCAACTAACTCAAATTATTCAAGGAGAATTGTGTCCAAGTTCTTATGAAAATATCAGTCACAAGATAATTATTTCAACCAGATCAAAATTTTAACTTCCCAAAAATTGTGTTTGGTAAATAAAATTAAAAAATAGATAATTTTGACACCATTGGTTTGCCAAATATCCTTGATTTGATTACAATATTCAAAGTGACTCCGTGGCGAGTTACCTTTGTAGAGATTCAAAACGTTTGTGCAAAGATACAGGAGGGAAAATATTCATCAGAACCTGTTTCAGAAAATTGCAGAAATCAACAATAAAGAATGAACAAGCAGCAGTCATTTCAGTTTCACAAAACTGCCCATACTCTTGAAATTATTACAGAACAGGGATACAGGATAGATGAGATTACTGTTGCTCATCAGCAGGAATGGTAGTTTAAGAGTTGTGGCAAAGAAGTTGAGAAGTTTCAAAAGGAAATTTTTAGATATCAAGGATTTTTACATATCTATTTATATAAAGAACGTCATAGCTCATAAAATTATATTTACAAGTATACAGAATTAAAAAAAAAAATGGAAAGAAAATATTTGTATATTTAACCATAGTATGTGTGTGATTTCCCCGTGGTTTCTTTGAAATTAAGTAGTCAGTTTGCCAGACGACTAAGTCTCCTCAATGGAAAAAACTGGACATGTCTGCTGCCTATTGTATCCTGTTACTAAGTGAGCAAAAGAGGAAGAGGGCGTCTTCCTTTCTAGTCTTGAATAGAATGATATACCATGGGCATTCTGGTGGAAGTACTCTTTACAAAGGCATGCTACCACAGTTCAAATCATAATTAAAAAAAAACAAACTCCCAAATCACCAAATATGCTAATTCTCCAAAAAGTTTGCCACCAACCATGATATGGGCATTTATATGAGGATGGGTTCACCAGGCCTGACTAAAGTAATAAATCTTTTTAGAAGTTGTTTTTAAGTCAAGTATTGTTAACACTGAATAAATTTAACACTTTTAATTCATAAGTAATCATAAACTGATCATTGAATATTGTGATATTGGCTTCTAATAATTAGATTGACAAAAGGAACTTTATTTTCTCTTTATTTCAGTACCCCAGAGATGTGTGGAAGGTCTCTCCAGTGTTGATTATATCTGCACTCCCATTTGCTAATTACATTGTCTTCCCAATAGCGTAAGTAGATGATTTGTTATTATTTGTGTTTGTGAGTGAAATTGGTTAGATGGAACAGTTCTGTTAATGGTTGTGCTAGTAATGCGAAGTCACAAGTCATCACTGCTAAGGTCTTCAGCATACTGACCTTGTTCAAACTGTTTATCATTCCAGATGATGCACTCCCTCCCCAAAACTATAACTAAGATCTGCTCGGCATAGTTGCAGTATAAACCACTGATTGGCTCTGTTGGCGTTGAACAAGCACAAATGTGCCTGAGCAGGCAATTTCACAATAGAGACTGGCTAACCACTCTAGCAGACAGGCATGCTGAGAAATGAGTCACTAGGCATTTTCATATATATATATATATATATATATATATATAGTCATTAAGAAGTGTCGCCTGAACTGACTCCTGTTCTCTCTAAACTGTGATAAATGTCTCCTGCTTTGCTGCCTGCTGCAAGTTATCATCCAGGTTTTAAGAACTTTGGTGAACCATCCAACCCTTCCAACTTTCAGCCTATTAGACCTCTACTGCTTTTTGGAAAATTCCTAAAGACCCGAATCAATGCCAAATTGTTTCATCATCTCTCATCGCAGGGCTTTTTTTTTTTTTTTCTGACAAGCATTATGGCTTTTGTTTCTCCAGATCAACTGCTGATGTACTGACAATAATTGCAGAAAGAGTCTATCATGCTCTAGATAAAAACGGTGAAGCTGTAGCTTTGGACATGTTGAAAGCCTTTGACAGGGTTTGGTATACAGGTCTTCTCCTCAAACTGAAAAGTTATGGTGACTCTGGACACATTTTTGAATTGATCCAGTCTTTCTTATGAAATTGTGAAATGAAAATTATCCTGAACGGCCACTCATCTAGATCCTTTGGTACTAATGTGGGTATTCTACAGGGCTCCATCCTTGGTCCTACTGTTTTTACTTTTCATTAATCATCTTCCCAATGATATCAGCTTTCAACTTGGTATCTACACTGATGAGACAAGCTTTTGCTTTTGCCTCAAGAGTAAGGCTGGTCAGAAAGTTGCTTCATTGTGTCATACAAGACAATTTTTCTTTCCAGAATCTATCTTCATGTGCCATGCATGATACATGCTTAGGCGATCATGACTGACGAGGCAGATTTTTTTCCCGCAATCTTGCATATCTATAAGTCTACCATTCATCTTTGCTTAGAATACTGAATTGAAACATGACATTTTCTTCAAAATGTTTGTAGAAATATGGCTTTCACTAGAGAAATAGAATATATATATATATATATATATATATATATATATATATATATACACACACACACATACACACAGTGTGTATGAAAAATACTTTAACAAACTTTGGGAGCAGATTCCTCACACCAAAACAAGAACAAAAGTCACCTGTAATTCTAGCCCACACATTATGAAAAAAAGAGTGAAAATTATCATTAATGAATTTTATATTAGACAAAAATTATCCTGGAAAGTAAAGCATGCTGTGTATGCATTGAATAAATAAATATATATATACACACACACACACACACACACACACACATATATATATATATATATATATATATATATATATATATATATATATATAAATTGTGTGTATTTAGGCAGCATCTTTTCATTCATACACATTTCATTGAATAATATAGATAAGTGTTGTCTATTTATTTTATGTAAATTTTTTTCATAACGTCTGATAAGTTTAATAACATTATCGTTGAACAAAGAAAGAAATTCACAATATTGATCCATATTTTTTTTTAATACAATCTAAGCTTTCGGCTTACATAAGCCATTATCAAAGATGTCAATTACAACATATTAAGCAATATACGGACAAGATAGTGATGATAGTCTGTCATTGTTTACATAGATGATTTCTAAGCAATGATAAAAATGTGCATATAAGAGGCTAGAAGCGAAAATCGCACCACATCTCATGACGTCACACATGACCACACGAGAGTGAATTAGAGAAGTATGAAGTATGGGAAGCCGTTGGTATAAACCAATGGCTTCTGTTACCAATTATCGACATTTAAGAATATTTGTAGAGATTCCATAGTTGATTTTGTTTAGGTTGGGTTTCAACTGTTTGATGCATAATGCTTCAAGGATTTTTAGATTTTGTCTATTGTTTTCATGTCGAAGTATGATTGTGTTTTTGACAAGTATTTTACGGAATTGTGTGTGTGGGCAGGCATGTTATTTTAAATGCCTAAAAATGTTAGTTTTCATTCAAATGTAGTGTCAAGCATCGTGAAAGCGAGTTTGTGGTGTGACCAACATAAACATTATTTAATTCATTGGAGATACACTCTCCCAAAGGGCACTTGAATTATGTTGGTTTTTTGCAAATAGCTAACCGGGGGAGAAGAATCATTGTGAAGAATTTTATTTATATATATATATATATATATATATATATATATATATATATATATATATATATATATATATACCAGTCCCCAGCCCCTCAACCTCCAGCGTCTTCCTGTTTGTGTTGAGGTGTCCACTCGGCCCAAACTGAACTAAGGGGTAACTGGCCGTACCTGTAGATTATTTCAACCGGTCAAGTCCTGCTCGCTGCCCACGCTGTTTTAGCAACGATAAACACGTGCATATAAGACACTAGATCCAGTAAGCGGGGTGTTATCCATACGTCACAGTCAACTGGGGATGTGGTCACAGCTGTGAGAGTTGGCACTAGGAAGTTTGGAATGTGGCAAAATAAAACAAGAAATAATATCTGCAGAAGCCAGACAACAATGGGGAAAATATTGACGTCTTTTATATAAGAAGATAACATCAGAACAGAGGTTACAGGGAGAATAAAAACATTTAACATAAATGAGAAAAGAAAAAGACAAAATGCATCCGGTGAATTCCCAACAGAAAGAGGGTTTGTGTGATAAATGTGTATTGAGTCACTTGGGGTAGGTTTATGACTAATAGTCCCGTCTCATACAGACTTCTCGGAACAGGGGTTAGTCTTCTCTCTCTCCTCCAAAATTCTCCTGCAAATCTCTCGACTCACTGCGGCGATAATCTTGTGACTCTCTCGACAACAGTCTCTTTCCCCGACTCTGCTTTATTAGCAAAATCTTGAGTTAATATAGAAAAAGGATCAGCTGATCACAATTGACCCTCAGCCCGGCACGAAGCTACCACGAGTGCCAAAAACTATCCCTTGATATGTAAACCAATTCTCCAATTATTTACCTTATCTCAATCACGAGTTCTTCTCGCTTCACCAAAATTATACTTTGGGATATCTAAACATTGATTCAACCTTTTACTCAAAACAAATACTGTTAAACAGAACCAAGTATCTCACCCATCCCCGTTGTTTACAAGTGACCCAGGTTTAAAACATCGCCTCCTGCCCTGAGATCGTGTTTCTCATCGGTAAACACACATCTTAACCCAAATTGTACTTTGATATATAAACACTGTTTCCATTTCCAGTCAATAAAAGTTATATTTGCGTGTGTGCATTCATGTGGGTGTGTGTGTATACCTCTCTCTGTTACATATATATATATATATATATATATATATATATATATGCACATCCATCCTGGGTAGGACAATAAACTATACCCAACAGCAAGGCCTTGTATCAAGAGGTTTTGATGAGCGTCGAACCACCTCTTAATTGCTGGTATTCCCAGGTCCACCCTGACACGGGGTGGTAGCACCTGCTAGGGTCCCAGCTATGGGTAAATAGTTGATCCCCAAACTGGGCTCAAAACACTATGAAAGTGTAAAAATAGGTTTTAATACCAGAAATACTTTGTAAAACAGAAATTTATTACCAGCTATACATTTTGAAGAAAAAATATTACATTATTATATTAGTGATGTAATAGATAATGGCTCGAAATTGTTAATCGAAAAGCAGAGTTCCAATTCCAGTTGGGTTTGTTACACACTTACGCGCAAATACCATTGTGAAAACTGGCGTCAAAGGGGGATAACTATTAAATACTCGAGTAACCTCCCTTACATATTAATAGATGTTGCGTTGTTGATACAACTCGATAAAACCACATATATAACAAATAGGTACCTCCAAAGATTCGCTAAATCATGAGCATTGCATGATGAAAAATGCCTCCAAATTGATAAAAACAAATTTTATCTTAAAAATCTTTGTTATTATTAAGAGGAAAGACCAAAGAATGTTTTGATTATTAAATTATATTTTTTAATCTTTTTTAGAACCTTCAAAATTTCAGTTAATTTAATTTTATTTTTTTATTTTATTTTAATTAAACTTTAACTTAAATCAGTTAATCTTCCTCAAATAAAATTTCAGAAAAATACATTACTGGAAGATATTTTAATAAAGATAATTATGTTGTATTGATAGATTTGTCAATATGGCCGATTTTAGCAATTTAAAAAAATAATTTCAATCTACTTAAATTTGGTTTGAAATACAGCAAAGTACTTTGCTTTTTGGAAATATTAAATCTAATCTATTAGTTTGGAATTAAAACTAAAAAGGTTTGGTGAAACATAAACAAGGATTATGTGCAATGTTTCTTGAATTTTGTAACCTTTTTGTTGAAAGTAACATTTTCATCATTTTACACTATTAGCAATTTTCACTAAGGAAGAACAAATGTGTAAACATCTGTTGCTTTAGAAAACTGGAAAAATTCATAAATATTTTTCTTTGGAAAAGAAATATATTTTTTATTTTAAGAAAAATATTTTTTTACATTTTCAAATGAATAAATTTAAAACAAATCACATGCAGCAAATTGTGTTAATCCCATCATCATCAGGGATTATATTATACCAAGATTTCAATTGTTTTTTTTTGTTTTTTTAATTATAGAAAAAATTGTTTCTCCAAAGAAAGTAAATCAGCTTTTCATCCATCTGTAAGGCAGATTCTTACACTCATGATCTGTAGGGAAAATGGCTGAAGCAACTTGATACTTTTTTTTTTTTTTTAATAGTGTGGCCCACTTTATGATGAACTGTATCTCATGCTGCCCACTGGCAGCATGAGGTTGTCCCTGCCTGGTCTAAAAGATTGATCTCCTTAATATAATATTTGTCATTAGGCCAATTTCTGTTTGGTACCACTAAAAAAAAAAAAAAAACTAAAACTCTTTATGCAGATTGTCTGACTGAAGATGTTCAAATAAATCTGTCAACCCTACACGTTTGTCACCCCACTTTACATCACTTACAAGCTGTCACTTAAATGTTTTCTAGAGTAAACATAAAACCCACTATGGCAAAAAATGGGTGGGTTTGCTAGTTTCTTGATTGCAATACAAAAGTGATCCCCCATTTAATATCCACTGATTTCTTAAACATTTAATCAACATGTAATGAATTGGGCTGCATTTGAAAACATTGTGCTATTAAATAGCAATGTTCTTTTCACTAGTAGCCCAAGTTAGCCCAGCTTATTTTAAAATGCAGTCAATCATCCAACAGTTAGACTGTTCATTCTTGTAATATTTAACAAAAAAAAATTGCTTCACAAGTATGGCTGAGTTTATTTTTTTTCCTCTTTCTTCGTTTAGGTACATGTACCCAAAGTGGTTTTTGTCACCACAGTTCTGGACCAGTGAACAGAAAGAGGCTATCTGGGGTGAACAACTTGCTAAACGTCTTGGTCACTGTCCAGTTGTCCTGCGCAACCTTCGTGCTCGACATGCACACATGGACGATGACCATCCTCTACAGGAAAAACTCAAGAATATGCTGAACAAGGTAAAATCCTTTGTGTGTGTGAGATTAGGATATGTGGCTAGCATAATGTTTATCAGCACAGAAGTTGGAATTGATGTGCCAACTCAAAATTCAGAAAGCCTGTTACATTCACTTTGCACTGATACCCTGGGAAATATTAAGGCTTTTGTCTTGGGTGGCAGCCAGTCTAGGAGAAGGAAAACACTGAATTCAAAACCAGTCTGAAGTGAGAAGGGCTCTATCAGTCTATTTTGAAGAAAAACTGTATTGTTCATCTACAGTTTTATTGAAAACCAGAAAGGGTAGGGTGAAACTTGTGGTGAGTTTTGCCTGAATAATATATATATATATATATATATATATATATAAACAAGAGAGACAGCTTGGAGCAAATTTAGATGTGCAGATGGTGTTATGATTGATAAGTCAGCAAGCCAAGTTCAAATCATTGTTGAATTTGTGATATTCATTTTTTTTTTTCACAAGTATCCTTGGGAGGGGTATAAATCCATCCCTTCTTCCCACAAACTATGGGTTAAATAGCTTTTTGGTCAGCAACCAGTCTATGAGAAGGCTAACTCAAAATTGTATGTAGCCCTGGCAAAGTACATACTATGCAGCTATTAAAAGGATCATGGCAGGATCAATGACACTATGATCTTGATTGTAGTTGGTGTGACAGATTAAAAAAAAGAAGGAATATGACTAAGACTGAAGACTAAATGTGAAGAGATGGTAGTAGTAGTGGTAGTTAGCTGACAGAAGTCATGTTTGTAATTTACAATTAGGAAATTACTTGACTATAAACAAGTTACATTTGGTGTCTATAGTGTTAAATTATAACACAGCATGAAGACAGTTGCTAAGTGGTGAAAAATGGTTTCACAAGATAAAGCACAGCAAAATAAATGTACAGAAAATGGATTACATTAAATATTCAAATAATTAAGGCGGTAAATATTAATCTTTCATGTTCAAGACTTAACCTTTAACACACTGCATTATTCACTACTTTTCTTTCCACTGCATTGTTTTTCAAGGCTCCTTTACTGCACTATTTAATTTCAGTCATGGTCATTTTCTGTTGTCCTAGCAGGATATGACAACACAACTGCCAAATTCAAACAAGCTATCCTTCATTCTCGTCCTTTTGGCTAAGATGGCTTATCATCTCTCAGTTGCGTCTCTGCCTTGGGCAGAGGGTGCTCAGAGGCTTCTCTGTCAAAGGACAGAGGGGCAGCTGATAAAATTATACTGAAGAGGTGCTCAGCCTTGGGAAACAGCTGCCCGAGGCTGTGCCCTCCCATTGCACCAGAGAGAGGGATCAATGCCCACATCTAGACCAGCGCAACCGACGGTTGCGGGGGCTGTGGGCAATTTTTGTCCCTTGCCTGGGTGTACGTGCTCGGGTCCCCAATTTAAAAAGACCTTATGTCACATCTTGTTCTCGTGAGGTAACGAGTCAACATCCCTTCATTCATCAGAGTCACTTGCCAGATAAAATTTTTGTTTTGCAAACAGAATCACCTCCAGATTGTTTTAAGCAACACACCCTGTTTACTTGTATGCCACTGGAACCTTTGTGGTCACAATTTTGACCTAGAAAATGCATTTAATTAATAAGTGAATATAATTTACTCGAATACAGATGCATAGAAAGTGTCATGATCCATAAGTGTCCTTTGATTAATATACAATCAGGCTATTTCAATTTATTGGTTGTTCTTACTATATTAGGACTGAAATAATGTTGGGTGTGTAAGATTTAAAATAAATAAATGCAGGTCATGTAATGGATAATGGCTCAATTGTTAATCTGAGAGCTGAGTTTCAATTCCAATAGGATTCGTTATATTCACTTTTGTGCAAATATCTCTGGGAAAGGTATGAATCTACCTGTTCTCTATCTCTCACAGTTATGTGTTAATTAGAAAGACATGTATCACTAAACTATTATCTCAAAAATAAAATTAAATTCTGTACAATATATTTAAATTTCAGCATTAATAACCCATAGAGGCTGATATGCCACTAAACAAAAACAACCAACCATTTTTGTTTCCATAACAGGATATGCCAACACAACTGCAAAATTCAAACATGCTATCATTCATTCATTCAAGTCACCTGCAGTGGCAGGATAAATCACCTCCAGAACATTAAAGGTTAATGGAGGTAAATAAAATTATGTTGTCGTCACCAATATAACAGGAGAGCTTGGAAGAAAGATTTATTCTCTCATTTGTATTTCCCCCATTGCAGGCATTATTATATTTGTGATCTAATAACACTGTAGTTCACAGACAGAAGGAAAAGGAATGACAAACATGTTTTGTTCTCAGAGAAACTATTATACCACTAAGACATGCACAAAACTATATATACATATTTATTTATCATGCAGAGAAAAAAAAATTATATATTCACAGTCAAGCAGAAGACAAGGAAAATGAAAAGATATAATATGGAGATTCTTCTGTGTTTCTGGAGAAGCCATATTTAGGATTCCAGATTCAAACAGACTGAATTCATCTACTATTGTCCTATATTCTGTGAACAGGAAACATTGAGATTTGGGTTTTCCCAAAATTGAGGACTGCAAGCGGGAGTTTCTTTCTATATCTGGGGAAGATATTCCCAAAGGGAAACGGCACCATCAACATGTAAGCTGTTGGGTGAGGCAGATTTAGTGAATGACTGACCACTTTTGTTACCATATAAAGAGACTGTATGAAGTGTTAATAAAGGTGTTGGCTAGATCCAGTGACAGGACCCAAAGAATGTGAGTTCAATACCCAGTTAAGGCAGTGGAGAACTTTCAGAGGAAAATTAACAGGAGATAACTGATAACTGACATCCATTAAACATGGCACGTGAAACTAGAACAGCGAAATAAAGGGTTCAGTTCAACATTCCAACCACCTGAAGAAGGCTGGAGCGTACAATGGCTGAAACGTAATAAATATGGCGACAAAGAGGAGGACAATAGTCCGAATAATGTAAATAATATAGATTTTCATTTGTTTCAGGCACTAGAATATTTAATAAGTGGCAGAACATTTAGAAACAAAGAAGAAAGCAGTTTTGCAAATTCTTGTTGGTAGAAAAACCCCAATGTATTTTTTTTTTCCTTGTATCCTGCGATTTTGAAGACCTAATTTTAAAGCTAAATTTAAAGAAGTTGCATCATACACAAGATATAAAATTAGTATATGTACTGCTGGCCCTGGCTATGCCATTGACCAAACTATATATCCATTTACTGTAATCAAACTAGCTTCAAAATTAGGCCTTGAAAGGTTGCATGTTATGTGAGTTTATACTGTACTTTCAAACAACAGAACTAATACACATCCTGACTTTTGTTGCAACAGGTTGCCCAGGCAATGTTTTGTTTCATTTCTTTTCCAGATTCGACATCTACAGAGTCTAACTGTAAAAGAAATCCTTGCTCTGAAGCCGCTGTTTGAAGATTACCCTTGTCATCTGGAAAAAATTTCAATTGCATATGTCGTAAGTAAACCATTGACAATTTAAAACATCTCTATACAATATGCACATTTTTTTTTTCTTTTTGTTTTTTTTTTTTTTATTTTAGAAAAGTGATGCTGCCTTGTTGATTTCTGAAAGTCAGTAATATGAAATATAGAGAGATGACACTATGGTTGCGATACCCACATAGGAAGAGATATTGTATGATTCTTATTGCTGTCTTTTGGGCTTTATGATCAGCGATAAGGTCTGTGAAACTGGATCTTGTAAGTGACCACCCACTTCACACTTGACCAAAAGAGAATAAAATAAAAGATAAATAAATGAAAACTTTTGAAGACAAGTGACAATAAACTGGACATTAAGGATTTCCAGTCAGTTGGGACTGAAGAGAATTGTGAACCACCCTTGTTGGGCAACAGACTATTCCTCAAAGTAATGCTGGGCTACCAGTTACCAGGTAATGCTCAAAGACGATATATACAGAATATTGATATGAGGGTTTGAGTACTGTTAATATTTAACATCCCCCCTTCCCCTCCATATGAGGGTGTATCTGGCACAAGGCTTGTTTATTGTGGGTACTCCGAGCCCATAGGCTCAGCCAAAAATATTCCCATTGAACCCGCCTAAACGGGTTCAGGGACTGTCTACCTCCCCGGACAAAACTTTGCCATGCGGCAAAGCCTAGTCCAGATACCTCTCCGCTGAGGCAGAGAGTTCGACAGCAATGAACAGTCTGGTTGACTATTCCTGAGGGTTTGAGTACTTTTCATTATATATATAAAACAGCATATAATCTACCTAATGACTTTGTGTAAATGGTTGGCAGAACAGGGTCTAGGAGAGATAGCAAGAAGTTGAAGTGTCATGGCACATTGAAGAAGGATATTTTTATTTCTGTTTATAAATACATGTTGCAAAATAAAAGCTTTACATTTGCTTTCATGAAGTCCATTCGTGGACAAAATGCATTAGAAAGAAAAGTTTTCCTTTTGTTTATATATATATATATATATATATATATATATATATATATATATATATATATATATATATAAAAAAGGAAAACTTTCTATATATATATATTATACACTGTTACATTAGAACATGTAACAGTGTATAATAAATATTTATTGCTCTACTCTTGTATTGAGCCCTGTTTTAAATTAATGTTTTGAACATTGTAATTTTATTCTTTGTTCTTTTACATTTGGGGATATATATATATATATATATAATGAAAAGTTCAACAATCAATTATTTTAATATATTTTCTATTTATACATTATTTTTATAGATACAAATATTTTTTTGAGTAAATGCTCTGTTTATAATAAACAGTATTAACAACATTTACTGGCCTGAACGACCAAGAAATTTCATAAAAAATATGCATTCTACAACAGGAATCAAACCTGTATCCTACACAGAACCATCATATAGCCTGACATGCTATACCATTTAGCTAGAGGAATTGTCTGATTAGCAATGTCAAATCATGGGAAATTTGTAGTCTAAAAACAGTAATTAGACTTTGCTAGCCAAATGCTGCCTCTGTAGCTAAATGGTATAACACATCAGGCAATATGACAGTTCCATGTAGGATACACGTTCGATTCCTGTCAGAGGACACATATTTTCTATGAAATTTCTCAGATATTTGAGTAGATTCTCTGTTTTTATTTATTTATTAAACAGTATATTTATTGACATCTACCGGCCTGAATAATCAAGAAATCTTGTTTGAAAAATATGTGCTCTTTGGCAGGATTCGAACTTGTGTTCCCTAAGGGAAACAGGCAGTAAATCTGACATACCTTGACCTCTTGGCTGTGTAGCATCTCCTGATAAGACAAAGCCCAAATAGTGCTTTTGAACACATATCTTTCCCAATTCTCAAAATATACATATCTGTGCTGTTTCATATCCTAACGTAAGCAAAGACAATTTTTTAGGAAATGGATTAATCCAATATATTTTCAATGTATTTGCTTAACCATTATTTTTAAAGGATGCTCATATTTCAGTAGATGCTCTGTTTTTATTTGTTTATTAAACAGTATAAATAGAATTGTAAATAAATACAAATATGCACATCTAAGTAACTATAAAAATAATACAAATCTACACCCAAATATCATGTCATATCGACAAATGCAATGATATGGATATTACCACATTTACAAAAAATACAGAAGCATATTTGTATCTATCTACATATCACTATGCTTGATACAATATTCATATGAAACATTGAGGTCAACATCCAATGATGACAGTCTGCTTCATGCTTAAACACAATTGTCAGGCCATGTGCATTGTGTTTTGGCTAGATTAGTTATATATACTGGTCAGTGATGTATAATGAGTAAGCCTATTGTCTTATTCTAATGCTTATTTGGATGGGTGGTAATGGTTATGTTTTGGATTATTTTGGCATTATTGAGTGGAAATAATTGTGGATCCAGATTCAGTTTTGTGGCTATTTTTATTAACTTTTTTCTTTATTGTTGGTTGATATTAAATTTACTTGTGTTTAGTGGATGATACATTCAATGCAATGCATTCTGCCCTAACAAACACAAAGAAAATCTAATTAGTACCCTTACACATAGAGCTTTAATGGTCTCCTCAGAATCTAAATTAGATGAAGAGCTAAAAACAATTACCAAAGCTCTAGCTAATAATGGATACCCTTTGGATGTTAAGTCAGTTATGAATGAGAAAATCTCAAATTTTTCTAAATTTAAAACAAGTATGGCTTTTAAATGCCCTGTCTATTTGCTTTTGCCCTGGTTGGGTTCAATAAGTGGGAAAGTTGCGGAGCCGACTACATAGGTAGAACTATCTTGTGGTTAGACACACAGATAAATCAGCATGAACCCAGAAAAATTAGGAATGGTACATTCCAATCTAGTGCCAAGATCAACAACACATACAGCTCTGCCATCACTGAGCACCTTCTAAATAATCCAAGCTGTGCCACCAATTTGAGCATTGACTCTCTCCATCCTTAGTCATGCTCATTCTTTATTACATTTGAAGGCATTGGAAACTATCTATATCAGATCCAGACAGCCCTACCTCTGTAAACAGAGGGAATGTCTGTTAGGGCTTGACATTATTTCCATCTGATTGTTCTGCCTTTATTTCATTACAGGCTTCTTATATTTTATGTTGTAACATTTAGTTTTCCTCGATTTCAGTTCTGTTAAGTGAGGGCAAAACCGGTCAGCTAGTTCATTTTTTTTTTTTTTTTTTTTTTTCAATCAGAATGGTAAAGCTCATCTTGCTATTTTTATTTCCCTAATAAAATTCTGTCCTAAGAAAATTATATGGCAAGGATGGTGTCAATCTTTGAATAGCAATCTTCCTAGAGATGGTGTCTTGATAAGAACACTTGGTGTACTTGGATGATTGTTAGTGTCTGAGTTGGGCACCTTGAAGAGCTTTGTAAAAAGCTTGCTCAAATTATGACAAGTCTCAGTATGTTGACAGGCCTATCCTCTGTCATGCAGGACCCACCTTGCTTTGTGTGAGATTAGTCCTGATCCTACCTCAAAAATATGATGATGTAAATGCTATTGTTATTCTAACTCTTATGTCTTTTTGTGAAGACTGCAACCCAGATATAAGAAATCATCCCCTTGATTTCATTTGTTACCTTTGAATGTTATCAAATGTCTTTCTTCTTGAATTTTGTTTTATGATTTCATTGATATCATTCTGTTGTCATCTTTGTTTATTCTCCCCATTTTTACTTCCAACAGCGTCAACTAGCCAAATGTAACGGTCTGCCTCTAAGACGTTCCAAATTAATTGATGCTACATTGATTGTACACTACACAGATCTTGCCTTGGGACGAGAGGGCATAGAAAATCTAAGTAACGAAGAACTTGCAAAGGTAAGGTTAATGAAAACTTAAGACGATATTTTATTAACATTAAATGGGGCATTTTCAATGACTTGCTAACTTAGGCTGGCTGTTTATCATTTTTCAAGCCATCACTTCCAACCTTGATTCTGTGACAGTTGTTGTTATGAGAGATTTCTCAAAAGTTTTATATGTGCATGTGTAAAAAAGAAAAAAAAAAGCACCTGAATTTTTTAAAGAAAACTGTCATCCATTTTAGATAGTTTATATTAATTGTTCTTTGAGCAAGAAAAAGCAAAATGCTTACCAAGATGAGCAAATATGCAGCAAACTATCTTCCTGCCTACTACAGAATCATCATCCTCTTCTTTCTTAGTACCAGTGAGGATAGGACCACAGCTACACCATGCAAGGTGTTGTGGTTGTAGTTTCTGTAACAAGTATTTGAGCCCCACACCCAATTGTGGCTATGATTGACAGGTATGTGAAGGCAATGACTGACAGATAACTAATGTGAAGCCCATGATTCACAAATAACTATGTGTGAGATTAACACACCTACTCTCATGTCTTGAATAAATGGGGAGGATTGATCTAGGAGATTGGAAATATTTTTTAAAAATCTAATACATGGAGTACTTGGAAAAATCTGTAGAGTTGGTGGGATTTGTCTACAATTTGGTTTATTTGAATGAAGAAAGTAAACCTGCAGCAAATTATTTAACGAGTTACCATATATATATATATAACGCTATATATATATGCCCCTATATATATATATATATATATATATATATATATATATATAAACGCTGTGGGGCATGCTGGCCCCTGTGCTACATGACAATGCCATCCTGTCCTCGATCACTAGTGTGTTCGCAACTGAATCCTGTGGCTAATTGTGAAGTTGGTTACTTCAACCCAAGCCTTTCCCTGTCTTACGTTGCGTTCATTTTAATCACAAGGCAGGCAAGGATCAAATCGTTGCCAGATATCACTGGATTGGTGTCATTCAGGCAAGACATAAGACAAAAAGTAAGAAAGTTATTAAAATCAACAAGGTTTATATAACTGTGACTTATACAGGACCACATTTTCATGTAAGAATCTATAAGCCTGCAGGCTGATGACCATTCCCTCGTAATCTAATTTAATGATACTTTGTTCTTCATTTCCAAGTCGGAGTCAAGATTTCAAGCTCTAAGTCAAAGACTTCTTCAGGCAGCAAATTACAGAATACTAACGACACATTCATCTCCCTTTGTATGTCCAAATATGGGGAGTTTCCCCGCACCGAAGATGTGGTAGCAACATGTTGATCTGCCATCTTGTTCTCCCACCTTCTTTTGCTCACACCTCCCACTAGTGCTTTTCAGTGGGTATATTCATTTTCCTTCCACTTCCTCATATCAGCTTCTCATGCTGCCACCATCCAGGGAATAGGTTCTCTACCCAACTCAAAACAGGTGTTACTTTTAATGTCATTGTAAAATTTTTATCTTCTCTCTGGGGTGGTCTCTTAGTCCTTGGCCGAGGCAAGCACCCTTCCCCACACACTGTCCATTAGTCCTAGCTAACAAAACAAAATAAGGAGATGTCATGTCCAATTAGTACTGGATGATTCAACTTTGCCCAAATGGATTTCAGTGCTGTCTTCTTGTGAGGTCCTTGTTCATGAAATGAGAAAAATAAAAGTATATTTTCTGCTGTTTTTAGTATGTCTTTTAATCTATTTACTAGCTTCTTTATCTTTGTGTTCACTTTCGATTTAATTTAAGGCTTTTTTTCTTTCTTCAAATTATCAGCATTCTTACAGTGTCACATATGCTTGAGCATAATGCAAGTTTTTATGATCAGTTTCTTATGCAAAAAATAGGGGGTTGCACTATACACAAGTAATTTTTTTTTAAAAGAGGTTATAAATCATGAATTTTCAGTGACAAGTTGCACTATACACAAATAAACTTTTCTGGAGGGGGTTAAAATCAATGCATTTTCAATGACCATAACCTACCTGGTAGACCTACATTCTCATGGTACCTTTGGCTAATCTTAGCAGTTAAGGGAAGAAATTTGGTTTACATAAGAGGCAGGCCCAAGGTAACAGAGTTACTATAGTCATGCATGAATGAAAACAAAAGTACAGTATCTAAATCTTTGTATTAAATATTTTATACTTTAGTGGTTTTTCTCACCATTTTGGCATAGCTTTGTACAAATAAAAGAATGAAGACAATTTGCTATAAAATATGTCTATGATGATGCCCAGTATTGCAATATTTGACTACAATAGGCCTACTAGTATTACTCAGAATCTGGAGTTGCACTATACACAAGGCATATGAAAAAAACGTGATTTTTCACAGAAAAAATTTAAGAGTGTAGCGGATATAAACACTTTTGCTGAGAAGTTATATTTTCCTGATGCATTTGACCCGCTAACAATTTTTGGTGTACTCATGTAAATCCAAAGGGATATTAAGACAGAATTTGAACAAAGAAATATCAGCAAATATATTGTCAGGAGATTTTACAAAAGAAAAGATGACAAATGAAATGTAAAAAGTTCAAAGCAGCTTTAAGTTTCTGTAGTTGATTACTGACATTTTGCAGGAGCAAAAAAATACTGTTCACTATGAAAAGTCACCAAGAAAGAGGTTGAGTCTTACATTGCCCGTAAATCGTCAGGGGGTGATAATTCCAAAATCTCACCACAGTGAGATTTTATTAATCAGTGAGCGGTAATCCAACAAGGGTTACACTATACATGAAGTAGGCTTATACAAAAGTATGTATGGTAAAAAAAATTTTCTTCTGTATCAAAATTTTTACTGCAAATCAATATTATATTTACAAATTCTGTTTCTAATATCCTTCATTTGTTTTAGTTTTTTCTTTTTTCTTTTTTTCTTCTTTTTTTTTCCTTTTTTTTTTTTTTTTTTTTTTTTTTTTTCTTTTTTTTTTTTTTTTTTTTTTTTTTTTTTTTTTTTTTTTCTTTTTTTTTTTTTTTTTTTTTTTTTTTTTTTTTTTTTTTTTTTTTTTTTTTTTTTTTTTTTTTTTTTTTTTTTTTTTTTTTTTTTTTTTTTTTTTTTGTAGCCATGGGCTAATTCCAAAAAGGCAGGAATAATGTCTGAGTTTCACACCCATCAAACATCCCAAATGTTCTTTTCTCAGCCATTTGCCATTTTTTGTCTTCCCAAATACTGTTCTTTTATTGTCTTCCACTAAAGTCATTTCATTCTCTTTTACTCACAGCAACCCCCTGCATCCTGGTAACATTAACACTTTTCTTGGCATGAAATGATTTAAAAAAAAAAAAAAAAAATGCAATTTTCGTCTGTATCAAAATTTTTGATGCCAATCAATAAGAAACTAAGAAAGCCTTTCTTTCTAATGTCCTACATTTGATTTTCCCTTCACAGATAGTCATGCATTGTTTTATATAACCATGAACTGATTGTGAAAGGCATGAATAAGGTTGAAGTTTCACACTTTGTCATACAATTAAAATGTCCTTTTCTTGGACAAATCTTTTAAATTATTTTTAAAATATTCAAGAAAGATGGTGCATTACACAACTAAAATATTATTTTTCTTTCTTATGATTTGAATGAAGTTTTAGAATCCGTATCGTTTTTTTTTTTTTTTTTTTATTATTATTTCATGCCAAACAAGAAAAGAAAGCCACTAAGACACGAGGTTACTGAGTGTGAATGAATAAGAAAAAGAAAACATTATTAAGGAGAGAAAACAATAAAAGAACAAGACAGAAGATAATGATTGACATTGTATTTAAATTTTTGAACATCAAAGTTGGCTGGAAAGCAAGAAGCCTGAAAGAAACTGTTATCAAAGAACATCTAGCCAATTCAACTGTAAAATGATAAAACCATGCTGCCAATTTAGTACTTAGCTTAAATTCATAAAGTCTAGGTACCATACAGCAAAGCTCGTCAGAGCAATTACCATTAAATTATTGATAGAAAAGGCACAGGGAAGCTATATTATGGCGGTGGGAAAGTGCCTGAAGCCGGAGTGCCAGGTCAGGACCAATAACATTGCAGATTCTTTTTTGAAGTTTTGCAATTCCAAATGATCATTTTCTTAGGATTGAAATCCTTTTTCTAGGAAGTTTCCATGAAAATAGATAAGCAGGGGCAAGGGTTTGAAATAAGAGCCAGGTGGGGGAGGGGGATTGTCTCCAAAGATGAATAAGCAGGAGATATGATTATCACAGACATGAGAAGATGCAAAGACAGATTTTAACTGTGATGTTACGTCATGAGTGAATAACCCATTAGAGTAGTGTTTCTCAATCAGTGATACCCGGGACCCCAGTGTTCCATAGGAGCTTGCTAGGGATTCCACAAGAAACAATGTTAAATTGGCTAATGCATTTTTGAGTAATTTTTGTTTAATTTTATATTCGTAATTTTACTATACATGTACGCCATGTTGGAAAATCATTGATTAATATAATAAAGGCTTCGGCCTCTTATGCTATTTAAAATTATAATAATCATAGGGAATGTATTTAGTGATGTCTATAAGGTGTCAGTGTGAAACCATCCTCACTGATTAGTGGACAGTATCTGTATGTGCATTGTGGTGTAATGGGTATCAGCTTGGAGTGAGAACTTGAAGATCTGAGTTCAAATTCCAGTCAAGTTTGTTAGATTCACTTATATGCAAATAACCTTGGGAAAGATATGAATCCCTCTTTTCTCCCTCAAGCCATGGGTTGAATAGCAAGACAGGCTGGGTTCTTTAAAATTGGTTGGCAATAAGTCTGCCGCAGAAAGAAATGGCAACCTACCGTGGAGAAAAATTTGCCTTGTCAGTCGTACCAAAAGATACATGATTGCCTAAACATTTATCCCATATGGCACTTAACTGACTGACCTGTAGGTGGCAGATTTGTGTATCATTGAGTGACTCACTCGAATACAGGACTAGTATTCATATATTATGTTTATCATGTGGACTATGATAAAAATATAAGACATAGATATTAATAATGGTATATAATTTTTATGCTGGTGTTCCCTGAGATATGAAAACTATTTCAAGGGTTCTACAAATGTAAAAAGGTTTAGAAATGCCACATTAAACTCATACATAAAGGTACCACATGTACCTGCAATAAAGGTACCACATGTACCTGCAGCCATAAACATCAGCTCCATGATGGACACCTTTCTTCTTCAGGATGGTTTTAATTTCAAGGTTTTACTTCTTTGAGACTAGAAAGCCCACATAACCTTGCTATTTAACCTATAGATTTTGGGGATTTATTCTTTTTTTTTTTCTCTGTGGCTAGTTCTTGTACAATCACTGAAGTTAAGCAACATCAAATCTGGTCAGTACCGAGATGGATGACCACTTGGGAATACCAGGTGCTGTAAGCTTGGATATGTGTATGGTGTAATGGATAACATCTTGGAATTGGAGATTGGAGAGCTAATTCCAGTTGGGTTTATTATGTTCATCTATGCGTGAAAATAAACTAGGAAAGTTATGAATCCATCTCTTCTTCCCAGTAAGTATGAGTTAATTAGTAAGACTTGTATCAGTAGATTTAAAAATTATTTTCTGGCTTTAAATAACCTTAATTGGGGGTGGGGGGTAAATAATATCACATTGGAGTGAATTACCAGATAATGGAGGTTAATAATATCCTGTCACATCAGGTTAACCCAGATAATGGGTGAGCGATGGAAGAAAGGCTTATTCTCCCATTTGCATTTTCCCTATTATGAGCATTATTATATATAACACCTTATTTCACAGACAGGAAAATGAATGACAAAAATGCTCTGTTCTCTGGAAGACACACACAAAATAATACCTATACATATTTACATGTGTCTTGCACCATGAGTCCTGGGTTTTTCCCAAGCCAGAGATATTTTTTTTTATTTTTTTTTTTTTATTTATTATATCTGGTGAAGATATATTTCTATAGGAAAACAGCACCATAGACTTGTAAGCTGCGCCATGTACTGGAGGAGGCAGATTTAACCTCATCTTGGGCTCATTGGCCAGGGTCAAAAAAAAAAAAAGGAACAGCTGTTTGAATCCTGTAAGTTGACTAACTGTAGGACTGACTGACTGCCATGTTTTCGTCACTAAGCAGCCATTATGTGACACATGTGACTTCATCTCCACCAAAGGGAGATAATCTCCTTTTGTATCCATACAACCTCATCATTTTGCAGTTGAAGTGGCTTGATATAAACCATAAGTTTTATGCTAACAGTTTCTTTTCTCACACTTCTCACTTGTGGAACTCTCTTCTTGCTTCCCACTCAACTTTGATCTTCAAAAATTTAAATGTTATGTCAGTCATTATCTACTGTTTTCTTAATTCCTGTTTTTTTATTGTTCTCTCTTCTTAAGAGTTTTTTTTTCTTTCTTATATTCTTTAGCACACAGTAACCCATTATGTCTTAGTGGATTTATTGGGGTTAAATGATTAAAAAAAAAATATTTTGATAGGCCATAAAAAAAAAAACGAATCTTTTTTTTTTTTTTTTTTTTTTTTGCGTGGGTGTTGATTCATACCTTTCCACTGTGATAAATTAGAAAAATTTGCCAGAGGAGATGAAGAGCAAAAAGGTAATTTCTTTCTCTCAAATTCTTTTTTTTTATATTTTTTTTATTTTGTTTTGTTGTTTTATCTTTTTTCAAAGGCGTGCTACTCAAGATCACTAAATCCTGTCGGCATCTCTCGCAATGAACAATTACAATACCTTTGCCAGTGGGTAGAAGTCAGCAGAGCCATTAATGGTAAGTCCAGTTATTTATACCATTTAGAAATGATCATGTTTATAAAAATCATAAATACTTGTTTGCATTCAATCCATAATCGTGTTTTTTTTTATGGTATACTGTCTTCAATGAATTTATATGATGTTGACGATTTGTAAAACTTGAAATCGGAAGATAAGTCTTCTGAACATTTCTTTTATACAAGGTCTGATCAAAAAGTATCAGGACTAGTGTTATAAAAAAAAAAAAAAACTACAATACATATCAATTCGGTATTTAATCTCCTTTGAAGTATGTTTGTATTAAAGGGATGTTTAAAATTAAAGCTAGGTTATCGTCCTGGAACAATGACAGGCATCCTATGTCATTCTGGTATTGTTATTGTTCAGGCTGAAAGTCTTTTATTTGATAATTTAATGGCTATCATTGAATTTCTAGGTGGATCTCATTAAGAAAATATATGAATTGGGAAAACTATTAAATTTATTTCACAAGTATCATATTAATAATTTTAATATGTAAGTTGCCATTTTATTCTATTGTTCTGTGTATCAGGGACTTCATTTTTTTTTTTTTTTCACAAACTCTGAAAACCTTCCATTTATTAATTTGTAAATATTGCACAATGTGAGCAATAATAATTATTACCATAACTTGTATTTTAAATACAGATTAAAATATATATAATTAATAATAAAATTGATAATAATGTTGAAAACATTTCTTGTGAAAATTTATTATTCATTGAAAAAATTTTATTTCTTAATAGTGCCATTAATATATCTTACTTCTAAAAGCAATTAAAGCTTTTTGAATTAAGCAGTGTCGTAGTTTTATTGCATTTTTTATTTTATAATTCAGAGCAGATTTTTGGGAAATAGTGTTTCTGCTTGACAAAAAACCAAATTGATTTAATTCTCCAAGGAGTCCTGTTTTGAACTAATATAAATATGAAGTTCCTGAAATTTTAATTTCTCAAAATCTCATCAAATTACGACATAAAAAAAAAAAAAACTTTTTGCCAAGGTTTTCTAAAAAAAAAAAAATTTTCAAAAATAATTTCATTCATTTGTGAATAAATCCTGAAAATTTCATTCATTCTTTTAAATTCCACTCTTATATTGAGAAACTAGCAGTTGAATGCACTAATATCAGCATTTGTGATTGTTTTGGATGAAGATAAAAAGATTTCTTGTGTCTTCAGATTTGTAAAATTGGGAAAAGGAGAAAGTTCTTTTTGTAACTAGTTATGTATCCAAGATAACTTTTCACGGACCAAAATATTTTTTTAGTGACTTTCTCCTGAGTAGCCTCCCTTGAATTTTTCTGTAAATTATCCCCCTTGAATATAAGTTACCTCCCTTGCAAATTGTTTCCATATGAAGTTTAAATTCCTTATTAAGAGTTATGTTAATAATAGTTAATATGCCAGTAGATGCGCTAAATTATGTTTTAATATAAATTTAAACTTCCAAGAGTTGTTCAGGTTGTTTTGCTGTTATCAAATAATTTTGATGACAATAGATTGAAAAAGTTCCGAATGAGAATTAAGATTGGCAACAGCCACAGATGTTGAAATGTGACAAAAAGAAAGAAAGAAATTAGCATAAAAGAAACTGATTCCTTTCTTGACAGGTGTATTTAGTTATTCCAAATTGTGATAAATCAATATTTGTTCAATTCACCTGAATTATTTTGTTTGACCTTTTAAATTTTCAAATATTATCTTCTTTGGCATAATTTGCAAAAACTGGATATAATGAACATCAGCCATGCAAATTTAAAAAAAAAACAGGCATGTGAACTGCAACTGAATGCAAATATTGTGTGTGGTGTTGGGAGGTCTGGATTCACACTAATATATATTTTATATATCAAGAACAATTTTAGGGAAATCTATGACAAAGTGGAAAATGTTTTTTTTGTGGGATGGATTTCATCTTTTAGGACTTTATCACACTAAAGTGATGTTTAATTTGATGTGACAATGAAGGAGAGGAGAAAATGAGCATTTCAAAAAAGATTTTTTTTTTTTTTTTTTTTTTAACTGTCTTTTGTGTATACAGTCTAGCTAATTTCATTTAGTTTCTTCTTGTTTATTTTAATTCTTTTGTTAGTAAATATCCCATGAAGAAAATCTGCCAAGGGAGGTGAAATGTTGTAAGAACCTGGACATAGATTTATTAAAATTTTCAGTGTCCCTTCTCCTTTGTGTGCATCAGCATAACTTTAGTTCAATGAAGTCCTAAAGTACAAAATGTTTTTCACTTTGTCATAGCTTTAACCTAAGGTTTGATTGGTCATTACATCTTAAATAAAAATATTTACCCCAGTGGGGGTAGTGGTTGGTTCTTGAACTCTTTAAAAACTTTTTATTTTACTTGCAACACCATCACTTGACAAGACACCAAAAGTGTTGAAACAAAATGGCTATTTTTGTAGTGATGTTATAACATACTTATGTTATAGTTTTAAAATAAATATTATTTGTTCTACTCTGTATTGAGCAGTTTATAAAAATAGTGTTTTTGGTTACTAGAAGTTTATTCCATCTATACCAAGCTTGTATTATATATATATATATATATATATAGTTTTATAGTTTTAAGGTGTGCTATATTAATAGGATAAAGGGCTCAATATCAGAGATAGAGATATGTAAATATAAAAGTGAACATTGAAGTCAATACTCAGAGGTTACAGGCTTTCATGCTGAACGCAATCATCAGGCCGCCTGACGATTGCATCCAGCTTGAAACAGCATGTCGCCTCTGAGTGTTGGCTTCAATGTTCACTTATATATATATATAAAATAACAGTGGTGTCTACATTCATGTACAATTGATGAGATTTTTTTTCAAAAGTGTTAAAATATGAAATGATTTACATATGAGTAAAAAATAAAATAGATATCCTCTCCAATGTCTTATAAGCCAATTGGGAGCAGTTTCCAATATGTAGTTTGTGTTAGAAATTTCCTGTAAATTCTTAGTTGGTGGAGGGAGAATATGTTGTTACCACTAAATGTCTTCTGGTTTAACATATAAACATAGTATAAAAAGCAAATAATTGAAATTGCAAAGGTTGTCATAAGTGGATAGAGTTGCTAAAAATATCAATGAAATAGAATTTGACACTTTTGAATTAACATGGAAGATTAATCCACAGAAAGTAGCATAAACAATCAGGGACCAACTTCAATTATGATTTCTCTCTCTCTCTCTCTCTCTGTCATCCTCAAAATATTTTCTCAAATGAAGGCCCTGTGGATCAGACTTGTCTAATTGATTTGATTAATGTTTACTTAATTTTTTAGTTGCTGCTATTTGTACAGCACTTACTCAATTATCTGGATTTGGTTTATCCAGAAGTGAAATGAAGAGAAAAACTGAAATCCTCCAAATATTTTTCAATTATCCAAATTAAACCCATTTTAATATTTCATCTCAAAAGAGCATTTTTAGAATTTAGAAAACTATACTCAATGTTGTAATTCCATTCTCAAACACCAAAGTAACGATTATGTTTGACAAATGTCTAAGTTGATTGTGCTTTCAAACAAAAGCTACCCTTACAAATCAGGAGTCGAACGTATTCAGGATCATCCTTTCCTTAACTGCATAGTACGTGTTTTGCCAGGGCGACATACAGTTTTGAATTCAGAGTTTTTCCTTGTCCTGGATAGTGATTTTCCAAGCGTAGCTCAGATGTGGCACAAGGCCGAATGTATGGGGGCACCCAGTGAGGATCAAACTCACTACTCAGTCGTAATTGTTCTAGCGAGACAAGCTTGCTAACCATTACACCACCTTGAGGTGCCCTACTTTGTCCTGGATAAGTTTTCACCGAAGTCTATAAAATCCAATCTGTTCTATTATTTACCTATAGCTGGGGGGTCGGGGAGGAACTGTTGCATTCACGTGTTTCTCAAGGATATTAGCACATAATTGAATCTAATGAACTTGACTGGAATTGTAAATTGACTCTCCGATTCCACAGAACTGCAATCCATTACTCTACCATGCCTTCTTACAAATACATTGACTTTAATCCAGCTTCAGAAGTTAGCAGCAGAAAAATGAAAGGCCAGCCAGAAACAGACAAAAATTGGCACATTTCTTTTATAAACAATAAACTTGACAAGACCTTGAACAAAGCATTAAAAAATTTTATTTGATGATATAAATGTTAAACTTCTTTCAGTAAATGGCATTTTTCCTTTGTTCTTTTTCAATAAATTAGATATTCATTTACCCAGAATTTTAAAATTATACAAACATTTTTTTTCAACCTTTGTCTCAAGGTGTGCAGATAATCAGCAAAGTTCTGTACTAAGCAACAAAAAAAATTAAGATGAAAGTAAGTACAAGTCACTAATAATGTTTGGCAAAGCTTTTATCTCACTAATTAAGTCTTACTAATACAACTAGTACAAAAAACAAAACAAATATGGTACCAAATGAGGTGGTAAAATGGAATGATTGGTTATAGACTTGCTCTACTGAAGGCCATCTTGTTCTTACAGCTCAGTCAGAACAGGTGGTGCATTCACCCAGACTTCCCTGAAGCAAAATAGACAGGAGTTTCATTGAAAATTTCTTTTCTTTCCAATCTACTTTGTCCATTCACTGAAGTGAATCAACAGCCAGATTAAAGTTATGATAAAAAGCAATTAAAAAAAATGAACATAAAAGTCCACATTAAATCAAATAACAGAGTCTGATAATGCTTCATTTATTTAAAAAAAAAAACAAATGGTTCTTCCAATTGTTACAGAATGTGAAGGCCAGAGCCAGGATGGTCAGAATAGCTCATGGGCATGTTATTCTGACAATGGTTGATCAACTTTGTCTGGGTTTTGGATATAAGTGCAAAATCAGCAGAGAGTCACATTTTGAAACAGCACTAAGCTTCCCACACCCAGGTTCAGACCACACATAGAGGAATACTAAACCAAAGAGCAACATTCATTCCCTTGAAGTCCTTCCTCCTGTTCCCCCATCTGCCTTTCTCCTCTA